AGACACGCTGACCAGCATGGCTAATCTTGCTTGGACATGGAAAAGCTTAGAGAGAAGTGCTGAAGCTATAGGCTTGCTGCAGGAGTGCGTTCATCTACGCTGTCAGACTCTTCGAGCAGGGCATCCTGATCTAGTATCTTCTCAGGAAACCTTAGCTGAATGGGAAGCAGAGCAAGCAGGTAGAACTCTTGCGATAAGTTAATAATTCTGCTTTATACTATACGCACTCATTACCTTCTTAAGGCTGCGCTTACTATGGAATATATTAGAAATGTACTTGACAGCAGTCGAGGAAGTTGCAAGATTAGCACGAGTCATGTTAATACTAGCAAAGCTTAATACTGACGCAACGGTCATTCGCTCTGCAGACAAGGGATATCCTTGCGCGACATGGATCTGATAAGATCTCAGAACGTGCCAAAGGTGAGACCGGTTTTGCAGGGTACTGTATCCTGTTTGCAACTTTGCAACGTAAGTTATGTTGCTCAAACAGCTGGCATAGCAAACACGCTAGCTATAAACAGTAGCTGCTTCAATCCGAAGTACTACGTGCGGTGGCAAATTCTGCACAAATCTCCGTGCTGCACTAGAAGTAGAGCTGATAGTGACGTCTAAGTGGCTGGACTATAATTAGAAGCCTAGAAACTCCTAAATAAGATGTATTAGGGGTGCACGAATAGTAGGATGACACTGCTTTCGGAAAATCCTTTCTTGTTCGCAAATGTGGACCTGCTGGAAGGAAGGCGCTTAGGGCAACAATGCAGAAGTAATCTTAGAATAGGAACAGTACGTTACATAGAGCAGAGGCTATAATACCTGTGACATATCACAGATAGTTTAACATTAATGCATATCTGAGATAGCAAGCCAGCCAAGTCGAAGTACCCCTTGGACTTTTCGGCACGGAGGGTTTTTCGTTACGCAGGGACGGACGTTACCCCTGTTTATTTGATTCCAGAGCACTCTAAGCATAATTTGGAGGGCTACACATAAACACTAACATTTAGAACTGTGCATGCCAGGACGAATCACTTCTGCGACAATTTTCTCATGAATTCCGGGAGTTTCGCCGATGGATGGGGGCATCGAGACCCTGATGACGCCAATGTTTTAGCGTGCGAGGAACTGAAATATTCAGGCCTTTGTCAGCTCCATATTTTACCGCTACGCTCACTATGGACTGGCACCTGTGGCGCATAGAGTTTTCTTTCAGCACGTTTGCTATTGTCTACCTGTCCTTTGTGCATGGGTGCTGTGCCTCGCTGCCCATCCTCTGCCCATGACTGGACGACATCTCGTATTGCAAAGGCTTGTTGGCGTCCATCGTGTTTCTTCAGTAACAGCCTTTCACAACACCAACGATACTATTAGTAGAGATAGACTAGGCCCTAAATATTCGCCCTCGAGACGTACATGTCAATGTAAGTTGGACTGTACATTCACTATATACCTCATACCAAAGTAAACGTCGATTCGTCCCATTCGTAAACACGTTTTAGTCGACGGGAGTAGATAAGCAGAACCACACCTTCAATGCAGGACTTGTGAGGTCGATGCAATGTACAATTTCTTCGAGTAACCATGTTCTCTGGAGGGACAAATGTGTAGATGGAGCCGAGCTTGGGAGTCACCGAGAAGCCCACATCCGTCATAGCGGCCACGAACGCGTCCCAACTGATCGATCCGCGAGCCGCTGATGATCTTGAGAGCAGTAACAAGAAAACGTTGAAGGTGGTCGCCTTAACCTTGAATTTTGGCTGCGGCGGTGCGGGCCGTGCATTCGAAGAGGGAAAACCAGTAGCCTCGGGTACGATAGCGTAGGCGGATGAGTGTGCTGGCCTGGTCTTCTCTTTCTCTCTGCGTTGGTGATCGGACGACTCAGGCGCATCTGGGATGGTTGAAACCAGGTACCCCGCCCTGGGCTCGCTCGCTTTCGCCTTTGACTCGTAATACCGCTTGTGTAACTTTACGACACTGTCATCGACAAGCTCCTCATACAGAAAGCCAAGCTTTGTGCCCATCTTCTGATGAACATGACTATCGAGTGAGGCAAGGGCACCACTACTCATGCCCGGCTCCAGCAAGTTACCCATTGGGATGGCAAAGTCACCAAGATCTAATTCCTCTTTGAGCCGTCCGATTTTGGTCTCCAGATCCGAAACTCTGAGCAAAAAGGAGTCCTTTTGTTTTTTGTTAGCCGCAGGCAGTTGCTCCACTAATGATAGGGACTGGAGAAAAGTGACAATAATGGCGAGGTCACCTAGTGAGCTTAACTCTCGCTCGGCCATCTTGTCTTTTTCCAGGGGATGCGCTCGATGCAGGTCTTCCAACTTTTGGAGCCACGGAACGGAGCCGGACCAGTCCAAATTATCTTGGCACAATCGGAGCATGTAATAAAGTTGCGGGTTCTCTATCATCAGAGACTCCGGGTTGCGTTTCATGGAGACGCGCACGATACCATCCGTTCGCACCGTGGACTTGCGCTCGAACCACCTGTTGCCGCCCGAAAATACGGACACATTCCGTTTAAACAATACTTGGGCGCGCGTAAGTTCTAGGTAACATGTGTTGGATAGTTCCTGCAGAACCATGACTCGAAATCGCCTGTCAGGAGAGCTGTCTAGGAGAGCTAGAAGCTGTGATATGTAGTTCCAAGTAGCAGTTGCCTTCACGGCGCCATGAACAGCGTCGAGCACAGCCCCGCTGATATACCTGTCGGTGTGCACAGGCATCGACCGCCCCTTCTCGTCACCCACAAGCTCGGGCCGTGTGAAAAACCACAAGTTAACCTCGTGAGAGAGTACTGTGGGCTCGGTGGAGATCAGACTGATGTAATCCTCCCAGGAGGTTTTCTGTTCCTGGGAGCTGTCAACTAGTTCGGGGATCCCAAGCTTTCTGGGTGGAGAACAAAATGACAGTGTTGCCAGCGCTGCAGTCGCGACATCAGAGGTCCTGGTCGGACGCGTCGCCTTGGAACGAGTAGTAGATGCTGTGTCGAAGATGTCCTCGACGAAGATGTTCAGGAGCTGCAGGAGATAGTTTTGTCTCATAAGAACCAACTCGCCGATATCTTGAGGAATGATAAACCCTGCTTCGATGCCTGGCTTCATGTTTGTAAGAACTTCATCTTTCTTGCCCCGTGTGATTTTGTACGATTGGCCGTACTGCTTGTCGTCCAGGAAGAGAGTATAGCAATCCTTGTAGGTAGAAGCGTCTGAAAGCCGTAAACCGTTCCTTCGCATCGAATCAACTATGTACTCATGATCCCCACGGGCTCCGTCGACACCGCTGATGTACTGCTCCGTTAGTGAGGTAGTCGCTCTGTATTTGAGAATGTCGAGAAGGTTGTCGGAAGAGGGTCGAGTAAGATCTCGTAGATTCCACTCTGGTATAAAACTGCAAACACGACCTAGGCTTGTATCATGCGGATCTTTCAAAACAGAGCGGTCTCCAGACGCGTTTCTCAAGACATTCTCTCGTTCTTCCTGGCCAAGAGAGCGCCACATCTGCTCGATTCGGGAGCCATGGTGCTTGAATTTGCGCGCAAGGTCTTGATGGAGGGTTCTGACTATCTCATTCATTGTAAATTGAATAATAACAGAATAAGACTCGTTGAAGAATGGTAATTAGTTTTAGGGTACCAAAGATCTGGCTGTGTGGGAAGGTGGGGCATCGTAGAGGAGAGCTGACGCTAACCTGCCCTAGGCATAGCATGGGCAAGTATGATGGCTGCTGACAATGCATTACTGCGTGGCAAATACGGACCACTTCCAGATGCAAAACCTGCCACACGACTTCTACTCATTTTAGCCACGAAAACTAACTCCCCACTGCAAGATAACTATTCTATCGTTACGCAACTTTCAGTCCGGTTCAACTGCAATGTGTGATCGTAGTAATATTCATAAAGTGCAGTGTACCAGTCCGAAATCAAGGAATTCGGACGGAATCAGTTTTGAAGGCCCTTCTATTTCTATCATGTCTATGTCTATGCTATCTAAGTCTAAAATGTCCCAGTCTATAATGCCCCAATCTATATCTTCTAATTCTATAAAGGAACAACCTTCTAACCATAACGCCAAACCCGCGATGCCGAGTAGTTCTGTAACGATTCGAGCGGATATCCACCTCCCCTCTATAGCCGCGTCCAAAGAGACTTTCTATCATGATTTCGCAACTCCACCATGATCCATGGTACGACTAGTACCGACAACGTCCTACAACTCGGCCGCCCGTTCCAAGTACTTTCGCGGGACTGGAATGCTTCGCTTCGGATTCTTCTTCCCTTTGCCCTTGCCTTTCCCCTTGCCTTTTCCTTTATCGTCTCCTTTGGGAGTGGGAGCAGGCGTCACCTTGCTGCCATTGGCTTTGGAAGTGTTCGCTTTGGGTTTGCCGGTAGAAGACGTAACCGCGCCGCTATTAGTCTTGGTAGCGCTCTGTTTTCCTTTGCTTGTGGCAGAAGACTTGGTTGTGCCGCTCTTGGTCTTGCTACCACTCTTTGACGTGCTTTTGGCGGAGTCACCTTCCAGTTTACCCTTGTCCTGATCAAAGCCTTTGTTGTTTTTGGCAGCGATGTCTTTCTCCGAGAGCATCTTCTCCTTGCCAGTGACACCCTTCTTGATCTTGTTCTTTGCGACAGTGACTTTGAACTTTTTATCGTCTGCCTTCTTAGGGAAATTGCACGACATTGACCATGGGAACTTTTCAGCGACTGCAGATGTAGCAGCAGATGGGCTGTCAGTAATGGAAGATTGTTCGACCTCTTCCGTGGCTGTTGCCGCCTCTGCGGAACTATCGCCTGTATTGTTCGGTGGGCTGCTTTCTGCTGCCGAACTGTCGCCTGATTCTGTCGGTGGGTCACTGGCAAAAGATGGCTCAGTGTCCAATGAGCCGCTCTTCATAGATGTCTCGGGTTCCGATGAGCCGTTTTCCGATGCTGCTTCGGTCGGCGATGCTTCGCTGTCCACAGCTTCCTCGGTGGGTGATGCCTCGCTTTCCACAGCTTCCTTGGTCGGTGATGTGTCACTCTCTAAGGTCTCCTCTGTTTCTTTTGGGTCCTTCTTCTTGAAATCTTCAGCACCTGGTACGTCTTTTTCGAGTACTGGCTGAAGTGGCGGGTTGCCCATCATTAACCTCTTGGCCTTTGGACCAGGTGTCTGTTTTGATGGCTTTTTCCCTTTCTTGGATGTCGTCTTGCTTGCTGGTGATGCACTCTTAAATGGAAGCGCCTCAACACCACCGGAAACACACACTGTTTGGGCTTCCTCATTGAATCTCTGGCAGCCCGTCGAATCACTGCCCTTCTTGGGCATAATAGTACTGCATGGAGATAGGAAGCCCTTTTGCTTATTGTCGAGCTGTCCATAAACAGCGAAGGAAGATTTATCCAAACTCCACTTCTTCTGAACCGCATAGACCATGTTTGCCATCTCGGCGCATATACCGTTGAATGATTTACGGTCGATATGGCATGCGTTGATGTAGCTCTTTGTGTACGAACCGCCACCCTTGATGCTTGAATGGAACAAAAGGTTTCCTCCGGCTTTCTTTCCATCAGAAGGATAGAATGCCACTGACATGGTAGTAGGACATTTCTTGGTGTCCTTTCCACAGTTTTTCTCCATTGTGGTAAATGCCTCTTTGGCTAGGGACTTCAGCTCTTTTTCGGATGGACTAAAGGTGATGCTGGAATGTCCCTGCCAAGCCTGACCTCCACCGGGGAGATTGGCATTCTTGGAGACGTAACCAGCCGCAAAGGCGGTACAGGGTAAGATGACGAAAACGGCGAGTCCCTTCATGGTTGTATGAAATGCTTCTACGGGCCAGCCCGAAGTAATACGCGAATGTCAATCCGATAGGATTGATCAGGTGGAAATCAACAGTGTCGCTTTGGAAGTGATGATATGTTTGTGTGTAAATGGTTGGATGAATTGACTGCCGCTGGACTATTGGGTTTGAAGTAATTGTTGATCGGGTTATAGAGTTAAGCATCTGAGAACTGGATCAAGTTAAATAGCAAGCAAGTGAACAGCAAAGTCTCAACAATCTTAGCATTCATAACAACTTTCACATCCGTCAACAACACGTTGACTACCTCTAATTGATGGGTTGGAAGACATAAACACCGGTGTTCCGCGGCGAGGGAGCATCACATCTACAGTGCCCTATTCCCATCGAAATGCTGAGTACCATTAGCCAGTGTTGACAGATGATCAAGAGCGCTTGCGCCCTCAGGAATGATTCCGCATTGGAGTGTATCTTGTTCCAGCATATTCACGTTTGAACATGGAACTAATACGCCAGATCGGCCTCATCATCTTAAAGACAGTGACGTTTCACTGCGAGATGGGACACTATTCCATTTGCCTTAAAAACACTGATCATGGCTGGACGATACCGTAGAGCATATAACCCAATTATGCACAATAAGCAGGATTGCAAGCGGAACGGTTCATGACGTTGCAGTTCTGATGTTCCTGCACTCAAGCGGCGCGCACAAGGTAATATAGTAACATTGCGGCGTTTACAGGCAACGATATCAAACAGCGTGCACGAGCTCGAGATCCATGGCGGAGATCACGTTCGCTCGAAACAAATTGTAAGCGGATGGCAGAATCCTTGAAGAATTCGAATCGCTGTGCGATGCTCTAAACAACAAGCAACAAGCAAGAAGGTCTATCACGCAATGAGCGCCATAGTAGTACAGGCGATAAACAAAATCGGATCGCGCCAATTCCAACCTGCTACACTGTCAAGCAGGCAATAATAGAAGCTGCATCTGTTCTAAAATCCCAATGTAATGGGCTCGAAGGAACTCTTGCGGACTGCGCATGGTATCACAGTGAGGATTTCGGAATACTGTATGTGAGAGGCATGTCCTTACGGAACTTCATTGTCAATGTACATTAGAGACACCTCGCTTAATGCTGAAAACATTCAGAGTAGCCACGTTCTAGTTGGAGGACGTCTTTTTATTATTGTTTATCGGTGCATTGAGGGACGACTTCCCGCAATGTCCGCTGGTGCCGCATGAGGGGCGATGAGGGGCGAGGTGTTCGGGTCTACGCCACAATATTATACAACCTCCAAATTTGGCGAGAATCCAGAACATTGTGGCGATCAGAGCTTGTGCGACATATGTAGCAACATACTTGATTGATGAGAGAATGTTGGTACTCTCTTTGATCAATCTTAGAATGCATTCGGGGGGGAAATATGGACGTCCCATGAGCAATTCTGAATGGTCACCGATCTAGAGGCCCTTCGCATTCCCACGAGTTTGCCAAGAAATCTGTTCCTGCGCCTCCAGGTCTGATGACCAATTCATCTCTGTGAATAAGTGCTGCGAGAAGAAATCGTCGAAGCAGGCATCGTCACCCGGGATCGTTGGAGCAACTGAGCTGGCCGTGGCTGTAGAAGCAGACTGACTTTCCCCCTCGTGCAGAGGCTGCAAAATGTGCGTCGTGACACTCAAGGTGATATCGGCGGAAGCTTTCCCATTGCTATTGGGATTCGGAGAGTTTGACTTATTTGGAGTTGTTGGAAGGAGGCTATTGTCTAAAAGTTCCCACAGTATAGAAGGTTGAAATGCGATAACCGCATCGCCGCTGCCACGGGTTTGTCCCGAGACGCCTCGAAGATACTCCAGCAGTTTGACCTATCGATGTTGTCAAAAAAGAAATACTTTCCAAAGTTAACTAACTTGATAAAATCACATACCTTTCGTTCCATATGGGGCCACTTCATAGCTGCTGTCTTTACAAATGATTCGCAGATATTGAAGCACTCGTCCGCCTTTGATGCAGCTGCCTTGTCAGGTGCAGACCTGAACACCCAAGCGACAGTGGCCGTCGCAGCAACTAGTGTTCCCGATAGAGGGTCATGAACATCAAACCGCAGAGCCTCACACATCTGGGCTAGACGGCTGACCCATCGGGCGTGATACTGTGCTTGGTCAATGACGCTTTGCATGAACAACCTTGGGGGCTGGCGATGGTTCATGTCGCGGAGGCCGGCAATGTGGATGAATGGGTGGCTCAGAACTGCTGATGTAGCGTGGGTGGTCAGTTGCATAAGAATCCAGGGCCGCCAGTATTTGATGTTTTCCGAAATTGTATCTACGGTCTGATCCAGGAATCCCGCATTTTTGAAGAGATGATCTAGGGCCGTTTGATCCTCAAACACGTACATTTGCTGAGTGAGCTCCGTGTACCGTGATGTAGGTAACCACGGCCGCTCTGGTTTGCGGCATCGGATGCCATGAACATAGGACATAACATCACCCCAGATGGAAACAGCGTGCAAAAACGACGAAGTGATCCCGGAAACCCGATCAATTTTCTCTTTCGTGTTTGCTAACAGCGAAGGAGATGTATTGTCGGGATATCTTGGTTGGATGACACAGCGATCCAGTATCGAGCATTGTGCAGAAAAGCATTTCTCAAGAATGTAAACGCTCCAGAAGCAGCCGCTACTTTCATTCTCGGTACTGTGAAATCCGTCGACAACTTCCCGCCGGTTCCAGCTGAAGCTTGCCTCAAGTCGGGCAGCAAGACCGATTGTTCCCCATGCCCTCGCGGTCTTGAGGACTTGGTGCCATTTGTCAGCGGATTGTCCACCGTAAAGTAATATGGATGCCTATTCTAGTACCTTTAAGATCATGCAGTACCAATAGACAAAGAGATTGGACCACATCCAGGTCTGTCGGCCCCTCCAGTGCTATCGGCACGAGGTCTGCATATGCAGAGCTAGCGTAAAGTTCGGCGCATTCAACGTCTCTCCCCCGAAAGAACGGGTGACTGGAGAACTGCAATGTCAGTGCCAGGAAGCTTCGCCGGAGAGGCTGAGAACACATCTGAATCCGGCTACAAAGACCTTCAATCTTGAATAGAGGCAATGGTTTGATGGCAATTTCGGTGTTGTACACCCCGACGAAATGGTCCAGGACGTCTGAAGGTGGTTCAGGACTGCGCAATTTTAACTTTGTCCACTGACTAGTATGACCAGAGACTCACAGTGTTGTTCGAAGGAAAGGCCCTGGTGATGTCTCAGATATCCTGAGGGGCGCACCATCGAGGCTGCCAGTGCTTACTATGTCATCCAACACTTCGCTTGGCTGGAGTGGCGATCCTATAGACATACTCGACCCGCGCGTATGCTGCTCTCTGAGAGATCTTTGCATCATAATATGTCAACATCGGCCAAGCTCAATAGCGAATTTTACACGAACAGCTCACCTACTGTATGACGTCGTAGATCTGACTGACTTGTGATTCGAGCTTCTTCAACCGTTCTTTAGAGTCCCTCCTGTCCATTCACGTTAGAAATTAGCAAATTGACATGTTTAAGATCAAGCCTTACTTTTTCACCATTCCTCGTGGCTTCTCTGTTCTAGCCGGATGCTGCTCTCGAGCGAGATATATGCACGCCTGGCCCAATCGCTGACAAAATGTACACGTCGGTCTTTCGCCATCACATTTGGTCTTCTTGCGCCTACGACCGTACGCCGTGTCAGCAGGCTCAGTTGCCAGCTCTCCAGAAGTTGGATGCGAACGAACCTACAAGGCTCGCAAGAGTTGCGAAGCCGGGGTTCAGAGGTGCTCATTCGATTATCCGGTTAATATGATGTTTCTCAGGTATAAGCTGCTAGTCCAGATTGGCAGTCAGGGACGGAGTTTTAGAAGATACTGCAATTCTCCGGGCACTGATCAGTTATATTGTAGAGTACTGTCCTCTATCTCTACAGAGGCTAGATAACGCTAAATCCCAAACCTAAAGCTTCATTCAGAAATCAAGCGCGGCTATTGTAGTATTAGCTTCCCGCCTTATTTTGCTTGCATGTGCAATATTGGCAAGCAATGACGCGATCTTTTCTATAGAATCCAAAAATCTGCGACATGAGTTCGTTGTCTCCACCCAACCCCAGGTCTAGCGGCTATCATGACTCGCTACTGCTCCACAGCTTGATGAGCGTCCCTCCCTCGCCTTCGACTGGGTCTGCGGCGGGCAAAGGCACGCAGGAAATTTCATTTTTTAGTTCGGTCATAATACCCAGCTTATCGCATCGCTGACTTGTCCATTGTGGAGAGCCCTAGAGGTGTTAATCGCATGTTGTGATCAAAGAAGGCCTAAGCTAAGAGAAGAAGTTGAGATCTCACATCTGGATACACCCCGACAAAACGGTAATCCTCAGTCATGGTAACATTCATATGCGATACTCCGGCTGGGATAACAATGACATCCCCAGCGCGGAGGGCGATTGTCTGGCCACCAGAAGACCCGTCAAGTTGCCCGCGACCAACGAGCATAGTTGTCGTGCCGACAACAACGCCTGCTATGAGTCAACAGTTGAAGCATCAAGACAAAATCGTCCATGAGACAGACGCACTAACCATAGCATTCATGAGTGTTGGGATGGAAGTGGTGGACCTCGGTTCCTGGCCAGAACCCCTAGAGACTGTCAGTGAGCCTCGCGATTGGGAAAGCATTCGCGGGTTAGATTCACCTTCTTTTGCCATTTATTGGCCTCTAGAAACTGCGTAGTACTGTCTTCCGCGTGAGGTTCAGGCAAAACATCGCGGTACACAATGACCGGCAGTTTATTGTTTGGCACATATGTCGTCGGAGGGAGTACAAAATGCTCAACAATTGCCATACTAAGCGTTGGCTGAGAGAGGAACAATGGTTTATCGCCGTGGGACAAGGGTGCAATTGTCTTTGAGCTTTGTATTTGGCTGGCCTGCCACGGGAACCATTGTCACTAGTAGGAAGTTGCGCCATCTGGAACGCGGAAAACCGACACGATGACCACGGACTCCGTGTGGAACTTTGTGCTCACGACTCATAACCAGTGGTGGTTGACTTTGCGCCACATATAGGCATGCGAATAGTATCCTAGAATTCGCAAGTCGGCAAGTCATCTTGCGACATTACTGCGATATTTCAACTACGCAATGGGTTCTGTAGATTATCCAATTGACACACGAGCGGTAGACGAGAGTCGCCCCATCAAAGTCGTGTGCATCGGGGCTGGAATTTCAGGTATCCTCACTGCTATTCGATTTCCACAGCGCATCAAGAACCTGCAATTGGTCGTTTATGAAAAGAACGAAGGTCCGGGCGGCACATGGTTTGAAAACAAGTGAGTAAACTCCCTACAAAAACATCTATCTACCTTCATTTCATAAGCAGCTGTAAAGCTGACCAAAGTTAGCTACCCCGGAATTTCATGCGGTGAGTGCTTAGGGAAAGGATCTCCAGTACAATACATTGATCAAACCCTCTAGATATTCCTTCTCATGCCTACCAATACACGTTCGAAAACAACCCTAATTGGTCTCGATTCTATGCTCCTGGGTCCGAAATCTTGGACTATCTCAATCATGTAATCGATAAGTATGGTGCTCGAAAGCACATGAAATTTAAGCACGAGTTCAAAGGCGCCCGCTGGAGCAAGAAAGATGGCAAGTGGGACGTCGAGCTACTTAGACACACTGATGGCAAGGTGAGCCGACTAATTTCAGAGCGCCTGGTTGTCTACTGACAAAGAAGATAATGCACGACACAGCAGATGTCGTTATCAAAGCCACATGCACGCTCAACAAGTGGAAATGGCCAGATATTCCTGGGCTCAACAGCTTCAAAGGCACACTTCTGCACTCTGCAAACTGGGATAAGTCTTTTGATGCTACTGGAAAGACACTGGCCGTCATTGGAAACGGATCGACTGGTATTCAAATCGTCCCAGCACTTCAGCCCAAGGCGAAGAAAATCACCTCCTACATTCGTTCCAAAGCGTGGGTGTCCCCGACAGGGCCATACACAAAGTTGGTCGCTGATCATGGAGGCGACGAGAATTGTAAGTCGATATGACCGGCCTTGCTGAGAATTATGACATCTAATCATTAGGGATTGTAGTCTTGCACTCGAAAGAGGAGAAGGCCGCCTTGGCACAAGATCCTTCCACCCTCCTCGGCTTTCGGAAGGAAATCGAGGAAGTTTTACATCGAAGCTACCTCGGAATATTCTCCAACTCCAAAGCGCAAGCGGATGCTTCAGCGAAGCTGGAGGCCTTAGTTCGAGAGAAGATGGGCGCAAAGCCTGGATTATTCGAATTGCTTAAGCCTGAATGGCCGGTAGGCTGTAAGAGATTGGGTGCATCGCCAGGGTATCTCGAGTCTATTATCCAGGAAAACGTCGACATTGTTACATATGGAATCGAGCGAGTGACACCAACAGGAATTTTGGATAACAGTGGCGTGGAGCGTCCAGTGGATGCCATAATCTGCGCCACCGGGTTCGATACGTGAGTTTGGCTCCCCAACCACCCTCATTCTTTCCCTGTTGTCTTATGGTATCCCGGTGAACAATGCTCACGTGTAACTAGCTCCCTTCGGAACTCCACCACTCCTTTTATAGGTCATGGAAGGATCTCATTAGATGAGGTCTGGACGCCGGAGCCAGAGGCATACCTGTCGATTATGCCTGTGAAGATGCCAAACCTTTTCCTTTATCTGGGGCCAAACGGTGCGCCGAATTCGACCATGATAGTCATGATCGAGTTCCAGTGCGAGTACATGATTAAGTGTGTCCAAAAGCTGCAGAGGGAGCACCTAAAATGGATGGTTCCCAAAGTCGAGGCAAAAGACGACTTCGTCAAGTATGCCGACAAGTTTTTTGACAAGACGGTCCTGACCGAAAGTTGTGCATCGTGGTTCAAAAGTGGTGGACGGAGTGATGGTAGAATCACCGCTATGTGGCCAGGCTCACTGGTGCATGCATGGAAGATCTATGAGAATCCTAGGTGGGAAGATTTTGAGTATGGAGCAATGCCGGCAACGGAGGATAATAGATTGGCGTGGTTTGGGAATGGCCTCACGTTGAGCCAGGTCCATGGGACCTCTGCCACGGCGTATCTTGACCATGTCGACACGCCGCCTGTAGATTCCGACTGGCTACAAAGCAAAGGTAAAGGGGTAATATGAAGCGAAATGGCGTTCGTCTAGTTAGGTAGCTGAATACTACAGTATAAGTGTGTAGATTGGCAAAGTTAACCCGGTTGAGCTTGTTGGTATATCAAAACATACGATTATTCGCAGTATGCATGTCTCCATAGTACGATGGACAGCAGTTAAGATTTGTCTTGGGTATGCCGAGAAGAGCGCAAGTCGCGGCTGTGGCGCATCACCATGTGAATGCTTGCGTTGCTTAGTTCTACATCGAATTTCCATTAATCGTGACAATTTACCGATGTGTCTACTCCTTATTCATTGTACTTAACGCTCCGTGGGAACGGCACAAAGCTTATCTCCTCTTCGGGTGCGCGTGCCCGTCTCTTAACTAGTGCCTTACCCACGACAAACAACCATAATTATCAGCACGCAATTGCTGGTGTCGATTGTCAATTGGGCTATTCTTCGTCGCTGTTTTCCGTGAATCCGTCCCCACACCTGCTCATCTGTATCTTTGGCAGTTCGGACCCAGATGATATATATTGATCACAAAAATATCGCAAAGATGAGTTGCAAGTACAAGTGGGCGAAGTTGGACCAGTTGCACCCTTCATAAATTTATTCATTCCCACCTCGGCAGTGAGTTGCGTCGCAATGGCTAGCTACAATGACTTCCAAGACAGCAAGAATCCAGTCAAGTGAGTTGTATTGCATTTGAAGCGCTTTCGTAGAGCTACATCGACTGAACAATTCTTTTATGTAGGGCATATATCGCCGAAGATGACAATGAGATCGGGCGCACTGCAGATGGTGGTGAGCCGAATCAACATGAAAAGTCGACTTTGCGCATAGTCAGCGACAGAATTCCACTGGCAGCCTGGCTCGTTTGCGTCGTCGAGACAGCTGAACGATTCACCTACTATACCCTCTCAGGGCCCTTCCGTAAATTTTCCCTTATTGTCGCGCAGTGTGATTGATACTTTGTCTAATAGGATACTCAGAAAACTACATGCAGAACCCTTACGGCAACAAGCTCAACCCCGGTGCACTTGGCCTGGGCCAGGCCAATGCCAGCAGCATTTCCTATGGCTTCATGTTCTGGATGTACCTCACACCTATGATTGCCGCCTACATCGCCGATTCATACCTTGGGCGTCTGCGCACCATTAACATCGGTGCGGGTTTGTACCTTTGTGGCCTTACGATCCTATTCATCACTTCCCTGCCCTTCTCGCTGGAACGGGGAGCCGGTCTTGGTGGTTTTATTACGTCCTTGTTCCTTATCGGTACCGGTGCTGGGTTCATTAAAGCCAATGTCGGCATTATGATTTTCGAGCAGTATACCGAGACGAAGCAGAAGGTCTCGACCCTCAAATCAGGCGAGAGAGTCATTGTCGATCCGCAGACGACCATCTCCAACATTTATATGATCTTCTACAATGTTCTTTGTCTGGGATGTCTCTCGGGTATACCGGCAACGTATATTGAGCACCGCGTCGGGTTCTGGGCTGCCTTTTTGGTGCCTTTCTGTGTTTTCTGGATCGCCGTCATCACGCTCCTTCTGGGACGGAAGACCTATGGTGAGTCAAGAGATCTTGACGGCGGAAAGTGGCACATATACTGACCCATATCAAGTGCAACGAGTTCCTGAGCCTGTTGTCGGCAAGGCTTTCACCATCTTCCGCATTGCCATCAAGAATGGCTTCAATATGGATGCGGCAAGACCTTCTTTCCAGGCCGAACATGGCGGTACAGATGTCATCACCTGGGACGATAAGTTTGTCACCGAGTTGAAGCGTAGTCTCTATGCCTGTAAGGTTTTGTAAGTAAACGAAATTCTCGACCATTCCGCGAACTAAGCCAAACTAACACCCCGTCAGCATTCCCCAGCCCATAGCTTGGCTGTGTTACCTGCAAGCCGTCAACAATCTCGTTTCTCAAGCCGGAACGATGGTAAGTCGCTTTTAATCGGCAATTGGTCAGATTCTAACGTTACTCCAGGAACGGCACGGCCTTCCCAACGACGTCCTCTACAACTTTACTCTAATCATTGAGATTGTGCTAATTCAAGTTTTCCGGACGATGCTTTACCCCTTACTCCGCAAATGGCACGTCGGCATTGGGCCCATCCGCCGCATTACCGCTGGCTTCATTGCAGGAACATTGGCCATCGCATGGGCGGCTATCGTCCAGAAGATAATCTACTCTGCCGGTCCTTGTTACAACTCACCTCTCACTTGCGACGCCAGCGAGGACGGCACCGTTCCCAACCGCGTCCACGTCATGCTCCAGTTCCCCTCCTATGTACTCTTCGCGCTCTCCGAAATTGGGTTTGCAATCACGGCAAGCGAATATGCCTACACTAAAGCACCCAAGGGCATGAAGGGAATCATCGGGTCTATAAACTACCTGACAGTTGCAGTCGCTTCTTTACTCGGTATGGCTATCTCCCGCACGGCGGTTGATCCTGGATTGACGTGGCTTTATACGTCTCTCGCGGTCGTGTACTTTGTTGTCACTGCCTTGTTTTGGTATTTCTGTCGCGGGTATGATAAGCTTGAGGACGAGCTGTTTGATCTGGACAATGAAGATAACGCGAGCAACACCTAGAATCATTAAAGATTTGATTTTTCGGCTCTCTAAAAGCACTTTGATCTTGCTAAGATTCTTTACGTTGCTCGTTTGAGAGGAGGGGATTGCTTTGCTTGCAGGGATATATCATTACTCCTCCAGAATGGTCGCTTCAATTTTCCACTAGAACTACTTAATAAAATTGGGAGTAGTAAATAACCTGGAATAATCTCTGCACTCTCTTCTCTACTTATAAATAACACTATGTTTGAGAAGGCGGTGATAGGCGCGCGGTTGCGGAACCTCCAATACGAGTGCTTATGAGCGCCGCCTAACGCCAAAGGCTTTTGCGCGCCACGGCCGGCTTTAAGATTGAGGGATGGGGAGGAAGGACGGGGTGATTGAGCAACGCTGGGCAAGATCTATTGATAATACTTCTGAATACCTAAGGGGTGGTAGTGAAAATGAATAGTAATCCAATTGAAAGGGCTTAAAGAATGCGTAAGGGAGTACATTATAATAGCTAATAGGTACTGGTTGCTGAGAACGATATGCCTTAGTTACCTCGGTACCAAGATAGGTAGTTAGTATGAACATCGGTACATACTTAAGAAGAAGGTAGAAATTATCGAAGAACTGCCGTCACACATGCTAAGCAGGGAAAACAACCTTCTTTAAAGGGCGAAAGACGATAAAGAGTATATGGAAAAACCTTCACTGCCCGCGCATCCATTCATCTCGAATGGATAAACAATCTCGCGGAATGCCGAACATAGCAACCGCAAGTGGGGAAAAGCACATGCACGACGGTTGCGACGATCTTTTGAGCCGTAGATTACCCCGGATGATATGCATCGTCTATATTGGAGAGACTGGGGATGCCCTAGCCTAGCCTCGGGATGGTCTCTTGTCTAGCCTAGCTTCCATTCAAAACCAGGTCTTCAATCTGCGGGACTAGGATGCAGGTACTGGCAAACGGTGACGCGTTCAGAATATAAAGTTGTCAACCTCCTAAGCTATGCTCGCACATTGACAGTACCATCTTTGCTGGTCATCTCGACAAGATGCAGTTTCAATGGTCGCAATTGGTGTTTCTCATTGCTGGGAGCAGATCAATCGCTGCACTTCAGCAACAACACATTGGCACAGATGATCTGAAAGCGAAATGTTCTGCCTTCTCTGGCGAACTACAGATCCCGGATGCGACAGTCTACCTTTCTGAGGTCGTTGCTGCTGGCACCAACCTCAGCTTGCCCGACTACAATGTCACCTGTGGAAACCCATACCAAATCGTCCCGAAGGAAATATGTCGCCTTTCTCTATATGTAGCCACTTCGAACCGCTCTGGTATCAATATGGAAGCATGGCTGCCTTTCGAATGGACTGGGCGATTCCTGAGCGTTGGAAATGGTGGTTTGGCCGGATGCATTGGCTACAATGATATCGCGTATGGCTCAAGCCTTGGTTTCGCCTCTGTTGGTGCCAACAATGGGCATAATGGGACGAGTGGAGGTGCTTTTTACAACAATGCCGATGTGCTCGAGGACTTTGCGTATCGCTCGTAAGTGGTGTCTTAATTTTCCTTTGAACACGTTATTTATATTTGTAGGGTCCACACCGGCGTTGTAGTCGGCAAGCAGATTACGGAGGCCTTTTACGGCTCTTCACATAAGAAGTCATACTACCTAGGCTGTTCTACTGGAGGTCGACAAGGGTTCAAGTCGGCGCAAGACTTCCCAGATGATTTTGACGGCATTGTTGCTGGAGCGCCAGCCATTGCTTTCAATAACCTCACATCCTGGAGCGGTCATTTCTACCCCATCACCGGACCCGTGAATTCCTCAACCTTTGTTCCTCAGAATTTATGGCCCGTCATACATGCCGATGTGCTTGAGCGATGCGATGCGCTTGACAACTTCGTAGACGGCATTTTGGAGGACGCATCCCTCTGCAACTACACCGCATCAAATCTTTTATGCGGCAGCAACTCCAACGCATCAGCATGTTTGACGGAGGAACAAGTCAACACTGTGAACCAGATCTACGCCCCACTTTTGGCCTCAGACGGCTCGCTCATTTACCCTCGCATGCAGCCTGGCTCGGAGATCCTTGCCTCCCGCATCCTTTACGGCGGCGCGGTTTTCCCATACACCACCGACTGGTTTAGGTACGCCGTCTATAATGACATTAATTGGGATCCCACAAAAATAAACAACACCGATTACGAGACTGCGGCTCGCACCAATCCTTTCAACATCCAGACCTGGGAAGGCGATCTCAGTGCCGTTCAGAAACGAGGGGCAAAGATCCTGCACTGGCATGGACAGATGGACGCCATCATCAGCTCCGACAACTCGCCGCGATATTACGAGCATGTCTCTGAGACTATGGGGTTGAGTTCCGCCGATTTGGACGACTTCTATCGCTATTTCCGCGTCGGTGGGACGGGACATTGCAGCGGTGGGGATGGGGCCTGGGCTATCGGCCAAAATCTCAATGCGTTTGACAGCTTGGCTCCAGGTGAGAATATTCTGATGGCGATAGTCGACTGGGTGGAGAATGGAAACGCTCCAGACACTCTGATTGGAACGAAGTGGAACAACGGTACTCAGTCTGCAGGCGTGGATTACAAAAGAGCCCATTGCAAGTATCCCCTTCGTAATCGATTCAAGGGAGAAGGCGATGCAAAGGATATAGAAGCGTGGGAATGTGTAGAGTAAATGGCAGTTGCGGAACGTTCAAATATTCCTGGACGGTTTGTATTGCAGCACCAAAACGATGTTGTAGTAATATAGGAATTTGTTTCCAGGGTACTTTAATATCCATGCTAGTCAAATCATCTGATAAGACTGGCCACAGACTCTTTAAAATACACTGTCCAGGTCCAGAAACAAATCATGCCACCCAAGCGGCATACTCTTCAAATTGAGCCCTGGAAAGTCCCATTCAAACACAAATTCACTGGGCGCGTACCCATGAAAGTCATCTTCAGCACTCCTCTCCTCGCCAACGCGACTCGGATCCAGCCCCGTTGAGTTACCCTCCTGCTGGGCCATATATTCCCGCAAAGCGCTCTCGCATTTTTCGATACTTGTCTGCAGGATCTGAAAGTATGCGATGTGACCGATAGCGATGCGCTTAAGAGATTCCAGTACTTTATGGGCATCTTGGAGGAGCAACATGACAGAAGGTAAAGGGTCGCGGAGCAGGAGAGCCAACTTGAGAACGAGCAAAACGGAGAACGCGCATTTTGCCCAGACGTAGTCCATTGTCCATTTGAATGTTGTGAGATACGCTGGACGGCCTTGGTCACGCCTGGTATTTGAAGACTCTGGAGACGGGGGCGAGGAGGACGTTTCCTCGAGCAAGTGATGTAAGTGCCGGGCTGCGGCTTCTTTTGCTGTCCGGACCATGTCGCGTTGAAAATCCTTCATGATGGCAATGTTTTCGATACCTGAAACGGAAAGTGCTTTGAGGTGTAATGTGATGAGCGCCCATTCATACTGAATATGAATGTTCAATAGGGCGAGGGAGCCAGCTTGATCTTTCGATTTAGACGATATGATGATAGTCCATTCTTCTAGCCATAGTGAGAGTTCAATTACTGTGTCTTGGACTGTTGATCTTAGGAGACTTTCATTCTCGGGAAGTATTGATGCACCGTGGTGGTTGACGATATTGACATATGCATTGTTACGGATGATGTTGAGCTCCAATTGGGAAAGGAGACGCAAGTCCACCGATGTGAACTCCGGGTGCTGAATTAGTGCGCGTATTTTGCGAGACGACGTCCGAAGATTGATTCCAGGAAGTTTTCCGCCATCTAGGGAAAAGCTAAACTCCATTAAAGAATTTTCCGGCTGATTCGAGCGGACAAACTTACAAGAGCTCGAGATTGCAGACACCATGCCATATTCTTGCTAAGCGATACAAATCTTGATCCTCAACACTTACATCACCGGACCTCTGTAGAGGCTTTGCTATCAATTGGTCAACAGAATTTGGCAAGCCCAACTGTATTGCAAATCGTAAAGCGAGAGCAATTAACACGAATCCATTCTCTGAGTACCCTGCCATAATCGTAATTGCTTGCACGACTTCAACAGATGGTGTATCCATTGTGATGAGAATATTGGTCAGGTGCTCTCGCAGCCGCGATTGAAGTCGATGATGCAGAGACGAACTGACGCCTTCCTCTGCCCGGCAACCAATAGTCACTATTGCATCGAATAGAAATGCATTTCTTGACAAGACTGACTCGAATGTATCTGTCCTTTCACTGAAAATGGGAACAAGGTAATGCTGCTACTATTAGCAAATTGCTGCTGCGAAACGGCAAGGACAACATCGTACACTCCCAGAAAAGAAGCTGCGCTTTCATTAGCACTGGCGTTTGGTTCTTTAATACGAACAACCTGCCTCTGGTACCAAAATGATGCTTGTTCCCATGATATTAGCCCCTTCTCCACAGCATTGCACGTCGTCCCAGTAGCGTTCATCACAAGGGTAGATGGTAATCCATGGGCAAGGTTGGGAAGCGAAACTGCATAGCCACTAAACGCTTGGTTGGTAATGGTCCCAACAGGAAGATTCGGCTGTAAGGTAGAACCTCCTTCGGGGGACACATTTGTATGCGATGAGATTGGTGTTCGTGGCAGAAGCTCCCGTCGACTGACATCAATTGCCTCTTCCAGGCCGGTTTTCAAGGCGTTGACTTCGGCTTCAAGCTTCTCAACCCTCATCAAAGTGGGGTCTTTGGCACCATCGTAGTAGACACAGTCGGTATTGTTGCGGGCGCATCGCTGGCATGGCCGACTACCGTCACATCGGACCTTTGAGGCTCGGCAAGTAGTGCAGGCATTGATGGCGCGACGTTTGCGTGGTCGCTCAGGCGACACAGAGGCATCCATCGGTAACTTCGTGCGAGAATAACAGATGAGATGGTTACAACGGCGTCCAACCCCAGTATATGAACGTGGAGATGGCCGAGGGTCCACGAAAGAAGCGTGCGGGGAAATGTCAGGTGTCCGTCATGTCTAGGCTCGTGCGTTCACCCACGCGAGTCATAGGCACGGCCGAGACTATGGGCCGACAGATTGCTTATGATTATTCTTGGGGGAGGTTTAGAGCCGCTATCGGACTTGTGTGTTTGAGTTCATACCATAACGGCCGCAGTCGAAAAGTCGGCATGCTTTGTTTTATGTCTCTGATGCCAACGACTTCATGACCAATTTACTAGAGCGTTACCTAATACGTATTATGAACTGAGGTTGATATGAAGACTCATTGGGAAGAAAACCATGTTTGACAGTGAATAAATTTTGAGTAATGTATGTACAACTGATCTGATCGGTACCTCTTGGATAATTACGTCTTGTCTTATACTAGTAATTAGATAACACCCTACAGAAGGTAGATAAAATCTTCATTCTTCAAATCTGTCACATCGTCGAAAGCCTTGTCACCAACACCGCTCGCCTCTGCATTCGCAGCGTCCTCGGAGTCGCTTGCCTTATTCTGCATGCTGGTATCGACGACGTGTGCTGACTTGCCCAGGCGCTCGCGAGCAGCGGCATGCTTCCGATTCAAAAACTTAACGTAGATCATCCCTACTACCACAAGCACGACGATAGCAATGAACAGTCCTAGATTAGCACGCAGTCCTCTGGAGTACTTTGGCTTCTCCGATGGCTTGAAAAGGAGTGGTCCGATAATGTTGCCTGCGCTCGCACCGACGAAGAGGAAACTCGTGGTGACTTTGCGCTTTGTGTCGCCGCCGGTATTCTGGCCTGACCATGAGTAGATCAGGGGCGAAATGCCAGGGTAAAAGGATGTGAGATAGTATCCGACCAAAAGAACACCGCGGTTGTGCTTCTCGCGACCAACCACCATCAGGATGATAATGCCAATAATGGGAGGGATGCAGAGAAGGATCAGCACTGGAGACTTCATCTTGATGCGTGTCGCGAGCCATGCGCCGCCCAGCGTTGCGAATATTTGTACGGCGCCGAAGGGCATGTTGAAGAGGATGGTCTGGAATTTGCTGAAGCCGAATGATTGGATGATCAGTGGTCCGAAGGTGGTAATGCCGCCACTTGGGATACTATGACTAGGTGAGCATGAGTTGATTACGGGTTCGATCATTTACTTACGAGACAGCAGTGAGCATGAAGAACCATAGCCAAGTCTTCAGGTCGAGAAAAGTCTCCAAGACGTGGTCCCATTTCCAGACACGCGAAGCAACACCCATCTGGTTCATCCTAAGACGTTCGACAGCGACCAGCTTTTCGTGATCATTGAGGAACCTGGCCTCCATGGGCGAATCCGGCATGAAAATGAAAACCGCGGTGGCAGTTACCACCGTGAGAAGACCGCAAAACAGGAAGATGATCTGATATGAATGTAGAGCATTGGATTTGATGTGACCAAGACCGTAGGATAGGAGTGACCCAAGGATGTTGACGATTCCCAACATGGCATACCATGATGCGTTCCGGTTTGTCTGTTCACCACGCTTGTACCACATCTGTACGACGGCAATGAACGCAGGCGCGACAGCAGACTCTGCTGCACCGAGTAGGAAACGTGTAGCCATGAGTCCTGCGAAATTCCTGGTTCCAGCCATTCCGCAGAGTATAACACCCCAAGTAAAGACCATGACGCCAACGAATTTACCCATAGGTATCTTCACTAGCAAGACGGCAACAATAGGCTGCATTACGAGCTGCGCAATGTATACGATTGAACCGAGCCATGAGTATTGATCGGAGTCTGGATCCAGGTTCGCATCTTCGATAAGCCCAAAGACGGATGCGTACGAGAGCGTAGTCTTATCCAAACTTTGGAGGAAATATACTGAGAGCAGGATTGGAAGAATGACAAGATCGATCTTCCTGAGTACCCTCTTGTTCTCTTCTGGCGTGACTGTAATGCGTTCGTTCGAGTTTAGCAGTTCGGCAGCCTTATCCTTGCCTTTGACGTTCACTGTTGGCTTGTGGACTGATTCGGCTGTCTCCACCGTGTTCTTGTTGATCTCTGGCTCAGCAGGCGTGGATGCATCGTCTTTTGCCATGATGGCCTTGATGGGGATAGAAAACAAGATGAATGGTAATAGCAAAGCGATTGCCCTTGATGAAGACCCGCAAAAACAAATGGATTCAATGCATCTTATATCCGAAACCCCACGGGGCACCCCAGATCGCTCGTATCTGTTTTGAGGGTGGTGTCGGCCGAAGTTACCGTTAGCCAAGGAACACGACGGCCGATCCTACCATACGACCAACCTACATAAGTCTTCGGTATATCGGATGTTCATCGTCATATATTAAGACCGAGGAGTTGATTCATACCTGCCACTTCCAAGGTGGATGTCTCTTTGATTTAAAGTGTTTTTCACTCCTGCGCGTGGCAGCTTCATTCATCATGCCTCAAGAAGAACTCGTTCCCCTAAATTTCCAACTAGCCCAGAGGAACAATAGTTCCAATGGCGATATAATTCTGCAGACCAAGCAAAATGGCCTTTCCTTTGAGTTCACTTTTCAGGCACTGAGACCTGGTCTTTTCCGCACGACATTCACTTCGTCAAAACACCCTCTGCCGCCACATCGAGCAGCTCCTGTACCATCTGGAAAGCTCGAACAGGGCGAGTTCCAATCATCTTCACCATCGCCGACTTGCAAGTCATTTGATTTGAATGGAACTATCGCGTCAGTAGACTGGGCTGAAGGCCCTCCCATAGTCTCCTTAACTCTCCCGGGCCACAAAACCCCAATCCATGCGGATTTGCCAAATCGCTCTTACGTCGCAGACCACCATGGAGTGTCGCATTACACTCGCTACAACAAGGGTACATTGCACGTAGGCCTTGGTGAAAAGGCTGCCCCATTGAACCTGTCAAATCGACATTTCGTCCTTTCCGCAACAGACAGCTTCGGCTACGATGTCCACCGAACAGACCCACTGTACAAGCACATTCCTCTGCTCATCAACGCAACACCAGAAGGCGTCGTTGCAACTTTCTCCACTTCCCATGCGCGAGGATTCTACTCCATTGGCTCGGAAATGGACGGCCTATGGGGTCGGTTCAAAGTCTATCGCCAAGAATTCGGCGGCCTCGAAGAATATCTCATCACCGGCCGCACGATCCAAGACGTCGTTCGCACCTACGCCGACATCGTGGGGTATCCTCTTCTTGTACCCCGCTGGGCCTTCGGGTATCTTGCCGGGGGTATGAAGTACTCCATGCTTGACGAACCGCGAGCCTGCGATGCACTGATGGGATTCGCGCAAAAGCTCAAAGAGCACGACATCCCCTGTTCAGGCTTCCAGATGTCGTCTGGATACACAGTTGCTGAAACGGAGCCGAAGACTCGGAATGTTTTCACGTGGAATCGACATAGATTCCCGGATCCGAAAGGCTTCATGGATGCGTATCATAAAGAGGGCATTCGGCTGATTGCCAATGTCAAACCCTATGTTCTGGGTAATCATCCTGAGTACGAGAAACTGAAGAAGTTAGGTGCGTTCTTCACAAACCCGGCGACTGGCGGAACCGGTGAGGCACGTCTGTGGAGTGCTGGTGGAGGCGAGAGCGGTGTCGGTGGACACATCGATTTCACATCCGAGGCTGGGTATAAATGGTGGTACGAGGGCGTTCGGGAGCTGAAGAAGGTCGGCATAGATTGCATATGGAACGATAACAACGAGTATACGCTTCCCAATGATTCCTGGCAGTGTGCGCTGAATGAGAAGAATGTCAACAAAGGTGACGGAGAGGTCTTCACCAATGCTGTTGGCTTCTGGGGTCGGGCGCTGAACACCGAGCTGATGGGAAAGAGCTCCTATGATGCGGCTCTTGATGTTGTGCCAAACGAGAGGCCATTTATATTGACGAGAAGCGCGACGGCAGGTACGCTCCGATATTGTGCCAGCTCGTGGAGTGGTGACAATGTTACCAGCTGGGACGGTATGAGGGGAGCTAACGCACTGTCATTGAATGCTGGTCTGTGTCTGATGCAGGTGAGTTCTAGTATCTTGGAGGCAATCTTTCGTGATAACTGACATTGTGTCTAGTGCTATGGGCATGATATTGGAGGTTTTGAAGGCGAGCAACCATCTCCAGAGCTACTCGTCCGCTGGTGTCAACAAGGGATCTACTCTTCTCGATTCGCCATCAATTGCTTCAAGACCTCTCCCGAGAACAACAGCGTCGGAGACGTCATTGAACCTTGGATGTACGAGGAAACCACGCCTCTTGTACGCGACATCATTAAGCGTCGCTATGAGCTGATTCCCTATCTCTACTCTCTCGCCCTGCTCAGCCATCAGACCGCAACACCGCCTCAACGCTGGACTGGGTCTGGGTACGAGTCAGACCCAGAGGTCTGGACAAATAGAGTGCTCACCGATGGAGAGACTCAGTACTGGCTTGGAGATTCCCTCCTCGTTGGTGGAGTTTTCGAGCCCGGCCAGTCAACAGCGAAAGTCTACCTCCCACGGGACGCATCAAACCCGGACCTCCAGTTCCTTGACCTCAACGACACCCAAAAATACTACTCCGCCGGCCAATGGATCGAGGTCTCTGCAAAATGGACCGATAGCATTCCTGTCCTCGCTAAGGTCGGTGGCGCCGTGCCTGTCGGACTGAACGTGCAGGTCTTGTCCGTTGGTGAAACTGCGAATCCCGCGAACCTTCCTACCGATGACTACCGTGCCGTAGAAATATTCCCTCCGCCAAACAGCAATTCGATTGGAAGAGAGTATATCAATGTTTGGTACGAGGATGATGGCATTTCGCCGCCACCTGCAAGTATCTCGGTGTTCACTGTTAGATACTCGGCTACGGAGAAGGAAGTTAGAGTCAGTCTCGAAGAACAGCTACAGCCAGGGTTCGAGCCTGCTTGGAAGGACCTAGGTGTCATTCTTCCGGCCGGTGACGATAGGACCGTGATCTTTGCGGAGCATGAAGCAAAACTACTTAAGACTGATGACAAGGGCAGGAAGCATTTTACTGCAAGCATAGGTCGAGCTCCGAGAGGTACAGTACAGGAAAGGTCTAGAATATAGATCTTCATTATCAATCGCATAGCACGAATCATTCGGTCTAGATAAGCCATCAGAGTGCAATGGTCTGTCTAGATTAATATATGTATAGGGAGTTCGTGTGATTATCAGTCAACATTGCCATGTCACAATGAGTGTGCTCAACCTGCGACGCCAATAATAAATCGGTATGATATGTGCGTTGGCATTCTATCAACTTAACTTTTGCGAATATATGATTTGATTTGGTGTTTGTTCTAAAAACGTCATCACAATTGTCGTCACCACGTAAAAGGCATTAGATCACAAGAGCGTTATGCGTCGTTGCTGAAGGTCGCGTTTCATCGGGCCCATATAGCATTCACTCATCCCTACAAGTCGTCAGCACACATTGTATTTCGCATGGGCGAATATATCGTCACGAATCAGAAAAATTGACAAACCTTGTGCCCGAAAGAACAAGACCCACGGATCTACGTTCTGCCCTTTGAATCTTTCCATAAATTGCTTACCATCCATACAAACCTCCTTGAAGCCAACCTCCTCTTTGCCTCCCTGGATTAATCCGCATCCGCTCATTTCTCCCTCCTGCTCAATCTCTTCCTCAATCTGCGCCAACCAACTCTTATTCATCGGACTGACCTCACCATCCTTAAGACTCGACCCAATCCTCCTCGTCGCACAAAGCACAAGCTCATCCACTCCCTCCCCACTCCTCCCATGCCTCTTAAAAATAACCCACGATGTGTCGCAGCAAGGTTTCGGGCAATAACTCGGCAGTGTAGTGCACTGCCTACACGCGCCGACATCGCAAGACGGACCATTGTCGTCACTCCTAGAATACGAAAATGGATACTGTCTTTGGTCGACCAACATTTTGGCGCTAGGAATCCAGGAAGTCACGTCTGAAATCGAGGTGTGTGGACACAGCTGCTCGCCGATGGAGTGTAGGGAAGCTTCAAGTTTCGATGGGGCGATGTACTCGTCTTTGCGTGTTTTAAGCAATCCCCAAGATTGAGACATTATGATTAGTTCCTGCTCATGTGCCCCTTCACGCTTAGATATTCCGATGAATGGGGCGGTCAAAGAGAGTTCGGGGCCAGATGTGCCGTGCTCTGGATGCGTGCAGGTGCGACAGTCAAGTAAGTCTGTCGTTACCACTGGAGATTTGTTGTTGCTTCTCAATTCCTGTAATTCGTCGAAGGAGAATGTCTGATGTTTGCACAGTGATATTCTCCCTTGTGCGCCGATGCATAGTCTGCGATTTGGATCTTGGGTGACCATGTGCGAAGAGAATGCAGTAATTGGATGCAGACATCGACAGCGACTGCATGTTATCTTGTCCTGGCTACAATTCAGATTCGAACGGAGATATCGCTCGCGACGAACGTTCCATTGGTAATTATCTTCGGACTTGAGCTTGAGGAAGTACTCTCGTTCGGCATGGTTGATATCCTTTTGGTCTGGGTTCCTGAACACGCTATGGAAATGTCGGCCAGCCAGACGGAGGGAAATAATGGCGGTGGGCGGAAGGAATTCGCCGATTAGAAAATGTATCTCCACTGGTAGACGGTAAAGGTGGCTATAGATACGGTTGTGTATGTATTCCGGTGCATTGGTGTTCGGAAGCCATAGAGGCTGTTCGGATAACCCGCCCGCATCGCCTTTCATCATGCCTTCGAAGCTCTTCTCAATAATCACCGCTCTTAAGAAATCAATTGGATGAAACGCACTTTTGAGGAATAAAACATATTATTTTCGAAAACGAGGCCATGAATGTTATTTTAAGCCAGGGTAAACAATCATCCATACGGAAATAGGATTGTCGGTAGGGCATCGAGACGAGACGGTCGGACACTGCGAAATTGCGGACCTGAGGAGTCATGCGTACCGGTCGTCGGAATTTAGTGATCTTGATTGGGTTACCTCTGTGATAACCCGCAATTCCGAGCGAAATCGGTTGCGTGGCAGATACAATGCAGAATCCTATTTTCCATTCGATTCAGAAGTAATTATTCCAGACCATCGTGTTATAGCATGTTTTGCGGCGTACAGATGTTGCTGAGTTATCGAACGTGCAACGGCTTTAATGAGGCTAGGAGTCAATCAGTCTCGTCGCATGATTGGTCGGGAGTTTTCTGGACAAACAGCTTTCTGGAGTTCCAGGTTCGACGGGATCTTGATGAACATTGAAGTTGCCTGTTCTGATCTCCAAAGTCCAAAATCTAATTTTGGGTAGATCTTTAAAGCACTTGATTCGCCTCGACCACCCAAGGACTCGAAGTCCAGGATAGAATTCGTCGTTTGTGTACACGACCGGACTTTGGTGCTGACGGGTATCTGTTGAAACCATAGTCGACCCAAGTCCGCTTTAATCCATTGTGAAGTAGATTATTGATACTAACAAATCATCAAAATATGTTTGAGATAGCAGAAGAGGTGTTCTGAACTTGCAACGATAAGCAAGGCTTGAGTATAAGTAGCATGGCTTGCATTGTTGACTGCCCATTATTCGCAGTAAACCAATCATTACTTTCCTTTGCAGTGTTATAGATTTCCAATCATTTCATCATTTTCCTTTTGAATATCTTCGTTCCAGTCATTTCATAAAACTTTCTCCGGTCTGCGCTTCCTAAAATTTCACAATGCCTTCTTTCCAATCCATTCTTTTGGGCACGCTTCTTGCTGCACCATACGCAGCAACCGCTGTGTTGTCTACTACAACAATTCCTGCAAGTTTCACCCAAGTCGTCCGTGCCCGGGCCACTCCCACCCCACCAAAATGCTTCCAAGTAAAGGGTAACGTGCAATATACCAAAGGCACTCCAGATGAGCAGGTCAGCAATGGCTGGCAGGTGCTTCTCGACGACGGTCAGGTCATTTGCGACAATGAAGGCGCGGAATCTCCTTTGAAGGGCTCCAAGATCAATTGCTCTGGACCCCCGGGTTTCACTTCACAAACTTTCGAATGGTCGTGGCCAGATGTGAACGGTCCTCTGACGGCCTCCTATTGCTACGATCTTAACAACGCGAATTGGTATGTCTTCATCTCCCAACACTGCACAATCATCATTGTTGCGGGTGTTTGAACTAAACTGATCATGAAAACAGTGCTAGTAATACCCTTACCCAAGGACAAGGTTGGACTTGCACAGAGAACGGAGCAAGTTTTACGTGTGAGGGAGAAGTACAAGTTTGCGGAGGAGCTCAGTAGAATGTGGGCTCGAAGATGCTCTTTTGAATCTTTCCCACCTTGTTTGATGTGGCTCTGATAAGAACCAAGAAATTACGCATACGACGAATCGGTGTATAAACAGCAGATGTGTTGTCCATACAAGATAATCCTCGTGTATGATCTGCTATTCCCGCCAGGCTCATAAGCCCACTTTGCATAAAACATGTAAAATTATTTCGTCCGTTGTATGCTCCTCGTTAACGTCTGATACCGGTACTCCTTTAGTTCTAGCACTAATACTGGACTGGTGAAGTTGGTCTACAATAGTCCTCTGGATGGTGCCGTGTGTAATCATGATTTCCTTTTGACTGTTCACACGTTTAGCATGTACAGAAGAGGGTTGACGCGTCGGGTTGAACACCTGCTAGCGTTTTTAGCAGATATAAGGAACAATACGTGCATGTATAACCTCTTATTTGCTACAAAACAGCTGATTAAGGTTAAAAGGTGCACATATACTAGCAGGTGTTCAACCCGACGTGTCGACCCTCTGTACCTTCTCCAGAAGCATATTGGAGGAGAATCAATCATCATCCTTTCCGGCTGCTCTTGCACGCCAAGCGCTATCCACATGGTCTATTCTTGGCGGCTGGGCAAGAGGCAGAAAGCTCCCGAAAGGTGGCGAATGAGAAGCTCCCATCGGAAAAACAAAGTTGCAACGGGCAGTTCTAGACCTCAATTGCTGGCGTGAGCGCAGGTGGGTGCTGTTCTGATCGAGTTGAGAGCACTTCGAGCTCTATACTGTATCTCTTGTAATACACAAATGATTATTGAGAGGCCACGAAATCGAGTCCGAAGAAGATCGTATGTGTTCGCAGCTATATTGTAGCAGCGGAGGCGGAAATCAAGTCAGCTTCTAGGCCTAGGTCTCAGAAAACAGCGACTGAATAAGCATTAACATTGAACGGATCTTCAGATGATCAATGGCGGAACCGATCGCGGCAGCGAATAGCAAAACAGCGACAAATAATTTGTCGGTCGGCGACGGCATAGGAGGCTCGGCAAAGCTGCAGGTTGGCAGTTTCGGTCCGTCTTCTGGTAACTACGAGCTATGATGCTGTGAAGGCACAAGGACATGGAGCCAGGTCCAGGTAGAAGACAAGAAGCGACGGTGCGTGCATGCAACGAGGTCGTTGCGCGAGGGAGAGATAATTATAATGGAACCGGACGGGCCAATCTATTCAGAGCTGTGTTCGCGGAAAGGAGTTGTCTGGAAGCCGCCGACTCCTGAGGTAGTACCAGTATGTATACGATACGGTGGTACGAAGTACGATATACACACCGTAGCTATCGTATCACCACCTAAGATCGTCGACAAGTAGTGCCGAAAGATGTTCGACTGTGAGGCTGAGTACGCAAGACGATCCGGCACCAAGCTTGGATAGTGGGATGCCAGGGGGGCAGTGTAAGGTGCATGCCATGCCATGCTAAACCATGAGAGCCTTCAAAACCACCCTAGAAGAGTCGACCGTACGTCCATGCCGTGAAGGTGTTGTAGCTCAGAATTGCTACGAGTACATTGAATGTTGAATGCGAATGAATGATTATAATGGTGTTCATGTTGGGAAGCAATAACGAATCGACACGGGTTGGTGTTGTTTGTGATGGTAATAAGGAGTGATGATTAGAGACGAGAAAAGCCAAGACTCGACGTGGAAGTAAGCAACGATGACGTAACCCGATGGTAGAATTTCGGCTCGGCTCGTTTCGACGTTCCGTGTCTCTCTCTTTCTCTCTTTCTGTCTCTCTTTACTCTCTCTCTCTCTATGCTCTCTCTCCGTCTCATCGTATCAACCTCCCCATCCCTTACCCTTAACCCTCCACCCTTATAACCCGACCAGCACACCAACGGCAAACGCCAATTCGAACATCCGACTACTACTATCTAATAAGTCTGGAACTACCCCCGTAGGGTGAGGGTGACCTTCCATACTCATCTCCGTCTCTCTTCGTTTCTACTCAATATCAACAACAACATCAATATCAACATAACATCAACATCCGCATCATCAACCACCGTCAACAATATCCCACAACCCGCCATCCTTCGAACGTCCCCACGCCTCGTCCGCGACCCTCCATGCCCTGCTATTCGCCCTCCACATGGGTATCCGCTACCCGGCTGTTGTCAACATAATCACCCTCATCTTCTTCTTCGTCTACTTCTGGATCGCTGCGTACCTGTGCTATCGCCACGGCCTCGGTCATAATACACCATGGATATGCATAATCGTCCTGTGCCTTTGCCGCCTGACCCAGGTCTCCCTCGATCTGGCGGCCACTCAACTCTTCCCACCGTTCTCGGCCGCTAATACGTCCCTTGAGAGTGGTGTCGCCATCTTGACCGAGATGGGCCTGACACCACTGTTCATGGCTACTACATCAATGCTCAATACTACCTCACGCCCCAAAGGACGTCGAATGCAATGGATACTTCTCATTCTACACGTTCCGCTCATCGTATCATTTATCCTCATCGTTGCCGGCGGAATTGATCCTGATTCCCGCGATACCCCGACTTTCGCCTCGACCGAAGCCACCAAAGCCGGCATCGCCTTATATTGCGCGTGTTTCGTTGTCCTGATCTGGGCCACAGCGGTTATCTCGTCTCGTCTATACCTGGCCGACTCGTTCGAAGTCAAGATACTTACCACCGTGGTTCTCAGTCTTCCTTTCTTCTTGGTGGACGTCGTCTACATGATGTGTTTCGCTTTTGAAAGTTTGTGGGGTAGCCAAACATTCAATGTTATCAGCGGCGACGTCACAACTCAATTGTGTATGCAGGTTATAATGGAATACATAATCGTTGCATTGTACCTTGCCATGGGTCTAGAGTTGCCCAACAAGGTAGAAAGAGCCGTCGAGGAGGTGGATCCCGAACAACTGACAGCCACGTTTCTCTGGAAGCTTTACGAAGTAGGATCATGTAAGAACTCTGATAACACAGCACTAGTGTTAATATACTAATGATTTTGCGCCAGCTGTTGTCGCTTTTGTTATTATGCCCGCCCTCCAGTTCGCACATTGGTTGTTGGGAAGAATATTACGTTCCTGAACCTGTCTTTTAGCGAGCGATACTTTTGGCATTGCATTTCATCATCATGCGAACTACGAAAGTAGTAGCTTTACCCGTCCGTACAGGACGTCTAGTACGATAGCGTCACGGCGCATACACAACTATTTTCTTTGAGGTGTGTTCATACACGTTTACATGACTTTTCTCAGTCTGACGGAGAAACGCCCACATAGATCGCATCCCTCTCTCTTCCTCGGTCTATCGGTCATCGAAATTCTTCGCATCTACCCACCAAATATCCATCCGCTTGCTTCGTCCCGCGTAAACTGGTCACTATCATACGAGTCCTTCGGGCAAGAGGTGGACGACTCCACCACTTATATATGCTGCGCGTTCCAGGAGAGTTTCGCAGAAAAACCGTAACTTTACTCCATGGAAAGAGCGTATAGAGGAACTATCTGTTGGGACTGTTTGATATTTGCGAAGACCAATGATTGTACGGTTCAATTGTGCTAACACACCACCGCGGCATTACTTCTCGACTCCAGCCAGAACGCGTTGGACTATATGGGCAAGCGTTCGAAAGGATGGCCGTAGGTTCTGCTGTTTTGCGCAACTTCCTTACAGGGGTGCATAGCTTTTCTCGTTATTTTGCCACCTAGCCTTGGAGGGTTCCAGAGTATTGGATGACGACCTGTTCGGCGTCTTAACGCCAATGTTGATCCTACATCGCAATCCTTCATCTTGACTGCTGCATCATGGGGTGGATGGATAATGGCTGCGCAAAGAATGGCCAGACCGGCTCAATTCTAGGCTAAGAATTGGATACGTCAGGTTTGTTGCGTACTCTAGGTGCCTGCATCGAGAGAACATCCATTTGTCTTGTGCATAATAGGAAAACTCTTTGTTGTGCTCACTTTGTCGATACGCCGTTGGCTTGCAAAATGTTTTCCAATTTCACCAGCGAACCTACGGATATTGAGTTGAAAGGGCACATAACCGAGCTCTACTATTAGCAAAGATTTCACACTCTACATTGTGGAGTGTATAAAAGATACACACTTCGTTCCGCTACCATGACTTCTCTTTCAATGCATCGCTCCTCGGTTCTATTCTCTCTCAAGGTCTATACGCCATCACTACTCGAAGTGACGAGATTGGAACGAATATTCTGCAATAATACAAGTAGTGCTAGGAAAATCAATAGGCAGCGCTTAATTGCCGATCAATCTACGAACCCCTGATGCCTCGGGCAAGTTACCTCCGCCCTCCAAGAGACTCATTTCCGAACTGCAAGATAGTCACACAACTATTCTCAATTTGACTGAACCACCTATAGAATATGGAACATCTTAAGGGTTCGGGGCTCCTGGAGCCGATACAATTATTCCGATACTCAACGACCTCGCAACTCGGACGATGATTATGCGACGGTTTAGCAATGGAAGAAATTGCATGTGCTTCTGTTTCCCCACAATCTCCCCGCGCCCTAGGATCTCGCTCTACATCAACCCGTTTATCCACGGACATCAACCACAACGGGTAAGCGCCAGTTGTTCAATGATAGAACATGCAGTTGCGTGATTGTTTCTAATTTCAACACAATCGACTATGTAGTCAAGTCCAGGTAATCGGGATCCATAATGCAGGTACAAATATGTGAACTACTGCCCATTCACTCAAGGCCATCCAACTCTCCTCGTCTTAGGGTCACTCCTTGCCTAACACGAGGATGTCTAAAAGCGTTCTTGGCTGTGTTGCCCTCATTGGGCTTGTGAATTCTGTTCAAGCTCAAGGTCGCTCCACCAGCGAAGCTGTCAAAGTCAAGTGGCTTGAAGATGCGCCAAAATACAACGGCGGTGTCACGTTCGGTTTACCATGGGCGCTTGGGCAGTTCTCTGCCAATGCATCCACTTTCTCCGCTTCGTCAGGGAATGGGGATGTCCAATTGCAGTCTTGGATTAACGCGTACTGGCCAGACGGATCGATCAAGTGGACCGGCCACGCACTCGGTGCTTCGGAGTCGGCCTCAGATGAATACACTATAACTGCGACTGGTTCGGGCACTGGAAATGCAACTCGGCTGAGAAAACGAGCGATAAACGACACAAATGTTATCCAGGTCACCCAAACAGCAGACAATATCCGAGTCAATACCGGGAAGATTACTGCGGAGTTTCCAAAATCGGGCGATTCGATCCTTTCTTCCATTAAGACATCTAGTGGAAAGACCGTCGGCACCAATGGTCGCTTGGTTCTTAGGTCTCAATCTGGTGTTGGAGATGATGACAGTGGAGATGCCGCCGCAGTCGACTACTATAACTTCATCAGCAAGGTTTCCAATGTGACTGTATCTAAAGAGACGTCCATTCGCACCCTGGTGACTGTGCAAGGCATCCACCGTCTTGAAGAGAAATTATCGGGCACGCATAAAGATTGGCTCCCCTTCACCGTTCGTTTCTACCTCTACGCCAATTCTGAGGCCATTCGAATCGTTCATACCATTATCTATGATGGTGAATCTAAGAATGACTTCATCTCTGGGTTGGGTGTCAAGTTCGATGTGCCGCTCGAGGGCGAGGAATTCTACGACCGCCATGTTCGAATTGCCGGCGTCGATGGAGGAATACTGCACGAAGCAGTGCAAGGACTCAGCGGTCTCCGTCGGGACCCCGGCAAGAATGTCACTGATGCACAGTATGAAGGCAAGAAGCTGCCAGATATCAGCACATGGCCTGCCAATGTTCGCACCCGCACGCAATGGATCCCCACATGGAGCGACTACCGCCTTACCCAACTATCGCCAGACGGATTTAACATCCAGAAGCGAACAAAGGCCGGTCAAAGTTGGCTCAAGATTCCCGGAGGTACTCGTGCCGGCGGCCTCGCATATCTTGGTGGTGCAACCGTGGGTGGGCTTGCTGTCGGCCTTCGCGACTTCTGGAAGAAGTATCCTACCAGTCTGGACATCTCGAACGCCGCCACCGACACCGGATCAATCACCCTGTGGCTTTATAGCCCTTCGGCTGAGCCTCTGGATGTGCGTCCTTATCACGATGGTCTTGGAGAAGACACATATGCAAAACAGTTAGACGCTCTCGAGATTACATACGAGGACTGGGAAGGGGGTTATGATACTCCATATGGTGTTGCCAGAACCAATGAGCTATACATCTATGCCTTTGACAGCACTCCAACTGCGGAGAAGCTATCTCAGCTAACGAACAACACCAACGAGCCGCCAGCTCTTGTCGCAGACTCTGCATACATCGCCGAAACTAAGGCTCTCGGTACTTACTGGGCCACCCCGGAATCCACTGTCGGGTCAGCAAAAGCGGAGGCCCTTGAGTCACAATTGGATTTCCTCGTCAAGTTCTACGAAGGACAAGTAGAGCAGCGCCGCTGGTATGGCTTCTGGGATCATGGAGATATCATGCACACTTACGACCGGGTTCGCCATCAATGGAGCTACGATGTCGGAGGATACGCATGGGATAATTCCGAACTGTCGCCAGATCTGTTCTTCTGGAACTTCTTCCTCCGGACCGGCCGTGCCGATGTGTTTCGACTCGCCGAGGCTCAAGCTCGTCACGGCGGCGAGGTGGATTCGTATCATCTCGGAAATTTCACTGGTCTCGGCACGCGTCACGGTGTTCAGCACTGGAGCGATAGTGCTAAGCAAGCCCGTATCTCCACGCCTATCTACCGAAAGGCGTTCTTCTACCTCTCCGGCGGGGACGAGCGTACGGGTGATCTGATTCATGCCGTTCTCGAAGCCGAAAAGGCTTTCGTCCTAGTCGATGCTCGCCGCAAAGTGCGTGATCCTTCCATTATCTATACCCCCGATCCCGAGGCTCTGTTCCTAAACTTCGGCACCGACTGGGGTAGCATCGCAGCAGCATATCTTATCGAATGGGAACGGCGAGGTCCCCGCTGGGAAGAATGTCGAGACAAGCTCATCAACACCTTCAAGACCTTCCCGAAGCTCAAGAACGGCTTCGTGACCGGCGAAGCCCTCTACAACTCCCTTGACGGCACATGGGCTCCTCCGCCCAACGATCCCGATAACGCCGGTACCGTCACAGTATCCCATCTCTCCTCCGTCTTCGGCGTCGTAGAAACCATCGACGAACTCATCACCCACTACCCATCCGTTCCTCAACCTTTCGTCGACGCCTGGCTGGACTACTGCTACTACTACGGCGCCCCCAAAGCCGAACAAAAAGCTCGCTACGGCAAGGACTTCGGCAACCTCAACCTCAAACAAGGTCATTCGCGTCTCACGGCCTACGCTGCTCGTGCCAGACAGAACGCCACACTCGCGGCCCGCGCGTGGAACGAGTTCTACACCAGCACAGACGGCCTCAGCCCGAATGCCAGCTGGCAGACTGTCAGGATCGATGGCGATAAGAGTCTGACTGTCGTCGACGAGGCGGATTGGATCTCGACGAATGCGGCGGCGCTGTATGGGCTGAGTGCTATTGAGAATTTGGCGATTATTGGGGCTGCGGATAAGATCAATTTAAATGTTACCGGTAGTGCTTAGGTGCGAAGATATCGAAGGGTTTAGTGGGATTCTATCCTTCTTGTAAATGTTTCTTGTTTCTTTTATTCTTTTCAACTTGAGTTACGGAGTACTATATTATGATAATGTTTTGATTTTTTATTGTTATTCTCGATGATATTTTAGCTTTACGCTATCTTTTCAATCTCCTTTGTCGATATTTACCTCGCAAACTTGTATGCCTAACCGTTGTCTATTGTTCACTTTGCCCAACTAGCCCCCTAAGTCAACATCCTCCTTATCGTCAAATCCCCTTCCCGTTCCCCCTTTTTCCTTCTTAGCCTTCTACTGCCTAGGTATCGACCCCATGCGACCCTTGGTGTTCTAGAGCTCCAGAATCCATGCACGAGATTCATTCCATCACCTACACCGCTTTCGATGATCCTTGTCCATACATGTAACATGGAAATACGATCGCAATACGGTATTTACGCAAGCGACTTAATGCGGTACATGGATTTTGATTCATGCTCAAACAACCCTTGGTCCGTGGTTTTGAGTTCAACGGTCTTTTACAGTTTCCGAAGTTTTCATGTGGAAGAAGTGCTATAAGTAATTGGCCAGGATTTCGGACCCATGAGCGACAATGGATTGGTTACGGGGTCACTTGGTATAGCTGCATATAGTCTGGGTCTTACTTTTTTCGCTTTCATAGTGGGCTGCTATTCATACAGGCTAAGTGATTTGAATATTGTTTAAGGTTCGAGTCCCTTGGCTGATGGTAGCTTGGTCACGAGCTCTCCTGGATAATTGATGTTCTGACATATTGACATATAAGTACGTCTGAAGGTATCGTTAGAGTTCCAATCGAGTTCTTCTACCTTTCGACGTTGACAAAGATGTTTCGTTTGACCTGCGCAAGGTGGGATGTCACGACGGAATAAAATAGGCGCTTTGGAGAGTGAACGATAGACCAGTGTATTAGGAACGTTATTATTACGTCTATCATATCATTTTAAATAGGTATATACAGTAGGATACAGAGATCTACATGAGGAGGTTCACTCATATAACAGTCGGTGCTCTCCACCATTTACTTCCTAGACTTGATGATGTCGGCGGCCTTCTCACCAATACCGTAGGCAGTAGCCTGGAGATGGCAAGAGGGAATGATGGGGATGATGGAAGCATCAACGACGGACAGACGCTGGGTTCCGTAGACCTGCAACTTGTCGTCGACGCAGCCACCGTCAGACTCGGGCATCATGGGGCAGGAACCGGAAGGATGGGCGAGGGTGGGGGAGAGGAAGTTAGAAGCGAGAAGAGCATTGAAGATGTCGTCATCAGAAGTGTGCTGAGCGCCAGGGATGATCTCAGAGATGGAGAACTTCTCGAGCTGCTTAGACAACCAGACAGTGCGCATGTAGCGGAGACCGGCACCAATGATAGTCTTGTCGACGGGGTTGACGAAGGCATTGTAGATGATGTCGGGGATGCCGTTAGGGTTCTTGGCGTTGATATGAATGGTTCCACGGGAAGCGGGCTTCTGGACACCAACGAGGCCGTAGGTGCCATCAGAAGGAAGAGGATACTCGACAGCAGCGGCGTCCTTGCGCTTGTAGAGCTCAGAGATGATCTTGCGCTGCTTAGCAGCACCGCGGATGAGCTTCTTGTTGTTCTTGTAGATCTCGGGGAGGTAGTCGGTGTCCTTCTGGCGGGCGAGAGCGTTGGCGATATTGCGGAATCCGGAGGTGACATCAGGAAGGGAGATGAAAGAGAGGGCGTTACCACGGGCGTAGGTGTAGTGGCCGGTCTTCTTCTCCTCGTATTGCTTCCACTGGGTAGCGTTGTACTCGGGGTCGGTCATCAAGGAGTTCACAGTAGGGAAGGTCTTGGTGGTGGTGTTGAAGACAACGGTGGCGTATGGGTGGTCGTGGAAGTTGGAACCAACGGAATCAAGCTCGACTTGAACCTTGACGCCAGCTGCCTTCAAAACAGACTTAGGTCCAACACCGGAGAGCTGCAAAAGCTTAGGAGTCTGGACGGCACCAGCAGCAAGAATGACCTCCTTCTTGGCGTTGATAGTGTAGGTCTGTCCATTGGAAGTGACCTCGACACCAGTGGCAATGGCGCCCTTCTTGTTGTCCTTGAGAATTACGCGCTTGGCCTCGGTGTTGGTGACGATGACAAGATTCCTACGCGAGGCAATTGGGTCGTAGTACGCATAGCGGGCATGTGCACGGCGACCAGTCTCCTTGTCCATGGTGTTTCCGTACCAGGATGGGCCATATGCTTGACCAGCATTTCCATCACGGGGAACGTAGACACCAGTAGCCCTCCAGGCAGCCCAGTAGTCCTTGATATCATCGAACTGAGTGTCGGTGATACTGACGGTCAAGGGACCATCTCCGTAGACGCTGGGGTCCCAGGTGACACCGAACTTCTTGGTGATCTCAGGGGATGGTGGCTGGAATCGGGTACCCTTCTTGAAGTAAGGGAGCATGCCCTTCCAGCCCCAGCCCTTGTTTCCAAGAGCCTCCCACGCATCGTAGTCGGCTGCTGAGCCTCTGTCGTAGATCATACCGTTGATGACGGAGCCACCACCGAGAACCTTGGCAACATAGACATCGAATGCGGTGTTGTTGAGTCCTGGCTCTGGGAGGGTCTTGATGCCCTTCCAGATGAGGTCGGCGCTGGCAGAGATGTCATTGGCCTTCCATGGGATCATGGTAGCATCATTATCGACGCTGGCTCCTCCCTCAATGACGATGACAGTCTCTGGAAATAAATGTTAGTTTCGAATATGCACTCGGTTAAACGTTGCATCCTTACTTGACTTGTCTTCGCTTAGACGGTTTGCCACGATCAAACCCGTCACACCACCACCAACAATTACATAGTCATATTCGGCAGGGCGAGAGGCACCAAAGACTGGTACGATAAGGATGCTGAGAAGCTGGACGGCCGTAGCCAAACGAGAGAAGCGAGGCATTATGAAGATCCAATTAAGGTATTAACGAAAGTAGAAGTGGGATGGTTCTTCGACAATCGAAGGGAGAGGTGCAGCCACTAAAGGTTATATACAATGCCAACTCGACGGGTATTCGTCGAAAAAGTCCCTTGCCACGTGGGAAAGGAGTCGAGCTAATCGCATAGGGATTAGGACACACCAAAAGAGCTCATTATCAGGAACCTGACGGATCCATTTGGACCATTTTGAGACTGTAGTTCTATGCGATGGGGTACGCGCATGCAATAGAACGAATGTCGAATGCATGGGCGAGGCGTTCTGTACGCGGCAGTCGAGGAAGGCGAGCAGGTGTGTACTGCAATACGCATAGGCAAACGACCCCAAAACTGCGGTTCGATAACAGCGATGGCCCATATTACCTGTTCTAGCGCATGGTCCGGCTCCATTCGCCTAGGCGCAGTAATGGGCCAGGCACAGGCAATACCAGAGCGGTTCTTACCTCGTACTTAGAGGTAGGTATGCTCTTGAGTCTTGACCTATCAATGGCGAGCCGACGAGAGGCCGAGGAAGATGAGTGCCCTCTCCCTCATACATAGTGTAATTACTCATAGGGAGGCTATGTCCGCATCCTCGACTCGCAGCCTGCAGGCCTGAGGCTTCCAGCCAATTCTTTGCGATTGATCGGATTCTGTCCGCCAAAGTCCGAGGGGCTCGATTCCTCGCAAGTCAGTCCATACGAATTCGCAAAGACACAGAACGGTTGGATTCATCTCGAAGATTAACAATGATACGATTCACAGAAGTCAGCATGTTGGTTCAGATCAAAGCCCCTTGTACTCCGTACTCCGTACAGGTACATACATTCCTGGGGAGGGGGAACTACTGGAAGAAGCGTACGTACATATTGTAACGCGTAGAAGTTGCCGGGCCGCTTGTTCCTCAGGTGCCGGGTGTGCAAGGCAGGACAGGCTACAGTACCAAGCTAGTTCATTATTGCAGGTACTCGTACTGTGGTAGGTGGACAGTCCTCGACTCCTCGCAGGCAAATAATTAGTAGATTACGGTGTTCCCCTGCTCTGTCATGAAAAGTGGGTATGGCGTTCTGAGCTAGATCTAGTGTAGTGGCAGTCGAGACGATGGCTCCGGAGGAGAAGGCCCGTTCGTTCATGCAAGTACGCCGAGGGTCTACTGTGTACAAGCAACCAGCGAGAGCATCACGCAACTCTGTTACGAGTGAGTGGGTAGATGTCTTGCGGTAGTGAGGTCGAAATATACATAAATCTCCTGACGCATTAGGAGAATAAAATCCTCAGTAGGGCAATCGTCGGGATAATTCAACAGAGTTTTCGTTTATCCACGTGGGCGATCTTTACTCTGCACGTACATGCAGGATAAAGTTTCCTCCTTATCGTATTCACACATAAAGGCGAGCAACTATACCCCCCAACCCATCCCAAATAAATGAATCTAAGATCCTTCCATCGTCCATGGCATTGGGGTTGGAAGCGAGAAAAGCTTGTCTGGGCTACCCTTGACGTAGATAGAAACACGGAACATCTTTCGCGACATCCTGCCCACTAATACAAGTAGACTCTTCGGCCCATACCCTCCAATTTACGACCTCGCATTCGGTCCATATCCCTTAACATGTTAGTGCACTCCGTACAGCAATGTCGGTTGGCCCGGTTACTTTTCCCCTCCAGGTACTTGTAAGAATTCACCTGTGCCTAGACCTCGCAGACCACTTTCTCTAGGTACACATGAAGGGTCATAGCAATCTCGGATTTGTTTGAAGTGTCGTTTTGATAGTGAAATGGTATTCGACTTGGAGCTAAGGAAGACGAATAACAAGCATGCAAAATTCATAGGCTCTTGAACCCGCGTGCATTTTCTTATTGGTGTCAAGGAGAACAATTCTGTCACCTGTGTTTAAGCGGCAACTAAAGAATTGGGTTTCGACAGCTCCAACTCCCAATTTAGAGCTGGAGACACATCCGTCGTATCAACCCTCCTGGGTAGTGACGCCGCGATTGATTCATTGCACCATCGTTCTATCGATTTACCGTGCATTATTTGCCACCACCTGAACGGTCCACTTCCTTCCGCAGGTTAAGTCGGGGGATGCGAGTCACGGCCCACCACCATGAAGGCCTGTTTTTGGCCAACTCCTCTACCGATGGAAGCATTCGAGCGCTTTCCGAATTCCTAGTTCCCCCTCAGTTGCGGAAAGTGATAAAAGACTATCTCGTTGGGCTGGCAAGCCACTGTCACCTGCAAGCCACTGTCACAGTCCGCTGGAAGGGAGAGCGGAACGCTGTCAAACTCAATTATAGGCCCCCTTTGGAATCCCACATTCATCGAATTCAGGCCATTTCTGTACCCACTCGTATGGCACTCATCCACGAAGCTCGACTCGCGAGTTCAGAGGCGAATTCAGAGGCGAGTTCAGAGAGAGTCAGATACATAGTAGATGCTCATATGACAATTATCTGTAAAAGTCATGTTAAGATCTTCTAGAATCACGAACCCTGCTCACAAGGCTGATGAGAAGAGCGTGTGCGTGGTTCCTTGTATGTTCCAGACTTTTGGGAGCGAAGGAGCGTTGAAAGATCTTCAACTTGTATAAACTTGTATCAGGGGTATCACTGTCTTCCTGCCGTTTTCTGATACCTGATTACATTCTAGCTCTTAGTTGCTCTCCAATTGGCAGTAGGTGTACACTCAAAGTGGAACCACTGTATGGAGCGAAACCGGGCCATGTTGCGATACGATGTTTGACCCTTGTAAATGCATGTACCAGCCTGCTTCCGAGAGGTTGTGCACAGAACGACTAGTGAATCCCTCCTCTCGGTTGGAATTATTCCACGCCGGATCTCGTTACTTACAAGTAATAATGCCACCTGTGGTTTGAGCCTAAATTCTGCAGAGTTAGGCAGGAGATCGAAGGGATACAAGTTCTTACAGCTCCCACCATCATCAACATTCTTGTTTCTGTTCTGGGATGATTCTTTAATTACTGGCCCCCATCCACCGTCGATTGCTCGTCCTCAACTTACTGGTTCTATCGTACCTGGCAGGAGCCTTGCCGACATGGCCGATCCGATGGCAGATCCAATGCAGCAAGACTGGCCCGATGAGCGCCTGCGGATTCTCGTCCCGTGCACCCTCCTGATGGTCATCGCCCAGATCTTCCTTACTTGGAGAGTGATCTACGGGTTCAAAGCAGGGCGCAGGTTCTTGGTTTGCGATTACTTGCTTATTCTCGCACAGGTATGTCAACGCACAAATCCCAACCTTCACTTGTGCAGCATTAACAAGATTTTTGCAGCTTTTGAACATCAACAATGTCGGACTCATATATCCAAATTGCGCGAGAGGCCTTGGACGACATTTGATGGACCCGAGCATCAAAAAGCCAGACGACATACTGAAGTATGCATACCTCCTTTGGGTCAGCCAGATCACGAACATCATCGCCGTTGCGATTCTGAAGTGGTCAATTTGCGCGTACCTACTCGTCCTCAATTTCTCCAAGAGCTACCGCATCATCATCTGGCTCTCCATTCTTATGATCACCGTCTTCAACTTTTTGATTCCCGTTTTGACTCTGTTCGGATGCACACCACTTGAATCTAACTGGAATCCTGGAATCACCAAAAAGAAATGCTGGGCACGAGGAACCCTCCCGCTTTCCTACACACAAGGTGTTTCGAACATCTTGACTGATGTTGTATATGCCGTCGCGCCAATTGTGTATCTCGCCAGCGTTCAACTTTCGAAACGAACCCAGTGGGGCCTTCGTGTCGTGTTTTTGCTCAGTGTAATGTAAGTTTCACTCCAGGTGCAGCATTATTGGAATTCCTGAACTAACAACCCTTCCCAGCGGCACTGTATGCTCCATTTTCAAGACGATCGAGCTTAAGGTCATCGTGAAGACCATGGATCCGACTTGGGATGGAATCAATCTCACAATCTGGAGTTCTGCTGAATTGTCTGTCGGCATCTTCATCGCCTGCCTCCCACCCTTGCGAAAGCCATTCGATCGAGTTTTCAAGAAGATCCTCCCGTCCACTCTTACAGGATCCCACAAGACACCTCAATACGGCTATGGTTATGGTCGTTCAACCAACAGAAACGATATCAGGATGAGCAACTTCGGGGGCAGCAGAGTTCCCAAAAATGCTCACCCTTTAGAGTCTAATGTCTCTCCGGATGATGAGAGCGAGAGGGCAATCCTGGAGGATGAAGAAAGTGGCAAATCGGGTGGCATCACACGAACAACCAAAGTCACAGTCGTTGAGGAGAGCGGCAATGGTTCAGCAGAATTTCATAAGCCCGGTGGACCGCTATAGGGCGGCTTCTTTGTATAGTAAAAATCTACCTGAATAGACATCATGATTCCAATTAATACAGTTCACACACATCGGGCACGCTTTCCATCTCATTTTCTTCACAATCCTACGTTCGTTCTTCACACGAGACAAACAGCGCTCCGTTTTGGATGGAAAGGCTTGATTCGAAAAGCATTCTACCCTGATCTAATTACTATTACCCCATGTCATTAGCCTAGCGCACTTGTTAATATCCTGCATTGCCTTGAATAATATGACAATAACCTTCTAGGTTGGAATAGGTACGAAAAGTATGGTCCAGCGGGGTCTTTACACTGTAAAAACACAAGCATACACGAGCCTTCTTGCTGGCCTTGTAACTAGATAACTAGGGAGGCAGCATCAGGATTAGTTACTCGTATTTCTAGAATTTTGCCGCATTGTCTGACTACCCGGGACCCCTTCTTACTCCAGAGACCCCTTGAGAACGCATGGACAAGGACTTTTGTTAGCTGCTTACGTTTTCGCTCTAGTCGAACCCGTCATTGGGCTGGAATTCGCAATCTCCACTCAAAGTTCGCATGTTGCCGGGGAGGTAAAGTAGCTTTAAGGATAGTATGCTTAGGGAAAGCGGGGGTTATACGCAGTCGGTATTGGGAAGGGAATTAATAGCGAAACACTCTAGCTGTTAATTTGTTCTACGACCCTAGAACGCCAATGCCCTGAGGTATCCGCCCAACTTGTCCTGTCGTGAGTCTCCATTCTGTAGATGCTTCGTCAACATTGCGCAAAGGAGGTTGAATTTCTTCTCCAGCTCAGCGTATTAGAGTAATTTTGAGTCAGACACTGTCAACCGTCCGTCGGATGCGGAAGCATCCGTTAGAGCCACCCGTCCGACTTGTGTGCGCTTGCAATAATCCGCTTCTTCTTAGCTCGTTGTCTGTAGACTGTCCCTGAGTCAAGGTAAGTAATCGAAACCTATTTGGAAGTCAGTCGCCTCTGCTTTCTTATCCATCAAGAAATGTTTTGTGGATCTCGATCGTGCACTCTCGTATGATCTGGTGCCTTGGTTACGTACCCTATGGACCCATATGCCGAAGGTGTTTTCGGATGCATCCGAATTTGGGTGTGCTCGATGCAAGCAGATTTTATGCAATCGATGGATGAAAGTATAGCTAGGTATCTACAACGATGAATACAATGTTTTGAATGAGACCCAATATGTACATTAAGTGTGATTTTCTGGCAATAGAAACTGAGACAAGGCTCTGCCCTATGGCCCTTTGTGGCAGCTTGCAGACCCTGGCAACTGGTCTTGAATGTCGCAGTCAGGAACAAGCCGTACAACGGTACCAGGGATTCCAACCCAACTCCACGGGCAGTCAATAGGTTAGCATTGTGCAAAATTATTTTATTTTTGATCTGTAAGATTATAACATTGATCTGGCCAATTTTCTGGGGCTCTGTATCGGAAAGTTTGTTACTTATGATTTTAATTGTTGTGGTTGATACTGAAAATTATATCTCGGTTATGAATTGCACAACGACCGAACAAGTAACAATAAATGTGATTTTGTATATAACACATTGTTCCGAGCAGCGCATTTTAGAAGGAAATTGAACGATGAACCATGCATTTCTGATGCTGGGTACCTGTACGGAGTAGTTGTACGTTGAATCCGAAGATTCGAAGATTGATAAATAGAAAGACAAGGTGGATGCGCAGGGAGTGAGTGTATGACGTCATGTGCTAGTTATGTGGTAGATAATTCGAACAGAACGACAATAAGCTCGGATCATAGATGTATGAAACAGTTTTATAAGCTAATCCTAATCGCCAGCTATCTTATCAGTGGTTTACGATTGTATACTCTCGCGTGTCGGGTAGATCGATGATCTTTCTGTTCTCTTGCCGATCAAGATGATCACGACTAGGGCACCCTTCACTTGTAGAAAGCATCGACGCCTGTGAGTTTGGTAATGTGTAAACCAATGTATCCTTTTGCATGGGCCATGGCTTTACCTTGGATCTACTCGTCTATGAGGTGAACGAGCAAAAACTTGGTCGTATTGCAGATATCGCGTCTGAAAGAAATAAGGATCGGCATCCGAACGGTCCATCTTCGGGCCTCCTCCAAGAAAAGAAAAACCCAGTAATGAACTATCGTCCGCCACCTTGGTACTTGTATGCAACCTCTCTTCCTCGTCATTTCTCATCCACTCGAGCGGTACAATTGACCTCCCACGTGTGATTCTCTGCCTCTGCCACAGGTCAGATTGCTCAACCTATCAGGACGTGCAATTGCCGACGACCTGGTAACGCCAAAGCCCAGCTCCCATTAACCTCGGCCATCACCATAACTGGATCCCGTTACGATGCATCGTGCAGTCACATCAACCGCAGCCCTGTGGCTTGCTTTCGCCAATACTCTCACTGTAGCTGTTCCAAGTTACCCATCAGCGCCCCACCCCCATGCGACGTTACAGCTGAAGAGCTGGCCGCCTGAGGCTGCTCAGGCACTCGGCAAGATGATCCACCGGAATGCGAACCAAAGCAACTACGCCGTCTTCGACATGGACAACACGAGCTACCAATATGACCTTGAAGAATCCCTCCTCCCATTCTTGGAGAATCAAGGCATATTGACACGTGACAATCTCGACCCAAGCTTGAAGTTGATCGATTTCAAAGATACTGCCAATTTCACGGAGAGTCTTTACAGCTACTATCTACGTCTGTGTGAGGTCGATGACTTTGTCTGTTACCCATGGGCCGCGCAGGTCTGGTCAGGCTTTACTTTGAGGGAATTGAAAGGTTATGTAGATCAGCTTATGGCTTTGAACACCTCGATCCCGACAAAGTATTGGGACGATGATGAGGTCGTGGAAGCCAGCGTCAACCCACCGAAGATCTTTACGGGACAGGTAGAGCTATACAACGCTTTAATGGCGAACGGCATTGATGTCTACGTTATCAGCGCTGCACACGAGGAGCTTGTCCGCATGGTTGCTAGCGATCCTAAGTATGGATACAACGTACCGCCCAAGAATGTCATTGGCGTAACGACCATGCTGCGAAACACAACCTCTGGCGGTCTCACAAATGCTAGAAAGCAAATTGCCGCAGGGACTTACGACCAAGAAGCAAACCTCGACCTGGTCCTTGGTCCCTATCTCTGGACTCCTGCCACATGGTTTTCTGGAAAGTGGGGTGCTATCCTTACATATATCGACCAGTGGAAGAGACCTATCCTGGCTGGGGGTGACACACCAGGAAGTGATACGTACATGCACTTTCACGGTGTCGACACCGATAAAGGAGGCATCCATTTGTGGATCAACCGGAAAGACGCATATCTCCAGGAGCTGAAGGAATTGATCGATGAAAATGCGAAAGAGCAAAAGGAGAACAACAGAGAAGTTACTGCTGACAAGAACTGGGTAATTGTTAAGCCGCAAGACATACTATGAAATCGCCCGACTCAAATGTATATACATGCAAGGAAAGATATAGTAGAAGGTGCTAGAGCTTATATAGCTTTGATCGGAGAGCCAAATTTTCCACACTGGTTACCTTGCCAGAGCTGTCAATATTGAATACAAATTCATCTAAAGGCAATGATCCATAAGTGACACCCGTGATGCCTACCCAAGAGCCACAACCCGTGGACCAAAGTGACGCGCTGGGACTCGGACCACCTGTGTCTTCGAATACGGCTTTCCAACTCTGTCGCTTGCTTCCATCAGAGTTCTTGGTCTCGAGTTGTGTGTAGTAAAGCCGGGCCTCTGGTCGTGCCTCGGTACCAAATAAACTGGGAAGAGATCCGGATTGCAACATAATCGCTGTTTCGACCATGTTCGTACCGTTGCTAAACCATGTGCCAACCCCAAGTCCGGGTTTGACTGGGTCTGTGCTGATGACCAGATAGGAGTTCTTACTCACGTAAATGCCACTGTACAATTTTTCTGCTTCAGCACGAGCAACTGCATCATATGCCGGTATCAATGATTCGCCAAGAATATCGGCGACCTGAAAATTGGTCAGAGTAGAAGTGCCTGACATCATAATGGTAAATCCAATATTGAAATCCCGCAACAGTGTGATGAAAGAAGTGTATTTTCGGAAAGTTCCTGCTTTCGTAAACACACTCAAGGTACGGTAAGGTTGCGTTTCTTTAGCAAGCTGAATCCGTCGTATGCCCCAAGGTGCACCAATCGATGCTAGGAAGTCTGCAGAAAAGGTGACCGGGTTAAGCCATCGTCGGGTCATCGATGGCTTGATGAGAGTAGACGATAGGATGGCGCGCCCAATCGTGGAGAGGTCATAAGCAGAAGCATACATATTTCCGCCACTAGGGTTTGATCAACGGGCTGCATTAGTGGAATGGAAGCTTTACCTACGGACTCGCATCACCAAGACTGACGCTCCAGTACGAACTTTGCAGACTATCCGGAATAATCCCTTCTGAAGGAGGCGCGAACTCGTAGTATGTGTGATTGAGGCCTAATGGTTTTATGATTCGCTCTTCCAGTATGTCCTTGAACGACTTTCCAGATATACTCTCAAGTGCATAGGCCAACAGTTGGTAAGCGACATCCGAGTATGTCGCCGTCTGCCACGGCGGGTAAGAAGGATACATGACGTCTAACCCTTTGAAGAATTCTTCAGACAGTCAGCGGAGTTGGAAGACCATGGGGAAATTGATGTGTAACCTTCTCTTGTACACAGCGGCCATGCTCCGCAAGGCGGTGCTGCTTGCAGAGGTAGTGAATTGAACCCTACTTCCCAAGGCTGAGGGGCGTCTTCCGTCTGTGTAAGCTCACCGAGAATGCCATCTAAGAACTGTTAGGTATGGAGCAGAGCGGAATCGTGTCAACTTTACAATCACGGCCCAATCCCGACACTTGGGAAGCCAGAGCTCCGATCGTCACATCTTCCCATGCTGTCTCTCTTACACTATCGAAACTATGCGAAGTAGGCCGGTTGGCATATTTTTTAAGCTCCGGAATGAATTCAGTGATGGGCATATTCCAGTAATAATCACCAACTTCAGCTAGAAATGCTAGCACTGTGATGAGTTTCGATACGCTCCCGAGGCGATACACTGTTTTTCCGTCCACCTTTTTCACTCCCACCGTGTCATCTGGTAAATCTGGTGCTGTGCGATACCGCTCCCATAGAATTGGTCGGCCGGGATTGGTAGAGAAGATCTGGAAAGAGTACGAGAAATCGTCCACGCCTGAAACAGGCGCTGAATCGAGATAATTAAAAATGTTAGTGATGTTGTCTATTGCCCTTTTCCAGATTGGATGTGTTGCTAAATGCCGAGGGGGAGGATATTCAGGTCCGATTAGAGGGCAGTTGGGGGCTGAATTCCCAACAGGCAATTGAGCAAAAGCCAAAAGTCCCGAAAACATCCATGCTGTTGTTTTCATGGTCGCAAACCGTTCTAACGAGGAAGAAAAACAGGGTAAAATATGAAGAGGACTGTATGGGCAGCGCTCTACGATGGAACACCTTCAACCGAGCATGTTGAAGATTAGAAAGCAACGCGTTGCGGCCTGGGTGGGGAAGTCGCATTGAACGCGACCACGACTGATACGCGAAAGGGCAAAATCGTAAGGGAGACTCAATGCAAAATTCATGTTTTTAAATGCTGCAAGGGCAAATAGAGTACAGGAGTTAAGGAGGTGGTATGCTCGTAAATTGCTAGGATAGGCCCTTTATGTGCCTTGCTATGGGGTCTTGGGTGTTGTTGTGGTATGTTATAATGCTGAGCTGAGGTAGGACAGTAATGCTTGTTTGCGAGTGATTCTGGTTACTGATACAAAACTACTTCATATTGCTCCACCCGTGTTCAGTATTCGGCATTTTACTCCGTGCTTGACTCCACATTCCTGAGTTAAGAATCCGGACCCAAGATGACAGGCAGGCTTACGGTCGATCTATTAGTTGATCAGGTTGGCGGGGACAATACTACCAATGCAAATCAATGATCCCGAAAGACCTGTATAACAATCCCATTGTTTCAGAAGAGGGGAGTCATCAGTCTAATATGCTCGTCGTTCTTCAACGCTATCATCTCTGCAAGAATTGCTTGCCTTTGTGAAGAAGTTTGTTTTGCAGCAGTATTAAACTATCTCATACGATGTTAAGATACACCAAGAGCCTGTGACATGCACATTTGCCAGTAAATGCCCTTTTTCTTCACCAAAAGCTCATGATCTCCTCGCTCTACCACTCTCCCTTGATCCATTACAAAAATAATGTCTGCGTTTCGAATCGTCGCCAGTCGGTGTGCGATCACAATCATCGTCCGCCCCTTGCCAGTCTCCTCAAAGACAGCTTGTACCTCTTTTTCCGTGGTTGAATCAAGGGCACTAGTAGCCTCATCAAGTAGCAGGACAGCAGGGTTTCGAATGAGTGCCCGTGCAATAGATATGCGCTGCTTCTGCCCACCAGAGAGGGAAACTCCACCCGTCCCTACTTCTGTGCCATAACCATCTGGTAATGATGTAACGAATTCGTGTATACCTGCGTCCTGACACGCTTGGTACAAGTGGTCTTCGTTCACTTCATGTTCCTTCTTGCCAAGCAAAACATTGTCGCGAATTGTGCCGCTAAACAGGTACGGCTCTTGAGCTACCAGACTCATTCGCTTCCTCAGTACATCTAATGGTATTGACGCAATATCTTCGCCGTTGTACCTTATTTTGCCCTTCTGTGGTTCGTAGAAGCGTTCCAGTAGCGATATCAGTGTAGATTTACCAGAGCCACTGCTTCCCACTATAGCCGCAAACTGGCCGTGCTGTATCCTCATGGAAAAACCACGAAGAACTGGAACATCTCGTGAGGGATATTTGAACCACACGTTCTTAAAATTGATATCCGCGCCTTTGAAAAGTAAGGTCGTTGGCAATGCCCAGCGTTTGGCCTCTTGGTATTGTATCCAAACCTTTTCGTACCTGTTGGCGTTGCATAGGCGCATTGTTTCGATACGATTTGCAGCTGCTGACACTTGCGCAATATCTATTAGACGTTACATTTAATATCCAAAGAACATGAGAAATGACCTACTTGGCCCGAAGCTGAGCCACTGACCCGCGGCTAAGCTTCCTTGAATGATGGCGAGATAGACCACCAGGAAGGTGAAGGAATTAAGCTCGAGGTTTGCCAACAGAGTGCCACCGTACCTACGAAACAGTTACATTTTGGCAGTCAATTGTATCATCAAATCAACTCACCACAACGCAAAGGCCATACAAAGCAACACTGAGCTATCACTGGCTGCAAACACCAAGCAGGAAAGGCGTGCTTCTTTCTTTGACTTAGCAACGTGATCGTCCAGTAAAGCCTTGTATTTCTCGCAGATGACTCGTTCCAGAGTCAAGCTAGTGACTGTACGCATCGCACCAATAGCTTCAGTCGCAAAACGAGCGCTTTCTGCGAACACGTCGTTATTTCTTGATTCGAACTTGACTTCATGCCGCACGCGATACCAGCCTCCAGCAAGAATGATAGGCATAGATGATGCAATGACGACGAGAGCAAATTTCCAGTGGAAAATGGCTGCGATAGTGATACAACCCACAAGGCTGAACAGAGATATCATGACCATCGCCATGTTTATGCCAAGTAATTGTTGTAGTTGAGCCGGATCTGTCGCAATCCGTGCTGTGAGAAGTCCTGTCGCCATTCTTGGGTCATCGAAGAAAGATATTTTTTGTGTGATGATATTGTGAAAGTATTCTTTCCGATATGTTGATACGGTACGCTATAATTGAATCAGAAGAAGGAGCTTGTATTTTGGCTTGAACATTCTTACGATTGAGACAATGTTTGTTATCCAACCGAGGGCAAAATAACTCGCACCTACCCCGGCAGCAACAAAAAGCAACATGAGGCATAGAAATGTGGCCATAGACCCGATTTTATCGACTGGATATGCAAATGAAGATATCAAACTTCCAAAAAGAAAGGCTTGTAGAGGGTTACTTGCTGTTGGATAGAATTAGCTAATAGTCACCAGTCCGGATTATCCAACCTTACCTGCTGCTCCAAGGGTAGCAAGAAGAATGATCAGATAACATGGCCAATTGTTTTTCTGCTCTAACAGAAGCATAGAAAAGCTTCGGAATATGCCGTGTGGTGCTTCTCGCGGCGGGAGTTCCTCCGTCACATCTACTGCGGTTGTCTCCGACTCAACAAGCGTCTCGTGGCTTTCTTTGTAGAGGAAGTGAGCCTCGCGCCGGATTCTTCTTTCGTCCCAAAAGTCGTCATATTTGAATGGCATATCTTGTTGACCCAGCTCTTGAGCATTGGCCAATCGCCAGTACATGCCTTTTTCATCCTTCAATAGATCGTCATGGGTACCTTGCTGAGAGACTGTTCCGTTCGTGACTATTATTATATTATCTGCATCTTTAATAGTGGAAAGCCTGTGTGCGATTACTATAGTTGTGCGATTCTCAGCAACTCGATCAAGTGCTGCTTGAACGATCTTTTCGCTGCTCACGTCAAGCGCACTTGTGGCTTCGTCAAAGATCAGGATCTTAGGTTGTCGAACTATGGCACGGGCAATTGCAATTCTCTGGCGCTGACCGCCACTCAGCTGAATCCCAACCTCGCCCACCGGTGTCTCATAGCCCTGTTCAGGTCAGAAACAATTATTTGAGCTTGAATTCGCGAAGGCATACTTCCGGAAGTAATTGGATAAAATCATCTGCAAATGCTTCTTTACAAGCATTATAAACGAGATCTTTCTTTAACTCCGTACAAGCGTACTCCCATCGGGTTCCTACTAGACCGTGCTTTACATTGTTGAAGATGGTATCGTTGAAAAGGAATGGTTCCTGCTGAACGAATCCGATCTGAGCTCGCCACCAGTACAAATCGATCTCATTGAGAGGCCTATCGCCAATACGAATCGACCCATTCCGTAAGTAATTGGTCAAAGCATCCGTTCCCCCTAATTCATACCATCGCTGAATAAGCGCCACGGTCGTACTTTTCCCAGATCCACTTGCGCCCACGATTGCAGTTTTTTGGCCGTGCGGAATGCGCAAAGTCAATCCATTCAGAATTTTCACATCGTGTCGCGTGGGATATGCAAAATGGATATTCTCGAGAACAATGTCAGCATTCAAGTCAACGCCCTCATCTTGAACACCAGTTGTTGATGGTTTGGGGGCGTCGATGATAGTGAAAAAGATTGATGCCGCAGTGATTGCGTTCGATGCTGCATTCAAAGGCACCGAAATTGAGTTGATATGGGCCAGCATTGTCATGACTGACATTAAAACACTGCTTCGAGTTAGACAGGCCTATGCTTAGTGTTTGAAATACGTACACTACCAAAGTTTCCACATTCGCAAATTTTGATTCTTTGTATAGCTTCACAGCAAACCAAAAACAAAGAGCGAATGTTCTGAAGCCGTTACAAAAAGATGTTCGATTGTGTTCATGAATACCTACTCACGCAAATATTGTGAAGAAGACCGCGTCTGGTTAGCAAGTCATTGGAAATGAATCGAGATGGGCATACCTGGTGAATGTTGAACGGCTAGAATTGGAGACAACTTTTTACCCACAGATGCCGCATTGTCTACTAACTTATTGTACCTGGTAGCAATTCTTGCTTCTGCCCCACATGCAGCAATCATCCTGATACTAGAAAGCGTCTCGCCAGCCACACCTGCAGCTTGTCGATCCAGCTCTTGAACCGCTGCATACTTACGTGATACTACTGGTGTCAAGACTGTGTACCAAGTGACAATGGCGACGATTCCGCTTGCAGTGACTAGAGTTAGTTCCCAGCTGAAAATGCAGCCAATGATGAGCGCGGTAAATATTACAGATATAGCCTGTATGAGAGATGAGAGTCTTTCCGAAATACCAAGCTGGAGGCTGTTAGCGGTAATTGTAATGATTGCCGTTGTTTGTCCAGGCGGGAGGGCGTCTAAAGTTGATATAGGCTGCTTAAGTAGCGCTTGTAAATACGATAGACGAATGAATGCCGAGATGCGTAGACTAGTGATTCGAAACCCGATCTATGAATTCTAAGCACAATCTTTCTCAAAGTGAGCATTATCTTACGGTAGCAATGTAAGCCAAAATTATTCGCCCCATGAATAGGTATATGATATACAGGCTGCATCATCCCATAAGGACATAATATAGTGCCTGAAGACTTAGATACTTACACATATTGATTGATGATAGCCATGAACAACTTGGCGAAATCATCTACTGACTTTGTCGACATGGAGCTGAAAGTCTTGACTAGGCGGGCTGGCTTGCGTTAGACATAGAAGTGGCGATCTTGAGGAAGACGGCCTACCAAAGATGATGTTCATTAATGGTAGTGTTGCCCCTGCACATATTGAGGAGGCGACCGATAGTACGATACACATACGATCACTTCGTGATGAATATGAAAAGATCCGCTACTCTATTTTTAGTTATTGCGATTCATCTGAAAGCCGTAAAAGTACCATAAAGATCCCAAGAGTTTTCCCTCTAGCCTGTAGCCATTTTTTGGGCAAATGAGACCATAGCGGCCATTTGTATGCGACTTTGAATTTCTTCATGATCGTCGACATTGCATTGAGGCAATTATTGGATACAGGAAAGTCACATGTGTGTCAATGCCTGGGTGTGTTTCATGTCTGAAATTGACTGTGAGTCGTGAATCAGAGGTGGCACCTTCGAGCGATGAAAGGCAGATGGAAGTACAGACGAGTTGAATGCGACAACAGTGGAAACAAACAAAAGTGTCTACAGATGTCTGAACACACTAAGAGGCAAAGTACCTGTCACATGGGAATGAGAGAAGGGATTGCCGCAAGAAAGTTCTGCGTAAAATTCAGAAATTCTAGGGCAACCCTTGCATTTGACTCATGGAATGCATGTGAACGATACCTGAAGACTCGCGCGATCTGTCCATTGATGCGTCATGCAAGGCACAGATTAACATCCATCCCTATGAGATGTATTGGGATGAACATGAGAAGTAATGGGTCAACGCCAAGACCAGTCGCTTTACTTTGTTGCATCCTGCTTGAACAACTGTTACATCAAGATGTCTACATCGACGATGAATCATCGTTGGAATACAAGGGTCAGCATTTATTTTGAAGTCATTCACGTGTTCCCACTTTGCTAAATAGCTTACAAGGATGGATCATATACTCTAATGTGAATAATTGGCACACTGAAAACGAAGATACATTCAGGTCTAGTACGGAGAATCGCAACCATTTACTTCGTTCATCATCCTACGAACAGTATCTCCAAGCTCTTTCACCATATGTCTATCGCGAGGTAGTGTATGGCCTTTGGCGTGATCGAATATGGAAGCCCTTTCCGGATCGCAAACATTATAAAGCGCAATGTTACCGTGGAGATAGGGATCCAACGAACCTATGATATGGCATGTCGGAACATCCACCACTAGATCGCTCTCATCCGATAGAACAATGCCATCCAAAGTTGGCGTCATAGGCGGCCAGCCGCCGAAGAAGAGTGCGCACTTGAACATTGGCTGTCGACCCTCACTCTTCTCTCTTAGCTGTTCGTGAAGTAACATTGTTCCAGCAATTGTTGCTCCTTCACTGTAACCGATAATACCATCAAAGGGCCCCTGCTTCTCCATTACATCATAAAGATAATCCAACGTCTGTCGGGCACTGTCGTCCGTCTTTGCCACTCCGTAAGTCATCAATTCGCGCATCGTCATCTCTGGCGTCTCAAGCTGAGGAAAGTCGCGGATACGTTCAATCACATCGGTCGTATCCTCACTCCCCTCGGATGGTACAATAAAACGATAATATGGGGGCCCTCCAAAAAAGTCTTCGTATCCTGGAGGAGGAGCAACTTCGTATGGACCCTGAATAAAATGAAAGGTGGCTGATCTGTCCGATTCGAGTTCTTTGACTAAAGGTGCAAGCTGCACTTTGAACTTCTACATTCCATTAGATCCGAACATAATTCTGGGTCACTTCAAACGAACCTCAATGCTGCCAAATGCACCCGGTAGACATAGAAACCGCATTTTCTTATACTAGTGGGGTGTTGATCGTGAAGCCACGGCAGCTGCTTGTGTCAATGCTGCCGAAAACCCAAGCGTTGTGTACTAGATCAGATAAAGGTTGACTTACTCAGGCACGTAGAGGCCGTAAAATGCTTGACTAACTTAGATTCAAGTTAATTAAAGAACCTGGTGGTCTTGTTGACTTGACACCAACCTGAAGTTGGGTTGTTTATCCGGACTACCTATAATTGTGTCTGTCATGAGGCTGCATAAACGGATTTCCGACTTTAGAAGCCCTAATGGTCGAACATTCCTCATTCGAGGCAAACTAAACTACCAGTGGAGAGCTACCTGAGCCTCGGCATGTGTTGAGGAATGGGAATAAGGGAGAGTATGGGAGAGTATGGGAGAGTATGGGTCAGCTCGAAGGCAATGATCCCACTCTATGACAGAAGGCTAGGCCAGCGTTGACCCACTTTGATCAAGAGCGAGTTGTGGCGTCATATCTGCTTATCTCGTCCCTTCTTACGATTGACAATCAGTAGAGAGACGTCGACATTCATCGTGTATGTCCCTTGAATCTTGCGACAGCGTTGTGTGATCGAGGGAGAATGAAGCACGGCCTGTGTACGCTCTGACCCCCACATACCAAAGCCCACACTTGCTGCCGTGAAACGACATCATAACGGCCCAGCTTCCGCCGTAGACTTTGGTATTACCGATGGTACGGAAGAACCAATGATTTTTGAGGAAACAGATAATCATTGCAATTTACCGAACCAATTTACTTTCTGGCTTCCGTTCCGAGCTTTTGAGACCCCTTTCATGAAGCCTGCGATAATTGATGCCACGTTGAGCAACAAGGACGCGAGAATTTGACTATCTTCAAATTCTTAATTGAAAATTTGAAACCACCGACTTCCCTTTTCTTCTGACATCTGCTCAAAGCCTGAACACAAGCTCAGTAGCGTATGCCGAATGTGGAATCCTCTTCAACTGTGACTCAGGGTCCATTTGACTTCACAGACATTCTTCCCGACATATCACTTGCCTAAGAAAATATACCACTCGATCAGTGTATCTGGGATCTTATCTTTCTCAGTATTGGCTCCTGAGTTCTACCCATCTGAGGGGGCCGAATAGCCGGGTGATTGGGGCAGGTAGACATGAGCCCCTCCAGTTATTCAACGCACGCGGGAGACGGAGCCGCGACCACTAATGGCGACCACCCTGATCTGAATGAAAAGTCCAGCTCAGATGGACTGTCTGCTACGGCGAATGTTGACCATATGAGCAGGTGGAATGGCATTCCAGCTCGAGGTATCGATGATGAAGCTCAATTGAATAGTCAACCTCGCCCAAACGGCAGTATAAGCGAACCTCATAACATTGAGGGCCTTTCAACCACCATATCATATGAAGATGCATACACGCATGGATACAAAGATGGATACACTTCAGGATATCAAAAGTCCTACGTCGGCCTCAAGCACCAACCGGTGGCTATAATTGGAATGTCTTGCCGCCTACCAGGAAACGTCAGTACGCCCGACGAATTTTGGGAACTTCTTGCACGATCGCGGACCGGATTTTCAGAAATCCCACCGTCTAGATTTTCAGCTGATCGTTTCTTTCATGCCAACCCTGGCAAGAGTGGTACGACTAACGCGCGCGGGGGCAATTTCCTTACTCATGATCTGAGTGTTTTCGACGCACCATTCTTTGGCTTCACCCAGCAGGAGGCGGTTAGCTTGGACCCTCAGCAACGCCTTCTTCTCGAATGTACCTTCGAAGCTTTAGAAAGCGCCGGAATACCTAAGCATGAGGTTGTTGGTCAGAATGTTGGAGTCTTCGTCGGTGGCACGTTCTCCGAGTATGAGGCAGACCTATTTCGGGACCCTAATACAATTCCCATGCATCAAGCGACTGGTAAGAAACATGTGCCATGGCATTATGAACATTGCGCTGACATTGATAGGATGCGCCATGGCCATGCAATCGAACCGCATCTCTCATTTCTTTGACATGCGGGGTCCAAGTTTCACCGTTGATACGGCCTGCTCATCTTCTCTTGTGGCGCTGCACACAGCTTGCCAAAGTTTGCGCACAGGAGAGTCTAGCATGGCAGTGGCAGCAGGCGTTCACTTGAATATGCTTCCCGAGTTCTGGATCTCTTACTCCATGTCGCGCTTGTTCGGAGAAGCGGGTAGATCGTTTGCATTCGATGATCGTGGAACTGGATATGGCCGTGGTGAGGGTTGTGGAATGGTCTTACTGAAGTTGCTTGATCAAGCAATTAAGGACAATGACCCTATCAGAGCAGTAATCACTGGAAGCGGGATCAATCAAGATGGTAAAACACCCGGAATCACAATGCCGAATGGCTCAGCACAAGGTACGTAAGTTGGCGTTATCCTGATGGACGAGGCTAATTTTTTTTGACAGAGGCTCTCATACGTTCAGTGTACAAAGACGGAGGTATGAACCCTCAGGATACTGGCTATGTTGAAGCCCATGGTACTGGCACGCGTGTAGGCGACCCCATAGAAGTGGGTGCCCTTCACAGCGTCTTTGGAGAAGGCCGGAATAAACGGAAACCCTTGTATATTGGGTCAGTAAAATCAAATATCGGCCATCTAGAAGCTGCTGCTGGTATGTCCTGCTCGTTGAACCCCACTAGAGTATCAGGTTAATTGTGTACTGATCGACGAAGGTATTGCGGGAATCATCAAGACCGCATTGATGCTAGAACGAGGCTTCATTTTGCCGAACTATGATTTCAAACGCCCCAACGAGAAAATCCCCTTTGACGAATGGGGATTGAAGGTGGCGACCCGGCAACAACCTTGGCCTTTTGGGAAGAAATGGGCCAGCGTGAATGGCTTTGGCTTCGGAGGTACGAATGCGCATGTAATCATGACGCGAGGCCCTTTGGATCGCAAGACTATGAAAGAAGAGATAGAAACTTTGACGTCGCAGAGACTCTTCGTTCTATCAGCAAACGACAAGACCAGCACAGAGAAAGTAATGAAGAATCTCGGCGTATATCTGGAGCAACGACCAGAAGTCTTCCAGAATGATTTGCTAAGTAATTTAGCATACACCCTTGGGCAAAGAAAGTCACTACATCCATGGCGCATTGCGGTCTCAGTATCGACAGGCTCTGAGCTGGTAGAAGCTTTGTCCAGCGGCAAAGTCATCCCCACAAAACAAGAGCTCGAAAAACCACGCATCGGATGGATCTTCACCGGACAGGGTGCCCAGTGGTGGGCTATGGGGCGTGAACTGTATTCGCAGTATCCAATCTATGCGTCTGCTTTGAATAGAGCCGATAAACATCTTCGCTCTATAGGCGCTGCATTTTCTTTACTCGAGGAACTAAACAAAGAAGAGCACACAAGCCAAGTGAACGCTGCACATATATCTCAGCCCTCCTGCACAGCTGTGCAACTAGCTCTTGTTGATCTATTGCAGTCATGGGGTATTTTCCCATTAGCTGTCGCTGGCCATTCATCAGGCGAGATCGGAGCTGCTTATTCTGCTGGAATAATCGGCTTCGAAGATGCCATGACGGTTGCTTATCACAGGGGCCGCTTGATCCCCGTGCTGAAAGAAAGATTCCCGGAACTTCACGGCTCCATGATAGCTGTAGGAGCTGGAAAAGACGACATTGTACCTTTCTTGGATCAAATCCCTTCTTCTATGGGGGAAGCCCGAATTGCTTGCATAAACAGCCCGTCTAGCGTGACCGTATCTGGCGATACAGATGCTCTTGCCAAATTGCAATCTCTAATTGAAGAAGCACACCCAGGAATGTTTGTTCGGAAGTTGCAGGTCGACACCGCCTATCATTCACATCACATGAATCTTGTTGCCAAGGACTATACCGAAGCCCTCCAAAACATTGCGCCCCCAAAACCATCCGATGTTCTCTTCTACTCATCCTTACTAGGCCGCCTAGTCAGTAGCGAGGAGGTGGATGCGACGTATTGGGTGAACAACTTGACTTGTGCTGTACGCTTCGATGAGGCTGTACAAAGTATGTGTCAAGCTAGTGGCGATTCGAAATCAGGTGTGACTCTTTTGGTAGAGCTAGGCCCCCATGCTGCCCTTCAAGGCCCCATCAAGCAAATTCTCAAGCATATCGGCGCGCCCAAGATCGGATACACCTCGGCGCTCTCGCGGAAGAAAAATGCAGTCGCAACGGCTCTTTCGATGGCAGGCGTATTGTTTGTAAAGGGTATTATCCTCAACATGGGGGCGATCAATTTTCCGACGCCACTGGAAAGACCTCCACAGGTACTCACCGATCTCCCTCGCTATGCATGGAACCACTCATCCAATTTCTATTATGAATCTCGACACACAATGATTCATAAGCACCATAACGTGCTTCGAAATGATATCATTGGCGTCCTGGCCTCATACTCGAACGACTTTGAACCGACTTGGACAAATGTTGTTCGATTAGATGATTTGCCATGGCTGCGTCACCACCAAATGCAAGGGGTAACTATATTCCCAATCTCAGGGTTTGCAGTCATGGCAATCGAAGCAATGGTGCAGATGGCACAGTCTCAAAATGAGCCGTGGGATACCCTGGAAGTCATGGGGCTGCACGTTACGGCGCCGGCAATGCTAGCGGAAGAGGATTTGGAGATGACCATAACCTTGCGATCACGTGTTGAGAAGAACTGCTATGGAAAGTCGCGAGAGTTTGTAATTCGCTCTTGGTCAAAGAGCAAAGGTTGGACTGAACATTGTGTTGGTGTTGTCGCCAGCGCCCGGCGAATCGATCAAAACGAAGTAGAAGGAGAACGCTTGAAGCAAATCCGAAAACGAGATTTGCGTTCTCGAGCATCCAATATTACAGTCTCCGCGACCGAGCAAGTATCGACGCAAGCCGTGTATAAGAAGTTGTCTGAGATTGGCGTTTCTTACGGAGCGACCTTCCAAGGCTTGCACGATAGTAGGGCTTCAGTAGACGCTGCGACAGCGCTTATATTCCCTACTGATACTGTATCGGAAATGCCACATCACCAGGAAACGAGATATATTCTTCATCCAACGCTCCTTGAACAACTGATCTCCATGTACTGGCCAATAATCAGTGTTGCTGGGCCTCTGGACACAGTGCACCTGCCTTCAACCGTTGGAAAAATAACAGTTGCTGCCAAAATGATGGAATATATAGAGACACCCGGAGCCAGTCTGGAAGGTTTCTGTGAAATGTCAGATCCATTCTCAAAAGATCGATCAAATCGTCTGTCAATGTTCGCTATTGATGGCGAGGGCGAACAAATGATATCCGTCGAAGACCTCGTGGTGTCGTCTATTATCGAGAGCGCTGCGGACACCGATTTAGAGGGCCCCCGGGAGCTATGCTACAAAACGGAATGGGAAGATGTCAGTGCTGAGCGTAAAAATGAGGTGATGGGACTTACCAATGGCACTGCTCCTCATTTTGACTCGGAGATCATCATCGTTCACGGTGACTCCATGTTGCAGCACGCTCTGGCAACCAAACTATCAGACCACTTCCAACGCACCACTGGAAGCTTACCTACAATGGGTACAATTTCATCGTTAGCAGCGACTGCAAAGGAGAAACTTTGTCTGTTTATTGCGGAACTTGAGCGGCCAATCCTGGCTGATCTAAACGCCTCGGATTTTGACGCTCTGCAGACCTTACTCACAAGCGTCGCAGGAATTCTTTGGGTAGTCCGCTCCGCATACGATGGGTCTCAAAATCCTGATAGTAACATGATCTCTGGTTTGAGTAGGGCATTGCGCTCCGAGGGTACGCTCATGAAGTTCGCGACCTTGGATCTAGACAGTGCAAAACTTGCAAGTTACTTGGATATAATACCAACCATGGTTGGTGTCTTCTCCAGAGTTTTCGCGACCGATGGAAAGAGTTCCGACCTCGAATTTATGGAGAGAGGGGGACGCCTGTTCACGCCAAGAATCGTAAACGATTCAGATATGAACGAGTATGTCGATAGCATTGTTAACCCTTCTAGTACTGAGCCAGCAGTATTCTCAGATCTACATCGACCATTGAAAGGTTCGATATGTATTGCTGGTTCGCTGGACAGTCTTGCTTTTGAAGATGACAATGCTTTTATCCAACATGTTCAAGACGAAGAGGTTGATATCCACATCAAGGCCGTTAGCATATGCCACAAGGATACAGGACTCAATCACGCAATTGGAATGGAGTGTAGTGGAATTGTCATTGCTGTAGGCCCCAAAGTCTCTAACATTTCCGTCGGGGATCGAGTTGCGGCAGTTTCGACTCATGGTACTCTGTCGACTATCGCACGGACAAAAGCGTCCCTGCTCTTCAAGATTCCGGATGATGTCCCGTTCGAGTCGGCAACTACTGTACCCATGGCCTACTCCACTGCTATATACGCATTGATCGACCAAGCAAGATTGTGTGAAGGGGAAAGCATTCTTATTCACGCTGCTGCGACTGACGTGGGCCAAGCCGCGCTTTCCATTGCGATGATGGTGGGAGCTGATCCATGGGTCACTGTTGAGACGGTTGAAGAGCAAGACTTGCTGATGCGTGAACATCGTATTCCAGCTAATCGTATTTGGCACATTGGGAGTCCAGGCATCTCCGAAGCCGTGGCAGCTGAGACTGGCGGAAAAGGTGTCGACATCATTTTAGACGTCCTTGCAAATGACCGCGCAACACCCTGGACCTGCATTGCAAATTTCGGAAGAATCATTTCTGTCGGCGCCAGAAATATAGCCCTAGGTGATATTGAAGCCGAGAAGAACATATCACTACTGGCTACGGACGTCATTGCGTTGATCAAACACCGTCCACATGTTTTCCAACGCACACTCACTCATGTCGCAAGATTGCTTCGGTATGGAAAAATTCAACCTATTGCTCAGGCCAAGACGTACAGCATCGGAGATGCGGCGACGGCTCTACAGGCTGTCTATGACCAAGGCGTTAAAGGCAAAGCTATCGTCGTCATGCAGGATGATGAACTTGTCCTAGTAAGAATACGGTATCTTGTGATTGTAATACCTACTAATTGACTCTAGGCTCCACGTGTTCATAGAAATAACGCTCTTTTCCGTGAGGATGCGACCTACCTGTTGATTGGAGGTACCGGTGGACTTGGAAGGAGCATGGCCAGCTGGATGATTGACAAAGGTGCAAAAAATCTTGTTCTACTTTCTCGAAGCGGTGCGTTGAAAGGAAGGGCTAAAGAGCAAATCGACACTCTTAACGAAAAGGGCGGGAATATCGTTGTTCGTCGCTGTGATGTTGCTGACAAGAATGATGTCGAGACCTTGATCTCTATCGGTCTCGACGGTCTGCCCCCAGTACGGGGTATTATACACGGTGCCATGGTGTTACACGTAAGCCAACCGCCTGGGCTCACCCCCAACATTTGCTGACAAACATAGGATGTACTTTTCGAGAAGATGACGTATAGTCAGTACAATTCGGTGGTTGAATCTAAGGTTAAGGGCGCATGGAACTTTTACAACGCGGCCGTAGCTGCGAACGCTTCGCTTGACTTTTTTATCGTCATCTCTTCTGCAGCAGGTGCAGTGGGCAATCGTGGCCAAGCAGCGTATGCGGCAGCAAATACCTTTTTGAATGGCTTCGCCCAGTATCTGCTCAGTAAAGGCCTCCGCGCTGCCTCGCTGGATCTGACTGCTGTCTCTGATGCTGGCTACCTCGCCGAAGATGCAGAAAAGGCGGCAGAAGTAGCGAGAACTCTCGGCAGCGATACGATTTGCGAAGCTGAAGTTCTAGCACTGATTCAGGCAGCTGTAGAAGGGAAATTGGGAAGCTGTAATGGTCATCCTATCACCGGTATGCGGATTACGCCGACTATGCGGCCGTTCTGGTCCGACGATGCCAAATTTATGCATTTGCTCAGTGCTGCTGAAGCCGCTTCGGCGGCTTCTGCTACGACTACTATTTCCTGGAGCGCAGCTTTCAGAACAGCCGCATCTCGAGCCGACGCTGAATGCATTGTCTGCAACGCGCTGGTAGAGAAAATTGCAGAAGTAATCTCTATGGAACCAGAGGAATTGGACACCAGTCGCGCTCTGAGCCACTACCCTTTAGACTCTCTTACGGCAATCGAGGTGAGGAACTTCATTACTCGGATGTTTGAAGCGAATCTTCAGGTCTTGGAATTACTCGCTAGTGGGAGCATTGAGAGTCTCGCAAAAGTTGTTTCCGTGAAGAGCAAAATCACGCTTCCCGAAGCTTGATAATCTAGGTGTGCCAGTAATGAGGGACAACTTATCTTGGAGGTTGCAGATACTGCATGGTGATTTTTTCCCTGGAGGATTTTTGTAATAACTTTTAGGCGCATATAACCATAGAATCGGGTTCTCAATGCAAAGTGGTATTTTTATTCGTTGGTTGTTGAGGTTATTCACAATACGGCTACCGGTTTAATTAAGCGACTGCAAAAACACTATGCAATGATATTATTTCCCATTCGCAGTTTCATGCTGTAAGTATAGTTCTACACGGTATATTTCGAATTACGATATCTTAGTTCATACCTAAAATCTATTGGTTCGTTCGTAAAATCACGTGCTGATGGTTCTCACGCTAACCCTTAACAGGTTACGTCCTTCGTGTTCCCCTTTTTGAAGTCTCCACTTGTAATACAGATTAGGTCTACGAGTTTACAATACATTGCGGATGCCAACTATCCTGCAGTTTGGCATTCTCCATAGACGCTTCGTCACACGAGAATGGAGCCATCAAAACTTCCAATTCGGCGGCTGAAACACCATAAACAGATGCAAACGCATACTGGTATTCTTGAATTCCCAACTCTCAAGAAGACGCGCAGATTTGGTGCCAAAGTGAAGACAGGATGCCGGACGTGCAAGTAAGCGCATCATGTCAAGTCATGTTGTTTTTGCGTAAAACGAATTTGCGTTAACTTTTTTTGGGCAGGATCCGACGGATCAAATGTGATGAAAGGAGACCAGAATGTGAGAGGTATCGTATAAATGGCATGCTTCTAGAGAGTCCCCTTCTCACATTCTAACCCAGGATAGATGTACAAGTACAGGGCGCAAATGCGAAGGTTACATTCAAGACAAACAGGACAGGTCAGAATCTCTTCTGCTGACTAAGTCTTCCGCCTTTCTGAACATCAGCCCGGCCATGACGGAACTCGGAGAAGGCGTGCTGTATCTCGAATTCTACCATCACTGTGGAAGCCCTACGATCTCTGATCATTTTGACCACGAGTTCTGGTCTCGGACGGTCTTGCAAATGGCCCAATCAGAGCCAGCGATCAAACACGCCCTGATCGCTATTGGCTATCTCATTAAGACTGAACCAGGTGACCTCAGGCATGCTCGTTTGGAGTCGGTCAACGAGAACCGTAAAATATTGCTCGTCCACTATAACAAATCGGTCCGATGCCTTGTCGATAGAATGGAAGCATCGCCGAGCTCGGTTGAGGTCAGTCTTGTCACCTGTATGCTGTTTATATGCATCGAGTTTATCCGAGGAGACTATCACGCTGCCTTCTCGCACCTCTATAGCGGCCTGAAAGTCATTGCCGAATGGCGGCAGCAACAGCAACAGCAGCGGCTGAATCACTTCAAATTACTTCCAGACTACAAGTCATCTGGTACAGTTACCTCTCACATCCAGGGATCGAGTAACATCATATCGGACAAACTTTCACCAATGTTCAACAGAGCGATGACGACGGCGCTCCTGTTTGGTGCGCCTTTCGAACCGCAGCTTGAGCTCTTTTGTCCGCCAACGAACACTTTGAAATGCACTGTTTTCGCTACTGTTTTTCAGGCACAGGCTGCAATGCACGAACTGAGAAACGCATCACTATTTATGATATCTATAATCTTTCGAAAGAGTATAAGGGGTGCCGAGTTGTCACCAGAGGAGAAATCACGGCGAGCAGACCTATTAGCATCACATGATTCCTGGCACAGAGCCCTGCAGGATTTGGAAAATGGGAAAATATTATCGAAGAAGGATCAGGTTGTGGCAAGCTCGCTGAAAGTATTTTACTACTGCGTGGTCCTTGCTTTGATAGGCGTCGGTAATCTGTCTTGCATGGCTCTCGATGCACATCTTTCCAGCTTTCAAGCCTTAAACCGTCATGCCAGATTAGTTCTCGACTCGATGGATCTCGCATCAGCCTCGCAAACAACGTCTCCAACCCCATCACCAAGTACATCACCTAGCTCTAAAGGTTCGCCTAATAGTAGCAACGGCTCTCTATCGCCTCTGATGCCAATTGCGCGACGAGAAGCAGCTCATTTTACCTTTGAGATGTCGGTAATAGTTCCTCTGGTATGTTGAATTTGAAGGGCCATGGTCGATCACAGCTATTAAATAACAGCTATGCTCCTCTCATTTGAGAAGTTTACTCACTGATGTTGTTATCTAGTATTGGGCTGCAACTAATTGCCGGTGCCCCGCCACTAGACGAGAGTCTGTCGCTCTTCTTGAAAAGGACCCGCCTCGCGAAGCTTTTTTCGAAGCGAGAATGCATGCTGTTGTGGCGAGGCGCGTGATTCAAATAGAGGAAAGGGAAGTCGACCCTGAAACAGGTTGGCCCATTCAGAGGTCTAGACTAGTCAGCGCTCTAGTATCGTCTGATATGGACAGGAATGGGAGATTCTATGCTGCCTACAGGTCTTTGCCGTGGGTTTTGAGGAGCATGGATCCGAACGATCCTGAACGTCACCCAGGGGACACGGATCCAAAAGGACAAAGCAATGAGTGGATCGAATGGTTTCAATTATAAGGAAAATCAATTTATATATTCTCTGTGCCATATGTGAAGAAAAGATGTGCGATTATTCAACTCCATTGCATTTGTCCCATGGACTAGTTTTGCTCGCCAAAAGCGACGTGTGGTATATCATCTCAGACTACCGTCTAGTCGTGATCTTTCGCGGTCTAGGAACCGCTAGTAAGCATAGTAAATGTTCTCTTCCGGCTTCTCTCTGCGAAGCTTCGTGTTCGTCCGCTGAAGCCAAACCCTCAAGCACCATGCACATACAATCGTCATAAATGCAAATGCCGCATTGCTCGACATGGCGACCAAATACTTGGGGCCATCGCTTTTCGGGTAAAGGTATGCGGTGTAAATGTAACTAGCATTTGCAACGACGTTGACAATTGATAGAGACACCGCTTTCTTCTCTGCTGTTTGACCCAGCGTAGCGGACACCCAGCCGAGGATGACGGAGTTCACTGCATATGCCCCAGACGCGAACAGAAAGCAAGAGATGTATCGCGCTGCTGTGTTCATTGTCGCGCATGAGATGATGAAACCGACGAGAGCAGCACCCATACACAAAGTGATGTGCCAGGTCCGCTCGTTGAACTTTCCAGAGGTAAGTCCAACTACGACACCGAAGAAACCAGAGACCAGATAAGGAGGGCAGGTTAAGACGAGTGTAATAGTACGACTGAATCCGAGCGACTTGACCACCGTGGGGAAGAAGTTGTTGAAGCTGCAAGCCGAAAGATGCATATTCTGCATGAGGCAAAGTAGGTATAGACGTGGGTCACGGATTGCCTGCTTGAATCCAGCGCGTGCACCTTTGGAAGGTTCGATACCGACAGTGTCACGTTCGATTCGTTCGTGTGCCAATTGACGCTCTTCTGGTGTTAGCCATCGCGTGGTCAGCGGATAGTCGGGCAACATCCACATGCCGATGATTGCAACACCAAATGTGACGATTCCCTCAATGATGAACAACCATTTCCATCCAGCAAGTCCATGAACGCCATCCAGGGTTGAAAAGGTTGCCTCAGCTATCAGCCCCGAGAATGAAGTAGCAAATATGTTGCCGGAGTATAAGACGCTCAAGCGGGTTGCAATCTCCTTTCGTGTATAGAATAGGGAGAGCAAATAAAGTGCGCCAGGATAATACGGTGCTTCGGCAATTCCAAGAAAGAATCGCACTACAACCAAGCCCGTGTAGTTGTGAGTCAAAGCAGTACATGCCGAAACAATGGCCCAACCCATCATGCATATGCACATATAGATCGACGGGCGGACCTTTTGCGAGGACATGAGCATGTTCGAGGGGATCTGCATGAGCAGATACCTGAGGAAAGACAAAGTTAGTATAGTTCTCAATGTAATGCCAGACGCGGCGCATTTACATACCCAACGAAAAGGATGCTAATACAAGTGTTGTACTGCGTGCCAACAAGCCCAAGGTCCTCTTCCAGATTATTGAGACGTGCTTGAGCAATGGCGTTGCGATCAAGATAATTCTTCATGGATATTAGTTTGACGACTGGTAGCCTCAGATGAAGATCAGAAAATCAGTCATACTTACTAGGAAATACATCGCCCACAGAATACTCATTATACGGATATCCATCTTCCTCACGAGTGCGATTTCTTCTGGACTGGTCTTCTTCACAGCTCCAGAATAATCGGCTCCACTTTCAACGTTCTTGCTATCCATGATGTACTCTTTGGAATCTTCGACATGAACTTCGCCAGGCTTTTCGATGCCCTTTGACGTATTCATAGTTACTGATGCCTAGATCGGTGAAGCCAGGCTTGCCCGGGTTTTAACAGGTTGAAAAAGAGCCAAAGAAAAGACTGATCTTTGTGATGAACAAATGAGAAACAACTTGGGCACTGGAATATCAAATCTCAAATGAAGAAGTAGAAGACTTATATGCTCCAAGTTCTCCTCGTTTCTCCCCACGGGGTATTAGCCAATTCCACCCAAACCCATCTAGCGATCTAGCTGAGCTTGCACCCGGAGTTTGATTCTGCGATCTTGGCTTCACACTTCTTTAGCAGTTAGCCGAGAGATCACCTCATTCGCACAATGGTTCTCACGTTCTGGACTGTATGGTACGGGGTGCGGGGTATTGCTATGGGGTAAACGCAGTGTTCTATTTCGTTTTGAGAGGTGCCCAGATTTCAAGATATCCTTAGCTCTGGAACTACTGACTTGGAGATTCGACATTAGTCAAGTCTCGTGTTCGGTAAAGTAAAGAATGGCAATAATATTGATCAACTTGGTTCTAGAAAGACACCGACAACAAGGCGCTTATGCGTTTTCTAGCTCTCAGATTCATGCGCGCGCAACGTAATCATAGTGTGTTGTACACGATGGACGTCCCTTCCTACACCTTTGGAGGGCCGACGTTAATGCCCACGCTTGTTGGAAACTGGCGGAGTACAGCTCTTCTTCTTTTCCAAAGATGTGCCATCATCTCCACAATTCGTCCTGCTACACAATTCACAACCGGGCTTGAGAATACATGAAATGCAAGACTTATGTAAAAGGATCCTGACGTACGATCCAAAGAGACATGAGTAACGGATTAATCCTGTTTTTGGTACCCTTTTACTCGAACGAAGATTAGACAAGCTTCAGTAACAGCAGATCAGAAGCGCTGTTACCTTTAGCAATCAAGATTGTGATAAAGTAAATAATACCCAAGTTACAGGTTGGTAGAACAGACTGACTAATCATAGCAAATTTCCCATTTCAATGCTCAAAGAAAGATAAACGGCATTTGACTCCACTGCTTCGACCTCAACGTGCATCTATTAAGATCGAATCAACAGAGTGGTGCATGTAACCGTTGATTTCTTGAAGAGCTTTCAACGGTTTAATCTTCGATCGAGAACTGTTATAGCACTTGGCCTGCTTCGAACTTTGCTCGGGCGACATTATTGGGTGAAATACAAGCCATGCGATGGTCTCGAAGTGCGTTTAAGATCCCAAAGGCGTAGCTTGACCGTCACTAAGAGAAATGGTGCCTTGGCTGGTTGATTACTGCGGACTTTGATGCCCGGGGTGCGAGCGGACGTTCAAGGTGCGGTAGCGCGGACTCGCTACCCGCCGGTTCATCGAATGACCTACTGCCGGACTTTGTATGTCCGTCAGATCTCCCCGCGTGGCAAACGAACCCCCCAGCCGCCTCCTCTAATCGGAGGGGCTTCATTGAGGGGCATTTCTTCGTCCGAGCTGCATTATTGTATGGGAGTTGCAGTATGGGGCGATTGTTACCCCTCGGCAATGGAAAAAGCGGCATATAACCACGCGTCGCGCGTTCCACCAGTTCTCGGAGTCTTAAATCCACAAGGCACGCATTCCCAGAGACGCTCAACTTGCAACATACCTCTACGAACCACCGTGTAATTTATCAACCTTGTCATCCCAACTTGAATACAGTTCACCATGTCGCCAATCGCTGTCTCACGGAAGTACTCCATCGCAACGATGGGAGCCGACGGGATTGGCCCTGAAGTTGTCGATGCAAGCGTTGAAGTCCTGAAGAAGCTCGTGCAGGTGGATGGAGGATTTGAATTAGACTTCGAGAACTTTGACTGGAGTTCAGAGACCTACAAAAAGACTGGAAAGTATATTCCAGATGGTGGGCTTGAGCAGTTGAAGAAGCATGACGCCATTCTTTTTGGTGCCGTTGGTGCACCTGGTAGGTGTTATTCCGACTAGTTGTTGACGAGGTTCCATAGCTGATTGGGCATAGATGTTCCGGATCACATCTCACTTTGGGGCCTTCGATTAGCCATCTGCCAGCCTTTCCAACAATACGCCAATGTGCGCCCAACGAAAATTTTTCGAGGTACATCATCGCCTCTCCGCAAAGCCGAGCACGGTGATTTGGATTGGGTTATTGTCCGCGAGAACAGCGAAGGCGAGTATGCCGGTCAAGGTGGCCGATCGCATCGAGGCCATCCTTGGGAGACGGCGACCGAAGTTGCCATATTCTCCCGCGTTGGTGTCGAAAGAATCATTCGATTTGCTTTTGAGACTGCACAGAAACGCCCTAGAAAGTTCCTCACAGTCGTCACAAAGAGCAATGCGCAAAGGAATGGCATGGTTTTGTGGGACGAAGTTGCGAGCGAAGTCGCCAAAGACTTCCCGGATGTCAAGTGGGACAAGATGCTCGTGGATGCAATGACCTGTCGCATGGTCCTTGATCCTAAGTCTCTGGATACTATCGTTGCTACCAACCTTGTGCGTATACCACCTTCAGCTTCCATTGACGTCCACGCTGACATAGAAAAGCATGCCGATATCCTCTCCGATCTTGCCGCCGCTCTTGCGGGATCTATCGGTATCGCGCCTACTAGCAATCTCGACCCGACACGACAAGTAAATTGTCCCTGGGCAACCTTTTACTATTTGCGCTAACCAATTGGCAGAATCCATCCATGTTTGAGCCTATTCATGGCTCCGCTTTCGACATCACCGGAAAGGGCGTAGCCAACCCCGTCGGCACGTTCTGGACAGCAGCTGAAATGCTGATCTGGCTGGGTGAGGAAGATGCAGCCCGGAAGATGATGGAAGCAGTTGAGAATGTGACCGAGCGAGGAATCTCGACGAAGGACCTCGGTGGCAATGCCAATACTAAGGAGGTCACCGACGCCGTCATTCAAGAACTCGAGAAGGTGTACTTGAGCACGCCAGCGAAGAAAATTTAAGGGAAGGAACATCGTGATACCATTGTTTTATGTACTAGAATACTTTCCACAGAGCTGTCTGGATCACAAGGTGGACTTCAGTTTGGAAAACAAACAAATTGCATAAGAAGCCTATTTATAGATTTGAAAGTCAGGAATCGGCGCACTTTTGATAAACGTAATTCGGAAAGCCTCTGTGCTCGGTACTCAATCAGTATTTCAAAGGCTTACTACGTTCAGAGCCAATTTTTGTCGCCATGATGGGAAAGGAAAGAACCAGATTCTTTTATAGTAAGCTTTTGAATCACCTCCAACATGCTTGTAACACTTTCTTCCATTGAGATCGGACCTTTGAAAGTCGGGTCTAGTTCTAACAACGTAGCGACCATCTTCTGCGCATTGGCTAAATTTTCTTGCGACGCTAAGCGTTGTTAGCAAATTATACAGATTATTACAACAAAGCAAGTTTGATGAGATATAAAATAGTGATGATAGCCAAGAGTGGAGTATAGCCTTACTGGTTTCAAGGTTGTTATTCTGCTCTGTAGCAACGAGCCCGGGGGACAATGCCAGGAAGATGATGCCATCGGTTTTAAATTCAACGGCATACTTGACGGCCAACAAGTTCACTGCAGCCTTAGAGATACAATACGGCACGGCACCGGTCCAGGAACCAGCAGCAATGAGGTCCAGATCGGCTGCACCACTGGAGATGATGATTATTTTCTTGATCTCGGACTTCTTCGAAAGGTCGATGAACGCATTGATACTGTAAATGGCGCCGACGACATTGGCTGCCATGCTTGAGTTGAGTTCTGAAACCAACAGGTCCTCTTTCCCTTTGAATTCAGAAGGACTGATGAATTGAGTTGAATCAGACAAATAGGCACCGTTGACAATGAGATGATCAAGGGATCCGCCAGTGATTTGAGATACCTCTTTGGCTGCAGCAACTAAAGAGGCATTGTCGGTGAGATCGCCCTGTAGGACGTGTACGTTCGATATCCCTTCTCCTCGCAGCTTTTCTTGAACTGGCACAGGGTTTCTTGCAAGCCCAATAACTATGTTATCAGGATTTGCAGAAAGAATCTGCAAATATTTGTACTGAAGAAAATCAGCTTCTGCACTTGAACCTTCTACAAGGAACGTATGACGGGCTCGACAGCAACCCAGTCGTATGAAATAACATACCCCAATGCCCCGAGAAGCTCCAACGATGACATATGAGGCCATTGCTACTGACAAGATTGACGTGAACTATTATGGTGAATTTACGAAATGATACTGGTGTAGAGTATAAATGAAACCCGAGTTGGTGAGTAAGTAGTAAGAGAGTGGTGGACGTACGACTGCATTCCTTACTCTAGATTATATAGATGTTTCCGAAACTACAGCCTCTTTTGATAGTTTAGTATCGAAATAATGATGATTTACAAACATCTGAAAGAAGGCAAGAAACTGCGAATGCAATGTTTGACCCATAGTAAGCAGGCGGCTGTACTCCCAACCAATGAACGTAAGGTGCTGGCAGGATAGGGTCATGCTACGACAGATTCGCACTAGTTTCGCCCCAATCTCGCAGATTCTTGCTGTTCTGACTGTTGCTTTGTAACCAAGAACAAAAGTCAATTACGCTGTTCCATGATAATTGCGAAATACTAGGGACAATCGGACGAAATGCAGCATTGAGTACCTTATCACAACATGGTGCTCTGGAAAGGTCCATGAAACCCCACGCTGCTGTTTGATTACGATTTGGCAACAACAGACCTTACATTTGTGGAATATCTCTATTTTAAAGGGTTATTTGACTTTAAAAATACATGAGAGGCAAAAGCTAGACAAATGCCGGGAGAGAATCTCCTAAGCTAAGAACATCTGTCATCTTTTCCGTGTATCCTAAATCTTGGTCGGAATCCAGTTCATTCATGGCCCAGAACCGTTCGATGAAATTGTGTACGCGCACTATATTGCAAGGACCATAATGGTGTTTTGTGGATGAGAGCAGTCTGAGTATTGTCGCCTTTTGACTGTCTGTGCTTGCTTCGCAGCTGATAATGAATAAAGGTAGCGTTCGCCCGCAAACATGTAGTCCATCTAAGATCGAGAACGCATCATTGACATATTGCTGTACCCTTGCATTCGATGGTGACACTTTTCTACCAGCACGTTCAAGGTATATCAATCCTGCCAGTCGGTATAATTCAGCCGTGCTTCGAAGTTCCGTCGCCTCTGCAGAGCGTGTGACATCATCTATGTCTTCAACTCTTATCTCTTGCCGTGCGTATTTTAGCTGACGTTCTAATTTATCGAGGCTCTCCAGAGGAATATCAGAGCCAATCTCTGCTCTCATTACTTCACTAATGGTGGTTGATATCGCCATCAAGACACCCATTGAGCAGCCGCCGATTGGTAAGATCTGTTCTTAAATTTAGCTGCGGGATCTATGATGTGGAAGAGTTTTCTTAACCTGGTTTGCATCGAATGAATTCATCACCGCTCCTTTTAAGTGATCTTGTTTCACGCACCATATCGATGACATTGGGGGGCGATCAAAATGTCGGAGACTGAATTTTGACAGGACCACGTAATAACAGACCCATTCCAGAATTAGCGCAGAATCGCCATGGTATTTTTGATCGAGAGTGAATGATGTTATAGAAGCTGTCTTTGAGAAGCAGATGTTGGTCGCCCATTTTGGAGCATCATCGGGACTAAGAAGAGTCTAACGTAAAGTATTAGCAAATGTTGTACGAGTATGCCGCGATTAACTTACTTCGAACATGGTGAGAAAATTGCTTGCGACAATGCGTTGTAGGATGTCATTAGTTGTCGAATACACCAAGGAATCCCGAATTGCTGTCGTCGCTCGCTTGCTGTAAGCAACCGCTCTTTGACGATCAAAGAGATAGATAGCTGCGAGTGCAAGAATGGCGTATCGTATCGCCGAAGCGGACACAGAATCATCCGAGAAAGACATGCGAAAAGCGAGGCTCTGTACTTGCGGGTTACTCATTCCAATGAGCTTGTGGGATACAGATTCTTGGTCTATAATCGGTTCAATTCCTGTCTAGAGGGAAGATCAAATCAAACTTACAATAAGAGAGAAGGTCTGCATCGGTGCCACTCAATGAGAATGGTATCCAATGAGGATTTCTATTGATGGATAGGCGCATCGGCCTTCCCAATGGCGGTCTCCCTGCATGAATTAAGTCTGATTGCTTGGAAGTGATCGGGAACACTAACCACCATTGGCTAAAAGAGAAAATCGCTCCACGTCGGCAGAATAGATGTTGACGAATTCAGATTCGAGTAGCCGTGCCTTCACTTGTTGGTCAAGAGACGCAGGCGTAATTTTGTGGATGCGCATCCTTCGAGTGTCGTTTTTTCGTGGCCAGGATAGCCTCGTTTCATAACCATCGCACCTTCGGCCAGATCTAGCACAAGTTTGACAGAAAGGTCTTTCCCGATCACAAGAAACTTTCCGTGATTTACATGTCCAACATCCTCTCACAGCCATGGGGGAAGTAGTCGTACGCTTTTAGAAATCAGGGTCAGGTATTTAGATGAGATTAGATAGTACACAAGCACGCGATTTTGCGGTAATTTTACTCTTAGGACGTGATGCTCGTATTCAAAAGTGATATTCGGGAGGGTATCCTGGACAAATGGATGAGGAAATAGTACTAATGACGAGAAAGAAGTGATGAAATGACATTTGCTCGCTCTCAAGCAGACGCCTGCAGCGCAAGACTTGTTATCATTTCCCCGCAAAATCGGACCTCCGTCCTTGGTCCGCAAAGCGAACACCCAACTAACCCGAACCTGATTAATAATGCTCCGAATCCACCAGAACAGATCCATCGAAACCAAGGATTTACGACTGAAAGTGTCGAATAGCTTGAATTATTCATCTTTCCGAAGGAGTAGAGCAACCAGCCCGGAGACTGCATAAATTACCTTGACGTATCAATGTCCTTTGCTTGGACACCCAACCAGGCGTGCCTAGGTTGATTGCCACGAAAGGATCGAGCGCATATTATCACGTGACATATCATTTACACCGGCATTTCAACGTTGAAGCATTGCATGCTGCCGGTTCCCTTGATAGTATAATCAATTGTCTAGCTTTTTACTTACAATCTAATGTAATGCAAAAAAGGCAAGGGGAGAAGAAAAACGAAAGATCAGCATAATAATTAAGGATAAACGATCAAAATGACTTACTCTGTAGACTCGCAATAGACATACACAACCCATCGACATGTTCTTATAGCACAAATGTACAAGCTACGAGTAAAAGAAATCTCACTAGTAACTTTTATAAATAAGTTAGTCGATTTAATTGTACCTATTTGTAGTATTGCTGATTTTGGTTGGAGGGAGCCCAGAATCTTGTCGTGACGTAAGTTCGGGAAAAACTCGGCTTCACTTGACTGGCGCCCAGTCGATCGAGAGCTTCTACCGTCCGCTCTGCTACTCCATGGATATCTATCCCATTTACAGATGGAGCAGAGGAAGTCTAAAGAGTCACTTTCTGTACGTCTTGATACTCCAGCATTCTGCTCCTTGCCATGATTGCGTTTGCTGACTTGTAGCAGTGTGATCGATGTCGTGTAAAGAAACTAAAGGTTCGTCTCAGCCCACGCTCTGCACGCATTATTGTCTCGTCTAAGCAAGTCATGGCAGTGTTCCAAAAATTTACCATCATGTAGCAATTGCTCTCATAGTGGATTGGATTGTCACTATAGTGGCAAGATCGTCAGATCTCCACTCACACGCGCGTAAGGGTGCCTGATCATATTGTGTCTGCTTCTTTCGACTAAACATTCCTAGATATCTTACAAGTGTTGAAAAAAGATTGCAACGGGTGGAAAATTTGGTGTCCCAGCTTGTACCTGGGGCAGACATCGATGAGCTTTTAAACTCGCCCGAAGTTGCGAAGGCCGTAACGCCATCTGCAAACAATGTTGGGACACAGGCCCATGAAGTTTCGAGGACAATATTGCCTACCAGTCCGCAAAGAGAAGGCAGATCTGAATCACATGATCCCGTTCTTCCAGAGGCGGTTCCATATAGCGCTGACGGATTCAACTGGCAAGAAGAGGACGTGACCGTTGACGGCCTAACAGACGGCATGGCAGCTTTGTCTGTTGAGCCTACCGGTGTCGGGTATCTTGGCAAGTTTAGTCGCTGTTTAAATGAATTGCGCATGTTGCTTATTGTGCTCCAGGTTCTACTTCCGGAGTTGTTTTCCTACGCTGCCTGCTGGATTGGGCAGGCTTTCTCAACCAAACTCGGATACCGGCGCAAGAGTCAATGAAACAAGCAACAGGGAATATCAAAAGCATAATTGCATCGTCTCAGCTCTCTCATGCTGCGCTAACTACCCAAGTTGCTTCTACCTTGATGGATACGTATTTCCAAGACTACCATGTGTGCTATCCGTTCGTGCATGAAGGCACATTTCGAGCACAGTATAGTGAAATCATCCCCCGCCCACCTCAGAGATCGTGGGACATGCTTTACCACACCATCCTTGCTCTTGGGGCATGGAGCCTGAACAATGACCAAGTAGGTTTGGAAGATTACCTGTATCGAAGAGCACTTACACTAGGCCAACACGAGTCGGTATTTGAGGCAGCAAATCTGGCCACTGTTCAAGCGCTTGTGCTCCTGAGCAATCTAAGCCAAAAGAGAAATAGCCCGAACACGGGGTGGAATCTACTTGGTCTTGCAGTTCGTACAGCACTCAGCCTCGCATTGCATAGAGAGCTCCCACAATGGAACATCAGCTTAATGGATCGCGAAATAAGACGCCGCGTTTGGTGGGGTCTATACATATTCGACAGTGGCGCGTCGACTACCTTCGGCAGAGCGATTATGCTGCCAGACCAAGATTCAATGAACGTACATCCGGTCCTGAACGTTGATGATGAAGTAAGTTTTATCCTCAAGGCCATCTACTCGATGCGAAAGATATCTCAAGCGGCGGGCCTAATATTTTCAGTCTCTTACACCGAAGACAATTGAGTTACCAGAAGAATCACTTGGTCCAACTTTTTATTCGTCATTGAAAACCCAGAGCGACTTACACATGCACACCAACCATGTATCCAACAGACTACTTGCAGATCCTGGTCTATCCGCAGAAGCAGCTTTGTCTATCAATTCCGGCATGGACGCATGGACACTTACCATGCCAATGTACTTTCGCTTCGATCATGAGTTCTCATGTCCTTATCGTTGGTATCTCTTCGCCCGGTCACGGATTTGGTGGAGGTTCTGGAATCTTAAGATCATCATATTTCGCCATATTCTATTGCGACGAGCGATTGCCGGGCGGGGTCAGACGTTGGATGCCGCTACGCAATCTATGGAGGAAGAGTGCAAGAAGATATGCATTGCGGCTGCACATTCAACGATAATTTCGATCCATCAGTACTCAATCCAAGGCTCCACTAGATTGGAAAGCTGGTACGCAACGTGAGTCAAAATCTTCACCGGCCCAGCGAACGCATGTTGATCGTGAACAGTTTCTTTCTATTTCATGCTGCTCTAGTCATCACGCTTAGTATCATCAGCTTCCCCAATGCGGATGATCTATCAACTTGGTATGACGATGTTCGACTGGCCAGATCCACATTTCGTGAGAATCTCATCGAGGACTCCCTATCAGCACGGTGTGTTACTATCCTTGATCGGCTAGTTTCTGACGACCCCATTGACTCCAATTTCTTCAACAATGTCCCTCTTGATCGGGATGCCATGTCTACCTTCCCTTGGTCTATGGAAGCGAATGAACTCTTTGACTCGTTTGACTGGGATTTGACAACGAATCATGTCTGAGATGAGTTACCCTGGATGCTCGACAGGAAAAGTCACTAGTTTTCGATGATTACGTCCGGTTTGATAAGACGTGACCGTATCATGTCGCCGTTGGGTAGGTCATTGGCCTCTGCTCTTGCAACAGCTTGAGCAAATGAGTTTTCGATACCAGCTGCAAGGTGACGCTTAGCAAGCCGGTCTCGCGCCACCTCTGCAGGTATATCGACAAACCATCTGGGAGAATCAGCTGCTTGTCGAGCCATATATATCGTATAAGACTCACTTCTCATTGCTCAAAGAGGCAATATCGCGCCACGGCATTTCATCAAGCAATGTATAATTGCCTTCGATTATGACTAATCGATTACGGGAGGAGATCAGAATTTCATCCTGAACTGGATCTTTTAGCGCGTGATCAAAACTGGGTGCCTTGATAACAAGATCCGGCTCATCCTGGTTGGTGACAGGAGTGGAATGAAGAGTCTTGATGAGATGCACGAACGCATCTGCGTCGAATGTGAACGGCGCGCCTCTTCGCTGGAAAGCTAGTTCCACGTCTTCAAATGTTGATAGCACCTTTTTAGTATAATGGAATCCATCCTAATCACCTATGTCAGTGCAATCCAAACATGTATATTACTACGCTTCAGACAAACCATAGGCACGACGGCAACATCCCGAATGCCGCATTTTGCAAGCTCGGCCAGGAGAGCATGCGACACTGTCGATTTTCCCGATCCCGGCACACCTGCCAATGCCACCAAAATCCTCTGACGGGGATTTAAAGCTTGGTCGGAGAGAAGCTTGTCGATCCGTCTAACTAGATCAAGTATCGACTCGGACAGGGAATTGGTAGTAAGATCTCTCGCCATGGTCGGATGTGTTCGCAAAGCACGCCGAGTCCAAAAGAAAGCTTGCGACGGAATGGGAGGGATTCAGAAAGGCAGAAAGGGGATACCAAAGGTAAATACGGAAAAGCAAAAATATGCTCGGAGAACATCCACGCGTCAAACAGTACAATAAAACTGCTCGATTGGCATTCGGACGACAGGCGCCCGGAAATAAGTGCATTTGTGCAAGTAGACTAGAAGAGGAACAGGGTAGAGGTAATTTTGGTCAGTGGGGAAAACGAGAATTGACCCACTTTGCCTCCCCAGACCTCGTTCTTGCATTTTTCTCTCCGCCGGGTGACTGTGATCCGAGAGTCTTCCATGGTTTCTTTCTTTGGGCATACGAGGTACACTCTCTACACGAGTATATAAACCCAGGGTTCTCCGCATTTTTCATGCACTCCATCATTTGTCCCAGTTAGTCGGTGCTAGTCCTTCTAAACCTTCAAAATGTCGATTGAAATGACAAGTGCTGGCGTTGCGCCGGGCCAAAAGCAAGGAGTGTACAAGGAATTGCGCAAGAACCCATATCTTATTGGTCTATCAGCTGTTCGTGGTACCAACTTGGATTACAGTATCGCGTAATTACTAACCTCAATTTTAGTTCGCATCTCTCGGTGGATTTCTCTTTGGCTATGACCAAGGAGTTATTAGTGGCGTCTTGACTATGGAGTCCTTCGCGGCTGCATTTCCCAAGATTGCAACAGACAGTAGCTACAAGGGCTGGTTCGTCTCGACTCTGTTGCTTTTGGCTTGGTTCGGATCACTCGTCAATGGCCCGATCGCAGATAGATTCGGTCGTAAGGGATCAATGGAAATTGCCGTTGTTATTTTTCTTCTCGGTTCGGCTCTTCAAGCTGGCGCAAACAGTCTTGACATGGCTCTTGCTGGTATGTCTTGATACATACTACTCATGAACATTTCTAACAATGCTAGGACGCGCCATTGCTGGTTTCGCTATTGGCATGCTTACCATGATTGTACCCATGTACATGAGCGAAGTCTCCACAGCTGCTATCCGAGGAACGTTGGTTGTGCTTCAACAACTATCCATCACCCTTGGTATATTGGTCAGCTACTGGCTAGAATACGGTACTCAATACATCGGCGGCACGAGGTGTGCGCCCGATATCCCATACACTGGCGGAACTCCCCAGAACCCAACTTTCGATCCTCGAAAGGATGTCGGGCCAAATGGCTGCACTGGCCAAAGTGATGCCTCGTGGCGTGTGCCGTTCGCCATGCAGATTGTACCCGCCCTTGTCCTAGGTATTGGCATGCTATTCTTCCCCGAATCTCCCCGTTTCTACTGCATGCGCGACAATGAAGCAGCGGGTATCAAGGCACTTGCCAGGGTTAGACGCACCAGCCCTGACGATGAACTCGTCCAGCAAGAGTATCTCTCAATCAAAGCCGAGGTCATCTTTGAGGAATCTTTCAATCGTGAGAAGTTCCCGGGCAAGAGCGGCATCTCTCTCTATCTTGCTGGCTACACGACACTATTCTCTACTGTCCCATCTTTCAAGCGGACCATGATTGGATGCAGCGTCATGTTCTTCCAGCAATTCATTGGATGTAATACATTCCTATTTCTCTTCTCGAACACCACTGATTTAGCGACTAGGCAATGCGATAATTTACTACGCGCCGACAATCTTTGCACAGCTCGGTCTGTCTGGAAAGACTTCTGGGCTACTTGCAACAGGTGTTTACGGTAGGTTATTTTCAGAAAGGGACAAGCTTGTTCCTAAACCAACATATCCATTAGACCTAATGACTAATTGGTACCAGGAATCGTCAACACTGTTTCAACTCTGCCTGCCCTGTTCTTGATCGATAAGCTAGGCCGTAAGCCTCTTCTCCTTGGTGGCGCTGCGGGAACCTTCATTTCCCTTGTCATTGTCGGCGGAGTCATTGGCTATTATGGCGAGACACTCAAAGATCACCCTGCCGCCGGATGGACTGGTATCGCATTTGTCTACATTTACGATGTCAACTTCTCCTACTCCTGGGCACCCATTGGTTGGGTGCTGCCCTCCGAGATCTATAACATTGGCAACCGTTCCAAGGCCATGTCGCTCACTACATCCAGCACATGGATGTGCAACTTCATCATCGGCCTCGTTACTCCCGACATGTTGGAGACCATTGGATACGGCACGTATCTCTTCTTCGCCGGATTTGCCTTGGTCGCATTCTTCTTTACTTGGTTCTTAATTCCCGAGACAAAGGGCAAGTCTCTCGAGGAGATGGACGCTGTGTTCGGTGATACCACTGCGCACGAGGAGAAGACCAGACTCTACACCATTGCAGCAAATTTGGGGCTCGATGAAGCAGAAGCTGCTGCACGCGATGTGAAGGATGAGAAGGTTCTTAAGACTGAGGCAGCCGAAGTATGAATTCAGTCAAAGCAAGAAACTTCGATCTCGAAGTCATAACTCATCTCATTGCCGGTCCGGGATTACTTAATTCTGACCTCGTACAATGAGCTGGAACAAAATGATTCCATTCGAAAGATTCCATTTATCCAATAGGAACAATATATGGAACCAAGATTCTCCTATAATATGTGAAACCTTTCATCTTTAGTAGCGTAGCAATAGTTCCCATTTTAACTAGGTGTAAATTATCTGGGGAGTTCCTTAGGCGCGGGTTGCAGTCTGGATTTAGCTTGCGCACGTGTCGTAGACTACATTCTTGTCTGCTCCGATGGTAGTGTCGACAAGAGTTCTCATCCGCTCATCGATAGAGTCTATGTCCGCTCCATGCAGATCCGCCTCGTTATTTGAGATTCAAGACATGGCGCAAGAATAGTGCTGTGTATATTGATACATTAGTACTACTGTTATTATCATGAATAGGCGAGATAGGAGAAGCGACAGGAAACCGGGTAGGAGTAGGAAAGGTTGGTGAGGGCTGTAACGATGCACGCTTCTTGCTCTACCTCACTTTTACCTTCACTACCTTGCCAAGACCGCGCAAACAAAATCACCCAACGCGTACTTCTTAAATTTCTAACCTTCAAACGCCTTTCGTAGTGTGTGCTACCTACCTTGCAACAGTCCACCGTCAAACTACCTACGATAAAAGCTGAACTGCCTGTCACTCCAAGTTATTTGCGATGCCTCGCGTCGAGCAAGACAATCCAGCCCGGCCTAGAGGGAAGGGGGCCACGAAGAATCAAGCAAGCGATGCCGCTCCAAAAACCCAGAAGGCGGCCCATGTCAGCCGAAAGAGACGCTTCAGGGCAGACAGTAAAGACAGTGAGTCAAGACATCCTTAACAATAGTCTGCAACTAAAGACCTGTACCTGTTGCTCCAGGAACAATCAAACGGTGCCCCGAAGCTGCCGGGCTACTCATTCGGAAGCGTCAGTTCTCGTACTTTGTCCGCGAAGTCATCGAGAAAAGGTGGAAAGATCTGCACGTCCAGCGCTCGGCTCTCGAAGCTCTTCATGAGGCTGCTGAGGCTTTCATTGTTGGCTATTTTGAAGGTATAAAAGTACAACTTGATTGGTACTGTATATGGGAAACTAACTGGCGAGTATAAATTGCAATGCAAAGGCTCAGCAAGAACACAGAATTACAGTCTAGGACAAGGACTCGTAGTCGGTCAAGGCTTTTTATCATAAGCTTGGAGTACTGGGGTGCAATAAAAGAACGGCCAAATGAGGTCAATTGGGACCCGGCCCTGGGAAAGTCTAAACCCAATAGCAACCTAAGAGATTTGACCTAACAGTAAGCTTGATCTCCTAGATTCCGAAATGTGTTCGGTAACCTTCCTACATGGTTCTCCAAAAGTGGGCTTCTTCCGTAGCTTTAGTCCTTCTTCAACCCTACCTTTCCAGTTCTTCGTAGGCCTACAATAGCTATGACAATACAACACATCATTGAAGCAAACATTGTCCAGAAACTAGCCCGGTACCCATTTAATATGTCGCCTGGAACCTCCGAAGTCTCACTGCCGGCATTACCGCTGGTTTTGCGGCTCGACCCCATGACTCGTAGAGACACTACCTGGCATACTCCTACAGACAGGCTTGTTCCAAATTGCGAGACTGTACTAAATACAGCGCCTGCAAGACCTGTGGTCTGCTCGGGGAAGTTATCACTCATAATGATGAGGCCTACTGTGTAGAGTACATTCGGGCTGAGGGCAGCAAGCATCTGCGCCCAGAGCTCGACGTAGTAGTACTTCCACTCAGGATTGACCAATGCCATCATGAGAGGCGCCAGAGCAGCCAGTAGTGTTGACCCTATTACGAGCCAGCCTGCAGGTAGCCTATCGACGAAGATGCCGACGCTCAGATTGATACAAACGCCAATCAAGAGATTAGGGAGGAGATAAAGGGAGGTGATGAGCATCGATTGATGCTGTACTTCTTGAAAACTACACCTAGGTGAGCGACCTGCTGCAGGTTTTGGGAGGCGCAATACTTACTACAAGCTGCAGAATATTTCCATGGTATTCATTGCGCCATAAGCCAGGGCGACGAGCATACAGATGCTCGCGAATGGCAAATTCTTCCATAAAGAATTTGGAACGAGTGCGCTTCGCCCTTTACGTTCCCGATGTCGCATCCAGAGAGGGAATGCGACAAGGAGCACGATACTGACAGCAAGCAGGGAAGCAGTCGTCGCTGATCGAATAACGTACAAATCGGCACTTACCATTCTTTACTTTCCGTTAGACCTTTACTACAAGTTGGGGCATAACGCAAGAGGATCGATAGCCGTGACTCACTTACGCCAATACATAGGATAACAACGCCAATCCGCCGCTGGCGATAGTGCCCCCGACCCAGTCAATCTCTTTGACAAGCTTTTTTACCAAAGTTCCCGGTGCTGGAGATTCAGTGCCGCCCGTAGCCCTAGGCAGGGTAAACCAAGATGCGACGGCAACGCCCAGAATACTAGCACCTGATAGATAGAAGCCAGTTCTCCATCCAATTCTCTCAACCATGATGCCACTGACCACCATTCCGAACGAGAACCCCAGTGGCTGGCTCAGGCCTAAGCAACCGAAGCCGATATTGCGTGCTCTGCCAGCTGGCACTGCAGTTGCAATGATCGAGACAGAGGCGGGAATATGCAGGGCCAAAGCTATGCCTTGGAAGGCGCGAAACACAACGAGCTGAACTCCAGTTTTGGCGAAGCCACATGCGATCACAAAGATACCAATAAGAAAGATGCCGCATACCTCGATATGACGCGCACCAATGATATCGGTCATCGAACCAGCAATCAGAAGACCAGCTCCAGAAGTAAGACTGTAGACTGAAGACGGCCAGAGGTATAGTGAGCGTGGGAGGGACGTAGATGATGCAATAACCGGAAGACCAACTGTCAGCATTCCTGATGTAAAACTTCCGAAGAAGTTGATGACCGATGGTTGGAGGATCGTCATAACCAGTTGAAAGTTGGATAAGGCTCGCCTTTCCGGGCCACTATTGACCAAAACATGTTCTTGGGGGATTTCAGAGGTGTCTATCTCGCGACGTCCGGAAGAGTTGTAAGGAAGCCTAGGGGTGTCTTTCGAGCCTTGTGACGGGAGTGCGACAATTGGTAGGGGACGGAGGTCTATTGTTTCAATTGTAGTGATAGAAGCCATTTTATATTGAAGTATGTTAAATCTTTGAGAATTAAATCTAGGTCAAAAAATTCACCTTCCGATACGATACCTTCAGATATGTTAGAAAGCTATTATTGTTGATCTTAGATGCGGAACAGTGAGGTATAGATATACAAGTAGGTAAGCACGAGGTGAGTCATAGAGGTCGATCTTGGCATTTGACGTACAACGCAGGGACCTTCCTAGTTAAGATAAGGCGTAAGGCCGATCGGTTCAGCTCCAAGGTCTGTTTGCAGAAGTTGGGACGAATATTTTGAGTGACTGATGATTTGCCTACGTAGGTCCCAAGTCGTGAAGTACCAAATCTCGGTCTACAAATGAACCCTGTCTTTGTTGCCACCCTTTCTGACTAACCGAGGCCAAAGTGATACTTGTCGACTTATGCTCCATTGTTCTATCTGAGCCCAATTAAGACACTGCCGCTGCGAGTTTGACTTTGCGTGTGGTCTATTTTCTTCCCGTTCCTTCCAGTAAAATGTATATAGACTGAGATCCGCGTTACACATGATTGAAATACGCAGCGTTTCGATGCAATGGTCTGCTCAAATGCAAGTATGTAGGGGGTTTGTATTGCAAAGGTTGACAGTAAGATGTACCCAAGTGAGAGTAAAACCATTCCAGGTTCGCTTCAGTTAAGTTACCAAAGTATGTATCGCGATACAAATATAATCGCACTTGGCGCAAGCAGTGAAGCTCATGATAGACCCCCAAAGCAGCCAAGTAGCCATCTTCGTCAGCAAGTTGTACTGAGTCGTGCAGTGATTCGCCACTTGCACGAAGTTCATCCTCCGAGAGGCTGAAGAATGTTGCTGAAATCTTTGAATAAGAATACATAAAGTTTCTGAATGTAATATAGTGATGCTTATGCGGTATAAGATTCTCCCAAGCCTTTGTGTTTTCGTGTGTGGGCGGTCCAGAATATTTCGTGTAGTTGTCATGGTCAACAGAATGCTCACTACTGACAATGCTCTCGACGGTAAATAGCTCTGGGTCAAGTCAGCATACGTCGAGAAGTCATGATAATATATGAACCTACGCCACGGTCTTGTAGACGATGATTGTACTACAACAACGCTGGATAGTTCGCTGCAAAGTAGAACGATTATCACAACATGGAGGATGCCAAAATACAATTGAAATGTCACTCGTCTCATGAGCTGAGGGCGCTCTCGATCGTGCGGTAAGGTGCGATGACACTCTGTCACATCATCGACGAGGTAGTACTGTGATCGCATACTGAGATACCAAGTGGCATGTGTTCCATGAAAAATGTCCACACATGATTTTGAAATGAACCCTTCGTGAGTATCTTCTTTTGTATGTGCGTTCAGACGAATTCCCATGTTGCATATTATCAACGCTATAATACTGAGGATTTGAAAAGCAGGGTTCGGACAATCAGCTAGTCCATCGCCCGAGATCCTTCTCAACCTGGCATGCCATCATGGTTCAAGCACCGATCATACCCTTTCCAGAGGCCAATATGACATCAACGGATGCCTCCTGGGTGCTTTACGAATAGGCTAATGTTCTACATTGCGGCACAGACAAAGTCAAGTCTACTTGAAGTAGTACAGTAATATTCGAAGTCCGGCAAAATACTGGGGTCTGTAGAAGCCAATTCGAGGAAGCAATAATAAACTGCCATGGATCGTTACTGTTGCTGTCATCTGATTTAAAGCTACTTAGTCCCTAACCCTGGGATAATATCATGTTCCGGGACCAGCGGGACAATTTTGCCTTCTTTCACGTCCAACTCCGTATCTTGTGCCTTGTTGGTCCGATTACGCTGTACAAAGAGAAGTTGCTGCTTCAAGCTATCCAGTGAACTGCATGAAACAACGAACCCGATTGATATGATAAAGCAAGTATAAGTATGATAGGGCAACTGCAATTAAAGCATACCAAAGTCTTCGAAATAAACTCTTGTACTACCAGCATTGTCTGTACCTTGCGCTTTATCTTTATCAATTCTCTACATACCATTGATCTTACAATGTATATGCAAATCTTCATGTATACTATTCTCATTGCTCACGCTGCTTCTGTGTTGGGAGTTCCAATACTTGGAGATCGTAAGTTCGGTACGTAACTATGTACTCGTAGCCTCTACTGATGATTTACTCAGAAGATATAGCAGATACCGATAATTGCCCTCAAGCTGGTAAGCATCTCCAAAGATATACTGCAAAGTTGATATTAGTTTCCTCATTTTTTTCAATTTAGTACCTATTCCTACAGGAACTATTGAAGCCAAACGTTGCGTGTTCTAAGAATCTTAGGTTACTAATGCCTTTCTGAGGAGAAGGAAGATAGCACCTGCAGTGCTGCGATTGTTACAATGTGGACGATAGCATTCTTCCTGCGATATCTGTTCGCTTGCGGCATCAATTTCAGCATATGGTGGACGAACGCTATGAACATCATGACGCTTTGTGGTGATTTCAATACCATTCTTATGGCCTTGGCCATATCCGACTTCGTATGCGACACAATTATACTAATACTTCCTGTCCCCGTAGTAAGTCGAGATATTGATCGATGCCATCGTGCCCCCGAGCGATGATGCCTGACAATCTGGTCTAGGTCTGGGAACTTCAGATGCCGACATCTCAGAAAATTGCTGTTACTGGTGTCTTTGCCCTTGGGGGTTTTGCCGTTGTGGCATCATGTATACGCATGATTTGGGTTGTCTGGCAAGCGAAACGTATGTACGAGCACCTTTACCATCATTGTCGAAAACTGACCCATTCAGAGAACTTTAACCCTGATCTGGATGTTGACTGTAATATACCTGCGTCTAAAACACTCACAGTGCCTACAGATAATGTTAGCAGTACTTATCACGACCTTTTTATTCTAGAATTATCTTGAAGCGACCGTAGCGTTATTAGCAAGTTGCATGCCCATTTTTAGGGGTACATAAAGACATCATCGCTGGATTCAATGTTGCAAAAGGTCCGCAATCGTATCAACTTCGATTCTATTACATCAATCGTATCGTTCGCTCGTCGTACCGAGAGCAAAAAGAGCAACAACTCAAGCCTTCAAAGCCTGGATCGGAGAAAGTACAGCGCAGAATTACATACGACGCCTGCGGATTGAAGTAAACGGGATAGATTGGATACACAGAACCTATGTCAGGTCGGTGGATCCGTGTCTACATAGTGATTCTTGCGTCGTCCCTTACGGGCATGTATGAAAGCATTACGTATTCCGATAGTCCAGTCTAAAAGTGTATTACTATTTTATGTTCCTCATTGGGCTGAGTTTATTTTAATATTTGAATTTGCACATATTCCAGTAAAGATCGTCGACTAAATGACGTAGTTGTGATTTCTGCTGCTCGATAACACGCAAGACTGCACTATAGAACACCAAGGACTGCATATGTGTGTCAGCGGAACGGAGTTCCAGTGCATATGCATGATGCATAAAACCTATATTGGCAATAGCGGAGTTCATTTGCGCTAAGTTAATTTTTCCTGTAGCATCGTGGCACAGCGGTTGCCTTCTTTACCGGCAATAATCCACCATCCATTTTCCTAGAATCACGCATTCCCTATACAGAATTGATCCTAGAACGGCTTGTTGCGACATCAAAATGAATTTTTATCTCCAATTCGTAACTGTGCCCTTTCTTTCTTTCATACTTTTGAAGGTTTTGCACTGCATGCATTACAATCATCGCAAGAACTCGAGTGGATGTAGAGATCCGCCGAGCTATCCCCACAAAGACCCGATATGGGGGATTGACTTATTCATCCTCACAATCCAAGCTTTCAGTTCGGGTGAGTATCTAGACAGGAGCACGGCGCGTTTCATACAATTCAAGAGTAAAACATGGAAAAGTCATTCTTTTGGAACGACTGTGTATCATACTATTGATCCAGAGGTAGCAAAGAACTACCAGTCAATCTACTTCAAAAGCTTTGGCATCGAGCCTATTCGATATCATTTGGCTGAGAATCTCTGGGGAAATGGAATTGTGGTCACCGACGGCGAAAAATGGTCTGCGGTACGCAGCTTCATTCGGTCCAGTTTTGACATCGTACATACGGCAAACATAGAGAGGCTAGCCTTTCACGTAGAGAAATTTATGGAATTGCTACCTCGCGATGGCACTACATTTGATCTAATGCCTTTATTCAAGCGCTTAGTGAGTAGAACCAACAGTCCTTGCATGGGTCACTGATCAATGTTGAAATAGGTCCTCGATACCTCGAGTGAATTCATCTTTGGTCGATCATTGATGGCGTTGGAACACCCAGACGTTGCATTCATGGAATCATTCGAATATGCGCAACGCGGAACCGGGATTCGCATGATGCTTGGTCGTTTGAAGTTTCTTCACCGTGACGCGCAATGGTTACAATCGTGTAAGCAAGTTACCGACTTCTGTGAAGCACGCGTGGAGGAAGCCATAGAAAGAGTCAAGGATGGGTCAGAGCGGCGAACAGAGAAAAACCGTTTACGACTCGTCGATGAAGCAGTCAAGGCTACAACAGATCGATATACTTTACGATCACTTATACTCAGTGTATTCAGTCCTGCTCATGATGGGGCTGCAATCGCGCTTAGCAACGTCTTCTTCCACCTTGCAAGACATCCAAAGGTTTGGCATAAGCTACGCGAAGAGGTAATGCGTAATAGCCACCAACCCATTACGTATGAGCTGTTGAATTCCTGTAAATATCTAAAGCATGTATTTCAAGAGAGTAAGCTTGCGAAGAACTGAACAATAGTTGTTGTAACTTACCCTGTCCAGGTCACCGTCTTACTCCTATTATTACTGGTAATCAAAGAGTTTGCCTTAAGGTCAGTTACCAAAATATTCAAAAATCCTTGACTAAATCACGGTACCAGGATGTCATTCTGCCTTGTGGTGGAGGTTCCACTGGCAGTGAACGTTTGTTCGTCAAGAAGGGCGATATTATCGAGTCGGATTACCGTGCGATGATGCGAGATCCCGATTTGTGGGGTACGAATGCGGAAGAGTTCTTTCCTGAGCGATGGGAAGTGATTCGGCCGACGTGGGAATATCTGCCCTTCGGTGGAGGGCCCCGACATTGTCCTGGGATTAGACTTGTTTTCGTAGAGGCTGCCTATACTACCGTAAGAATCTTGCAGGAGTTCAAATTGTTAGAGAACCGGGATAATGAAGTGGAATGGAAAGAGAAAATGCGTATGTCATTCCAAAGTAAGAACGGAACTCTGGTCGGACTTGTTCCTGTATAACCCACAAGAGAGTAATAAGTTTCTGGTTCCTCTCCACCATCCATCCTCCCTGCACGGATAATTTCTGCCCTATCTCTTTTCCGTCATTTCTGTTCGGGATTTAGTCTGCTTCCATTACAACAACAAGCTCTCCCCCGGCGCACATATTAAAGATATTAAAGAAGCAATTCTGGCTGTCTCACCAAGATTAATGTAGTTACTGCACACTACCTTGCTGTCTTATTGTTGCTACGAACGTATAATTGCGCGCGAGAATGCTGCGCTAAGCGCTCACTTTAAAGTGCCCGTTATTCTAGCTGTAATCGTAAAGCTTTGTTATTACACAATTATCAAGAATGGCATGGAGGAATACAGTAGTCTAGTGCTATCTGCACTGCTATCTACTATCGGAGGTGACAAAACTAATACTTTATGCAATTCATTTACCGCGCCTGCTTTTGGCGCATGCCTGTACTTATACTGTTGTAGGATGGGACTAAGAGTAAATATTGTAGGCACATTTGCCACTTTGGTGAATTCAGGCGGATCCTTTCTGAATTCCGAGCCTACAATGATTAGCTGGAGACTGAGGTTTGCACGTAACCTTGAAAATGCCCAATGCCACCAGGCATTTTGGAAATACTACCTCGTACCATACCCGAGAAAGGAGGTATCGGCATTATCGCGCCAAGGACGGGATAATCCCCACTTTACAGGGAAAACCCAGGTCTTGGCTTGGTAGGCCTTGTGAGCTTGAAGCATGCGGCAGTGGGCCTAACGGGAATTTCCCTTTCACAGAAAAACGCAGTCATGACTTGAGTTACATGATAGAATCGTTACTGGATTTCAGCATGTATAGCAACATTCTAAGCAGTCATGGAATTCCATATTGAGTCCATTACTGCTCTGTTCCATTTTGACATATTCTTTAAAGTGCCCCGTAGAACGAGGGCCCGGAGCCTTGTGTATTCCTGTTTCGTATTTCCCGAAGCAGAACAGATGATCATCTGATTAGACAACTGTTCAAGGTCTTGGCTTAGGCAACTAGCCAGGCATAGGAACGATCTGATTAAATAACTGGCGGTATTAATTATTGAAATTTAGAACGCGAGGTATGGGACAACCTTTTTAAGGATTTTCGGTCCTCTATTTAATCTTGTGCTAGTACCATTATCTCCAATTTTTTAGTCCTATGTTCGTTCTTCTTTCTTTTGTCAAAATCTCATTATAGAGCCGCCAACGGCTCGATACAGCTTTGTCAAACATGGCAGCACCTACGGTCAGCGAACAGCCCAAAGGGCCTGAACCCCATACGACTTCTACCCACGACACCGAGTCCCATCAATGGTTCGAGCCGCTGGAGAAGAATGAACCTGTCTCATCCATTGACGACAATCGCAAGGAGATTGGTGTAAGCCGTGTCGAAGCCTTCAATAAGGTACTCTACCAGTCTGGCAAGAAGGGCAAGATGTTACTTTGGCTGCTTGGTGTTTCTATCGGCCTCACAATGTTTGCGTATGCCCTTGACATGGGAATCACTACCGCGATCTTTGGAACATTGGCTGCCTCAACTTTTAAGGTCCACAGTCAACTCGGTACCGTCAACACAGCTGCTCAAATTATCCGTGCCATCAGCAAGCCATTTATAGGAAAGTTGGCAGATATAACCTCTCGACCTACAACCTACGTCATAATCCTCGCCTTCTATGCTGTTGGCTTTGCCGTCGCAGCTAGTGCCAACAACTTCACGACATATACTGTCGGAATTTGCTTTACATCAGTTGGCAAGTCGGGTCTCGATCTTCTGAGCGACATCATTGTTGCAGATTTGACCCCTCTTGAATGGCGAGGGTTCTTCGGTGCTTCCCTGTCCCTGCCCTTCGTGGTGACGGTACCCCTCAACGGCTTTATTGCTGATGGCTTCTACGAAAACTGGCGATGGGGACTGGGAATGTTCGCCATTCTCGTTCCGGTACTCCTCATCCCTGCTATTCTTACACTCTATACGATGCAGCGACGTGGAGAAAAGGCGGGTATGGTCACTATAGCTGATTCCAAGGATGTTCGGACAGGCATTTCGGAGACAACATCCAAAGGCTTAGGATATTGGGCCAAACTTGCTTACCGTGCTTTGATCGATATCGACATTGTTGGCCTTATTCTGCTTGGATTCGCCTTCTCCCTCATCCTCTTGCCTATAACCTTAGCTAAGAGCGCTCGGGGTGGATGGACTAATCCCAGTATGATTGCTATGATTGTCCTCGGTTTCGTCATCCTGGTTTTGTTCATTCTCTTCGAGGCATTCCTCGCCCCTAAACCTCTTATGACGAAGCGGATTCTCCAGAATCGCGCATTTATCGCTGGAGTTATCATCCATACGTTCAATCAAATGGCCTCATCCATCCGTAACACATATTTCTCATCTTACATACTCATTATCAAGGAGTGGACTACCTACCAATGGACAATCTTTCTGGGTATCACTACTATGGGTCTGTGCTTGGTCGGTCCAGTTGTAGGGCTGATTCACCGTTCTACACATCGCTACAAGAGTCTCATGATATTTGGCGCTGCAGCCAAAATTCTCGGATACGGCATTCTGGTCCAACCGAGTGGTAAAATGACGCAGGATACGGCCCGTCTCGTAGCGGCGCAGCTTATCTTCTGTCTTTCATCCTTGAATGTTGTGGGCGCCCGTGTCGGCGTGCAAGCATCCGTTCCCCATTCCGATGTCGCCTCGCTCATCTCTATCATTACCTTATGGTCTACCTTGGGATCTAGCGTCGGCAGCGCTATTGCTACCAGCATCTGGACAGAACAAATGGTCGACCAGATGCATAAAGAGATGCCCGATGTTTCTACCAAGATTATTGCTAAGATCTATGGTAGCATTAAGACGCTCAAAACATATGAGCTTGCGGACCCTATTCGTCAGGGATCTATCCGGGCCTACGCTATTGTTAATGGGCACATTACTGTTGCCTCTATCTGCTTGTCTTGCGTCCCTCTTATTGCTTCATTGTTTATGCCTAACTACTATCTCGGCAAGCAACAGAATGCTGCCAATAACAAAGGTCTTGATGGCGAGGTTGTTGATATTCCAGATGAGCTCAGACAAAGCAGTACTGCTACCGATTCTCAACCTGCAACAATCTGGAAGAAGGTGCTGACTCTGTACCGGAAATAGAACAGCCCTGATTATAGAGATACTGTAACAGTTACTAAGACAAGGAAACTAAAGGGAGGAAGAAGTCAGGGTTTAGCTATAATTAAGTAGGCCTTGTAACAGTTAATTACTTTTATTAATTAATTAGATAATTAAGTATTAGTACTAGATAAGATAGTAAGTCGAGGATGTAAAACCTTGTAGTCTATACAAAGGGAATGCTCTTTAAGCTCAAGAAAGTTAAATGTTTTTTACTCTCTACATAATTCCCTAACCTCTCAGACTCTTCAACCCCCTAGCCTCCCTCCACCACCACAGCCCTACAAAAGCTGCACCAGGCCCAATTAGAAACGTCGATCCAAGGAACACAAATCCTGCGCGAACTGCATCTTGAGAGTTCACCTGCCCCTTAACACGGAGATCGAAGACACTATAAAGGCCGTAAAGAATGGTTGCAATAGCAGCGAAGAAGAAGTCGTACTTTAAAAAAGTGAACATTTGCGCTTCGTTGGAAGAGGGAGACTGCTCGGGTAAGTTGATCGTTGGGAAGAATAAACGTGCGAAGGAAAGGGAGGGGTTTGTTGAAAGGAAAAGGAAGGACAAGGAGAGGATGTGGTAAGCAATTGAGAATAGGAAAGTTCTTTTGTAGGCTTTAAGGAGATGAAGTGCGTAGCGGAATGAATATTCCTCGTAGGTAGAGGCGGAAGAGGAGCTTGAGGGCTTTTGTGCCGTCTGAGAAGCAGCCTTGGACAAAAGGATGACGAGGACTCCAACAAGTATCTCTACGAATGGCCACAGAGCAATTAACTCCTGGAGATACGATTTCATGAAAAGAGGGAAGAACATGAAAAGAGTAGGAGTGACGTAGCCAAGGTAAGTTGCTGGGAAAATGGCTTTGGCGATGGATTCGGGGATATGGCGCCCCACGCAGGTCCTGTACTCCGAGCCGCTCATGGCCCAGACGGCGAAGAGGAAGTAGAGAGGCGCGACGACTCCAATGCCTCCAATGTGCATGGCGAGTCCGAAGAATGTGGGCCTGTGTCATGTTACTTGAGTGATTGACTGCCGAAATGAGAAGAGAGGTACTGACCAGGAGATGAGCGATCCTCGAGAACCGGCCCGATATCCTTCGATATACCAGATTAAAAGTAAAGGAGTGACAAAGGAAAGTAGATACAAAAACTGGAGCGTGTGACCAGGATCTATCCAACCGACAGAATCTGAAAATGAGAGAACAATCATCGTGAGAATGGCATCAAATCCTGGAATCCCTGTATATTGTGTTTTCGGCATCTCCCCGAGAAACGTCGTGGGCAAATCAGAGTCTGGTAGCTTCATGAAAACCTTTGCAACATAAGCCAGGATGGCAAAGACTCCACACGCTGCATACGGTGCTGCTTTTGCAATCTTGTTATCCAGAGGTCGTGCAGGAAGTTCGTCGAAAAATGGCTCTATGTGTTGTCTTGCTGGAAGATCAATCATGTCCAGTCTCGCTGCTGGTATTGACCCTTCGCAAAGCATGTTGATAACCATGATTGGTTCAGACCTTGGCATGATGTATTTCGCGATGATCTTGGATACGAAACTGTCCATGGCTTGGATGCTTTGCAAGTTGTGCGATGTATCCATCAGAGAAGAGGCCCGCCCGTGTCTTTGGTTTTGCATGTCTTTGAAAATTGTTTCAATTATATTTGCGGTCGGTCTGAGTATTTTCTGTTCTCCGTTGAGATTGACTGCTGCGTAGAGCTTGTTTACGAGGACTGCTGCGTCTTCTATGGCACTGTTTCCGCCCTGGCCACCGATGGGGTTGAACTGTAAATTATTGTTAGTCTGCTTTTTGTGTCAAAAGTAGAACATCTATCATTCAGCCCCTCCTTACCTTGTGCGCTGCGTCTCCAATAGTAATGATACGCCCGTAGTGCCATTTGGAAAACACCACCTCCGGTAATGCCTGAAGTGTAGCCGACGTGCGTGAATTGTACAAGTCGCCGAAGGAAAGACAGTGCGACAACCGATCATTAGCGTGTTCCGCCGCAAGAGCGTCTCTCTCAGCCTCAGTGTACCGCGGAATCTTATCGTAAAGCCCCTTAGATATCTTCTCCAATTTTTTAAACAGGAACCAGTAAATGCGACGACCTGGGCCACTACCAAGAAGGTACGAGTGATCTTGGCCCTGTATAGTATGCGAGGCAAAGTCGGGGAAATTGTCTGTTGGCCTAGATATTCCGAAAATGCAGCAGTACTCCGTTTTCACTTCGTTGCGCTCCTGCTGATTGAAATGATCTGGCTGCTCTTGATCGGCTATCCTCCACATTTCTCGCCTTACGGTGCTGTGGATCCCATCAGCACCAACGAGTATATCTCCTGAGTATTTATCTCTATCCAAGGTTGTGACGTGCACACCGTCTGAATCTTGTTGGTCAACTTTGGCGACTCCTTTCGAGGTGTGAATCTTGGTTTTGTCTTTGAGGTTGTCGTAAAGAGCCTGAATCAGCATCTGTCGATCGACGAAGAACGGCTCATATCCGGTGCGCTTTCTTAGATGCACAGCAGCATCTGGGATATCCGCTATCGTTTCTCCCTGCGAATTCTTCGTAGCAAGAATGTTGAAGCATCCTTTCCCTGCAACTAGATCTATCAAAGCTTCATAGCAGCCCAGTTGGTCCAGTATCCGACAACCATTTGGAAATATGCCGATGCTGGCGCCTAGATCTGGGGCAATTCTCGAATATTTTTCCAGTACCAGGTAATCAATGCCGGTTTGTTCGAGCATATTTGCAAGGGCGAGGCCTGCGACGCTGCCTCCAGCAATGAGCACTGTCGCATGCTTCTGCATAGCCATTTTGGAGAAAAGAAAGTGTTGATTGTGAAAAATAAGGTTATGAGATTATGTCTGTAGAGTTAAATTGCAAATGTTTGGTACGGTATAATGAACTATAGGATGAGGGTCCTTTCTGAGACTATATATTTTTCCCCTTGTAGTTGGGATGATTGCGCAACCCGTTTATTTGGTATAAAGGGGTCCGGAATTCGTCCTTGACTGCCTGTGAATTCATTTCGTTGAACACAATGTCTACCTTGCGTATTGTTGCAGGGGAGGGCTCGGTCCGATCTTTTCTATCGGCGCCTATCCGCCGAAGACTTTCTCGAGCTTCAAAGTACATCCGTAGACCCTTGCAGGACGGGTCACGGAACTAGGATGAACCCGCTTAGTCATAGAGGCAGATCAACTTAAGTTTGTTTTCATCATGTAACATCAGGCTTGTACTATAAGGGTTTAGGGATGCCTTGAATAACGGAGTCTTGATCTTCCGTTCTGTAGTACTTCTGTCATTACGTAGGCAGTGCGCAGCGTCAGCTACTGCTGCTGCGCAACTCGTTACTCCCTTGGCTCTCTACACTACCCTTCTACCTGCACTATAGATACTGGGCTGCACAAGTATTTGTCTCGTAGCCCTATAACACTCTTGGTAGTTGTCCTAGGGATACGAATGCAAAGGGTCACTTCAATCTCTTGCAGACGTGGTATTGCTACGTGAGTCAGTCCATAACGTGGTGCTAGGAGGCATTTTTGTTACATTCAACGTCTTGTAAATACGTTTGTTACTACTTCTTGAACGTTAACGTGCAGGCAACGTAGGCAATACAGCGCTGGCAGATAAAGCTACTGACAGCAGCCTTGTAAGAGTATACTTGATTATACTCTTTCTTTCTTAATATGCCTATGTATAATACAGTCATTTATTATATCGCATGATTTACAAAAAATGTCACAAGCCCTAAGTAATCAATGCAGCAAGACATCGTAAGAAAGGAGCATGTCTGAGATAGAACTGTTTGTTTCATAGCGGTGGGGTCTATCTTGGCTGTGCTGTGAAAGACGATGCAAGCAAACTTGTAAAACTGGTATCTATAGGGATCTGCAGACGGAACAGTGTTACGACGCCGGAACCTATGAGGACAAAGGAGCTATCAAGTACTTGGGACGGAAGTCGGAGGTCAAGGCCAGAGGGCTTGACGACACCCAAGGACGGGTCACGTGATCCAACATCACGGGGACAGAGTGATCAAGGTGATCAAGCCTTGGCGAAATCGTGAAAAGCCAAGATCTTGAGCAGCTTGATCAAAGGACTAGGAAGGACGGGTATATAAGATTGCCAGATTTCATATGTAGGAGTTCTTCGTAGTCAATAACAAATTGTATTTGATCCTTTGGAATTACCTTAGTCAATACAAACGTAGCTTATCCCTTGGGATAGGTTAGAGTTATTACCGTCTTGATACTTCGCTTTTTATCTACTGAACTCTACGATCACCCGATTTACCTTGTGTAGTAAGTCGCCCCTCGTTACAAACAGCTTTCTGAGTTGAGGCTGTGCTGCTGCAATATGCAGCCACAATTTAAGGTAATCTTAAGATTGGTAGAAGGTGTTACGGATGAACCGAACAGTGACGATTCCGAGTGGCCGGAGGGCGACAGGGAATCCTACGAGGAGGACCTCTAAGAACAAGAGTACGCGGACAGGCTCTATGCCGACGAGGCAGATCATAACTTGGACACGTGACTTGGACACGTGACGGATTCGTGGATTCGTCCCACGAACCCAACGAATCCGCCAAGCGTACTCATGTATATAAGCAGAATGTATTCCATAGATAGGTCCTCATCGTCAATCCACGATACAGTTCTCTGTATCCAGTTTCCTAACGGAAGATTACTTGTGATATCTTTGGCAACACATTTACACAACAGTGATTGATTGACGTTCAACCCAACCAGTATATTGATACCGAGCCTACGGCCCTCATTACTCAACAGAACCCCTTCGAGGTCACGTGTCTAAGTCCCTACTCAGACGACCCCGTTACAGATACCACAAGTAATCTTCCGTTAGGAAACTGGATGCAGAGAACTGTATCGTGGATTGACGATGAGGACCTATCTATGGGATACATTCTGCTTATATACATGAGCACGCTTGGCGGATTCGTTGGGTTCGTGGGACGAATCCACGAATCCGTCACGTGTCCAAGTCACGTGTCCAAGTTATGATCTGCCTCGTCGGCATAGAGCCTGTCCGCGTACTCTTGTTCTTAGAGGTCCTCCTCGTAGGATTCCCTGTCGCCCTCCGGCCACTCGGAATCGTCACTGTTCGGTTCATCCGTAACAAGATACTTAAAGAGATAGAAAGTTAAAAAATAAACTAGCTAGTAGTAAAGAATACTAGGAATTATATTAGTTAGTATATTCTAATAACCTATATAATATATATATAGTTATACAGGTGTAAGTGGAACTGCATCAGGAAATAGCAGCTTTGTAACGATAGGTTCGACTTACTACACAAGGTAAGAGGGGTATATCGTAGAGGTTTTTATAGGGTAAAGCGAGTATCAAGACAAGATAATAACTCTGACTTATCCAGGGGGATAAGCTACTATTGTACTGGTAAGGTAATTCCAAAAGATCAGATACAATTTGTTATTGACTACGAAGAACTCCTACATATGAAATCTGGCAATCTTATATATCCGTCCTTCCTAGCCTTTGATCAAGCTGCTCAACCTCTTGGCCTTTGCCAAGACCTTGATCACCTTGGTCACTTTGTTCACGTGGTGCTGGATCATGTGACTGGTCCTTGGGTGTCATCGAGCCCTCTGGCCACGATCTCCGACTTCCGTCCCAAGTACTTGATGCCTTCTCTGCCCTCATAGGTTCTGGTATCGTAACAAGCTTCCGAAGCAGGAGATGGATGCTTGCTTGGCTGCTTGCTGCTTTAGTTTGGCCCGTGCGTCGACATCATCACATAAAAACACGCTGCCCTCGCCGGCCTACGCTCCTCCCTTCATCGTCCCTTCCCTCGCTCCACCTCGCTCACCTTGCTCCCTCCTCATTAGTCGTTCGGAATTCCCCCATTGAGGCATTTTCTCTCCACCTGGCGGTTATACCACTGCTGCACTGCCCGATTGTCTCCATTTTCTTCCCCTGTTCGTCGACCGAAGATGACTTTCGCCGTACCCCTTCTGGTGGACCCAATTCGAGTCTCTCCCCTCCGATGTCCAGTGACTCTCCTAACCCAGGTTGGATCCTAGCCGCTCAAGTTCGCTCGCTTTCCCCGTAGCTGAGCAGTGTCATGAAGTCCACCACTGATAACCTTTTCCCGCCGGACTACAACTATCCCATCTGGTTTCCTTTCTCATTTTTCCGCTTTTGGAAGTTGACAATCGGTACCGCACCCCCAAGTTCTGGAGAATCTCCTGTCCCTGCCAGCCACGTCATCAACCAAGTGAAACGGCAACCCGGCTGCATTGGACGCCTCGACAGTGTCTTGGGGAGGAGGGGTGGGGCTGATCCCGTGCAATTTCAGCTGGAAGCTTACTAAATGTACGGAGACTACGGCCTAAGGGAGTTGGTTGCCATTAGACTGTCCAATTGTCACCTGCGCGCCCTATTTTACCGGAGAACGAAACCAGAGAGGCGCGGTTTTGGTACGAACAGCTGCACAACCGGGAGGTGGCCAGCAAGGAATCTACTCGCCCATATCGCAATGTCTATTCAGATTGTGGCAAAACCGGGTCCACATGACGGTCGGCATGGCCGCAGTGTTGCATTCCAGCGTCACAATCAAGGGGCTAAAGGGCTAGAGCAGGCTTTGAGTGCTGTAGGGTTTCATTTGGGCGCCATTCTCATTGCAAAGTCTGGTACACGCCGCCGAACACCTAATGTTGGAAGCATATTGGGCCTTAAGCTCAGGTTTAGGTTTCAAGGCATCTCCAAGTTCGTACGATTGATATGCGAGCTCTGGCGGACAGGAGGAGGCGTACCCTGCAGCACGACTTAGCCCTTGGGAGCTGGCATCACTATTCCTCAGTTCTATGGCGAGGATTGCTGGGATATTCGCGCACCTTTCCACAGAAGAGAAAAGGGGCTTTATGCGAAGGCTGCATCACCACCAACATTCATGGCTGCATGATTCACATGGTTACATGGCGCGAAGCTGATTCGGCTCCAGCTTGGGATTCTATCCATTCGCTGGCGCTGGCGTGTTCCGACTACGGTCTCGTACGGGCTGCTATCTGCTGACCGCTGGATGCGAACTTGTTAGAGCTTTCCGAAAGACTTGCACATATAGAGACCCAAGTGTAGAACATTCACCTATCTAAGATCTCTGCACCTCCTCTTCCTCGCACCATCACCATAACCAGGACTCCTTCGAGCCACGAGCAATGGCAATGTTTTCAGATACCTTTGGCGTAGTTCCTACCCACTCTCCTCTTCGATTCATACCTTACAACGGGCCTCCGAAGCCAAAAAAGCCTTCCCAATGCAATCCCTCCAAGATCCCATTTAGCAAAGATGAGGCAGGACTAAACGCTGAGCCAGAGTATGAAGAGGATGTTGTCAAGCTTGTTGATCTGACATACTTAAGTAGGCACGCTCACGGGCAACGAAGCAATTCTGTGTTTGGTGTGGCAATGTATGATGACTAACACGAACACAGGCGACGAAGACGGCAACTCCAAGATCAGCGGCAGCAAAGGTGGAGAAAGTGGTGTTGTTCTTAGTCACGACTGCTTTTCCCCAATGACTGAGTAGGGAGGCGCACTGCCAACGTCTCGAGAAGATACCAAAGACGAGACTCCGTATCAGCTGGCTCCTTCTAAGGGTAGCGGTCGAGGTAAGCGCCCAGACCCTATCGTGATAGCAGCTCACACATGCAACATGTCCTGACGCTGCTTAGGAAATACGGTTGTCATCCAAGACAGTCAGTCGAACTCTGAGGCCGCTGACGAGGGCGACCCGCAGGAAGATGATGCACATTTGCACATATCCGATCAGTTTGAAGTGCCCACTATCTCGACCCTGGAGTATCGTGGTGGGGAGTCCCCTACAAGTACGAACGATGCAAGTACTCCAGGGACAGCTGATGGAGCGAAGACTGTCCCGCGTTGGAAACTCCCATCAACGCCGCCAACGAGCCCATCGATGGACATCAAGCAGGCGACTCTAGAGTCCGCCCAGTGCATTCTCTTAGAAGCCACCACACCTCAGCCGCAGCGCCCCATAGAGGAGAAGACGGAGAGTGAAGGTAAGCAAACGCCATTGGAAGTGTGTTCCTTCAAACAATATCCAGTCGGACGTCCTCCGGCCGAAAGTATGAACTGTAGTAGCAGCAGTAGCATCAGCGGCAGCATCAGCAGCAGTGGAAACGATGCCGATGACGATGTCCACAGCAGCAATCACACAGCGTTGTTGACCCGCAGGCGGAAGCGGAAGCGCTCCTCGCCAACTCCGAAACACATTCAAACGCCAAACACGACATCGAAACAGCGCCCCAAGCACGTGCCACAATCGGCAAGGCAACGGAAGCCATCTACCATCCGCAACAGGCGCAACCGTCCTTCGGCCCAAGGACCTGTTTCAGCAGCGCAGTACAGTAGTTACCGGGCCGATACTCTCGACAGCGACAGCGATGCCAGTAGCGGCGACACCACCGATAATTGCAGCGCGCGCCAGCTTGCAAGCAATTCGTGCAAACATAAGCGGAAGCGTAAGCGTGGTAACGCGGACGAAGACGACGAATATGAGGTGGAGAATATTCTCGACGCCCGTGTCAACCGCAAGAGGCTACAGTATCGTGTCAAATGGCTTGGATATGAGGACGATCCGGTCTGGTATGATGCAGCCAACTTCAAGAATAGCCCGTACAAACTCTGTGATTTTCACGCGGCTAACCCTCTCCATCCGGGACCTCCGAAGAGGCTGGGGACGTGGTTGAGGTGTTGGGAAGAGGACAGAGATGCCGACGATCACCTCGATGATAACAGGCCTGAGAGAGCATACACAAGAGGCGGAGCATAGTGAATAATAGTAGACTGCTGTGCGAGCGACGGTCTTGACGCCATTCTATCTTTTAGTGCCAACATGTAACTAATTAATGAATTCGTCTTTCAAACCCTGAACACTACTAGGCTCTGCCTCTACTTAAGCCTTTTCCTTTTCTATGTCTGTGCTAAATCCTAAAGCAGCACAGTCTGCTCTTGCTCTAAGTAGGCTAAAGCTCGAAGCAGCATAGTCAGGGTACCGATATGCCTTGTAACATCAACGTCAACCCTTACGGTATATGCAGAGCTACTATTCTACTAAACTATCTAAGTTATATTCTAACTCCGCTAAATAAGAACACCTGGTCTGACTATTTGTTGAATCCTTTTCGGCATGGCGGGTTTTTCGTTACGCAGGGACGGACCTTAAGTTACCAGCCCAAAAACTAACTCAAGTCATCTCGCCCCCATACTTCCAAGTTCCTCGCAACCACTCCGTACACCAAGCACCAGCTAGATGATTAGAAGCGAAATGGAATAGAGAATACCAAAACCAATATGGCGTGGGTAGACCCCAGAAGTGATGGAATGGCAGCGGGCAACGATTAGGATAACATCGAGTACCAGCTTGTAGTTGAGGCTTATCTTTTGACAGGCGGATTGAACATCCCTGATAAAATTTCGAAGGAAATATAAGGCGAGAAAGAGTCTCTACGACTTATAGATATACCTATTATACAGCTGTTCCCGGGCAGATTTTAATGTAAGTTATTCAACTATAAGAGCTACCAAGACGTTTATAATTAATTGAGGAATAAAATTCAAACGCATAGTAGGTGTGATATCAATCGAGAGTTTCTGCGTCGCGCTCATGTGTGATCGCTTCCTTATCAACTAGTAGCCTCACGATCTCTTT